CCCCTTTTTTTTTTTTTTTTTTGTTGCATTTCAAAAACGACAGCCGCCGTCCCAGACAGAAAGGCGCTCATGGCGGGGGGGAGCTGCAGCCTCGCGCTCCCAAAAGTGGCTTTTCTTCGCAGCCTTGGTCAAGTCGCAACTCTCACACACCCTCACTCTCAAGCATTAACGGACCACCCGCAGCCATTTTCTCATCCAACCTCGCGAGAACCGAAACACACCCACTCCCTAGGCTTCCCGTCATCGTTGCACATTTTGGGCCCGGCTGCCTGCCTTGCGTTGCAAGCACAATGTCGTCCTCGGGGGCGCGCTCTGGCGAGCGGATGGTGCATCAAGACTTCATCGCGCGAATTCGCTTCTCCAACGCCCTGCCTCCGCCACCCAATCCACCCAAACTCCTCGACATCCCAAACATGGGCCTTGCAAGTGGACAGTACACGACTCCTGGATTCGCTTCGCGGCTAGCCAGAGAGCAGCCGCTGAATATCGAGGCTGATGCTGAGCTGGGCATGCCCTTGGACTTGGTGGGCATGCCCGGTGTGTTTGACGGTGACGAACGATGTGAGTTTGAGTTGGCCTCGACTGCCACGAATGTGTCTTGGTAAAATGCCCTGCAGTCGCGCGCAAGTCGACTGACACATGTCACAGCTATCCAAGCTCCCGCACAAGCTCCTGCCGTCCATCCTCACGACAGGCCGTTGCTGAGACCAATCGCGGCCCTCGGCAAGCCCAAGGTTGCCGAAGCAAACGTGTCCTTCCTCCGCCGAACAGAATACATCTCGTCATCGACGCCAAAGAGACACGAGGGGGGTAATCCGCGCGCTCTGCTCGCCAAGGCGCGGAAGCCCCAGCGACAGGCTCCCGAAGCTGCCGCCGACTCGCCCCAAGCCATCAAACGCAAGATTGAACGCGGCTTCGACGTTGCCCAGCAAGACCTCCGGGATCCCAAGCGAGTCAAGCACCCTACCAAGAAGCACCTCAAGGTCGTGGAGGCCATCCCCCTCATGCCCGACCTGCACGCGTTCCCCGATTCTGGCGCCTACGTCACGGTCAAGTTCCAGACCAACCCCGTCAGCAAGTCAAACAAGTACGACGCACGCCTCCTCTGCGGCCTGCTGCGGCCGATAGAGCGCACCGCGGCCGAGGACGCAGCCTACGAGGCCGCCCTCGAGGCGCACGAGCTCGATCCCGTCCACAACCCCAAGCCCCAGAACCTCATGAATTACGACTTCTACCTCGGACAGAGCGGCTCGGTGGCGGAGAACTTCCGCCGCAAGTTCGACGTCGACGACCCTGACCACGACGGCGACGAGTTGTACACGCATCAGGGGGAGACCGGCGGCTACTTCCAGTTCAACAGGGTTCGAGCCTACGAGACGTCCCACGAGACCGAGCTCGACCACCCCACCAAGTACGAGGACGAGGTGATACTGGCATACAACGACGAGGATGCCTATCCCAAACAGAATGCCATGTACTACTATCCCGTCATGCAAAAGTCAACCATCCGCCCCCAGCGAACCAAGAACATTGCCCGCACAATCGGTATTTCCCAGGAGGAGGAGCAGATCGTCGACCAGCTGGATATCACCGTCGAAGACCCTACCGAGGAAATGCTCGACGCTATGAGGAAGTACAAGGACCACCCTCTAGGGTGGGAGCAAGAGGCGGACGAGGCGGAAGAGCCCGCGCGGGACCAAGCCGCCGGCGAAGCAGACGGGGAAGACGCAGGGGCAAATGGTAACGACGGGTCCGAGAGGCGCTCGCCTTCTGAGGACAGAGATGCGGAAGCCGACGGGGACGAGGACTAGTAGTGCCACGACGAAGAGCAGGCCAGAGGTTTGTACGTTATTGTGCAGTGTGTCTTTTAGAATTATAGCGAAAACCCTGAATGGGAATAATCACCGTCACCAGTCGGCGCAGGGGTATATACAGAAATCCGCGTGATTGGCCAATCGTTTCTAAAGCCAAGATCAAACAAGAATGCATCCAGGTATCCAAGTATCTCAAGCGCCAATCAAATCGTTAAGAACACCAATTCATGCAACGCTCACGCCAGCCTGAGGAAATCGTGATGCCCAACAAACAAACGCACGCACGCCGAACCTACAATCTTTTCCCGGAGCTGGCTGGATCGAAACCAAGAACTGCCCTCTGATCGTCAATTACCCGCGCATACCTAGAATCGTCAGCCGTCATGACCACGCAAGACCGGGGCAAAGAAAGAAGAGAGAACTCACTCGAGCAGCAGCCTGAAAAACCAAACCTCCATGTCCTCCTTCCTCATCGTCTTTGCCGCCCACTCCCGACTCTCCGCGGCCATGTGCTTGCCGTCCTCTGCTCCCAGACTGCTCCCGTCAACGAAGCGCACCGTCTCGAGCCAGTCCTCGCCCTGCAAACTCAGCGGCACGTAATGAACCCACGGCTTGAGCCATTCATTGTGCCATTCCCGGAACAAGGCGAGCTTGAACGTCAGACTCGTGCTGTGCAGAAACGCTAGGAACCGGCCCGAGAAGGCGTTGCCATCGATATCCAGGAGGTACTTGTATCCCCAGGCGTCGCTCTGGTTCGCACGAGACGAGATGTTGAAAAAGGCCTGTTGCGCCTTGCAGTCCCCCTCGTCGCACTGGCCAACGTGGGAGAAGGCAACGTCCGTGAGGGCGCTGTACTCGGCACGGGAGACGTCGGCCACCGCCCACCTTGGTTGGCTCTCGCTCCCCTCGTTGTTGACAATCTTTGCCTGTCCGGCGGCGTTGATCTTCTTGACAAAGTGTTGACGGTGCTGCCTTCTCCAACCGCCGTCACGGCTGAAACCGCCCGTCGTGGAGCCCCGCCAGTACAGCTTGCTGTGCTTTTCGTCCCAGGCAATGTCCTTCTCCTGCTCGTACTTGACCTTGTCGTACCAATACCACGGGGAAGGGTAGATGATGTCGTTGTACGAGGAGATCTTGGACTGCGAGAAGATGGGGAACAGGTCGTGCACCACCTTGTACGTGTTTGGCCGGTCGAAGAAGCCATACGTCGAGCTGAGCGAGGGACTGAGGCAAATGTCCGCCATGGCAGTCGAGTTGTACACGAAGCCGAGCTCGCTGACGCCGTATTGGCCCAGGTCGTCCCATCGCTCGTCGTCGTCTAGAATCCTGGCAGGGCTGTCGGGGGGGCACGACATCCTCGAGTGAGTCCACGTTGCTTGGTGGCTGAACGAGTTGAACCTCGAGTGCTTGACTTGCTCGAATAGCATCTTGTCGCTCAGCTCGGGGGATGTCTTGGAATAGTCGTTCGTGGGGCTCCTGTTGGCGTTCAACGCCGGCATATTCTCCGTCTTGGCCTTCCTCACGAGCCTCGCCAGATCGTCATGGGGCACGATGACTCTTGGCTCGTCGTGAACGTTGAACGCGAGATCCATGTCGGGCAAGTGCTGCAGGAACCCTCGAAGCATGCCGTGCGTGGCATCGCGCTGCCACTCCATGCCGCCCTCCATGTGCGAGACCTGGTGGTTGCGTATGGCGACGCCAATGAGCGCGTTTTCATGGCCCAGTGCTTCTCTTGCTCTTTCTCGAATCGTTTTCGGTTTCAGTCCCCAGAATGGAGTGATGAGGTGGTATATCGTGTCAAATTCGTCCACGAGCTGGACTTTGTTAGACCTTGCAAATTCGAACCATTTGTCGAAGTGGGGAGGCGGCGGCATCCCATAGCGCCGACGGTACTCCTTGACCGCGCTTTCGAGGTCCTTGGATTGCCGCTTCGTCACCTCGTCCAGTTCTCGTCTTGCGTCCACCATGAGGTGCTGGATGGGATGTCTTTCTGAGCTGGGCACGTCCTTGGCCCTGTGGCCCCCTTGTATTGCGGCAGCACCTCCCCAGTCGTCTTGCAGCTCTTCCGACGGTCTTGATGTGGCGTGTACGTCGTTTACTGTCGTTGGCTCCGACGCCAAGGTCGAGCTCGAATCCAGCTTTTGCCCCGCATGTGCTGACGACTGTGAGGGCGACTCCTTTGATGTTGGTGTGCTCGCCTGGTTGAATGCTAATTTTGTCTCCAAATGCAATATTCGAACTGCAGTGTATATGAAAATTGTGAGAAGCACAAATGCTGCGGTCATAACCAGTTGTCGCCGCGGCATTGTGTTTACCGGGCCTCCTCTGTGGTGTCGAGGCTGGTACGGACCTCTCAGCGGGTTGTTTGCGCTTGTACTCGTACAAAAGTCAGGTTGGAGAACGCAGTCGTCGCTTGGGGAACTGGCCAGCATTTGGGTAGGGAAATACAAATCATGGAATAAGAAAGCAGTCGTGCTTTGCCGTTTACTTGGAGCGTTTCGGCCAACAACTGGTGACCCCGTCACCCCGTCAACAGGGTGGACGAGTACTGGTACGCAGCGTGACGCTCCACGGTAGCGCAAAGGCCTGTAATTATACCTGCTGGCCCCACACAACGGTGAGTCGATGACGCTCTGAGTGTCAGAGATCGAACTCAACAGACCGGTGCTTCCTATACCAGTGTTTCAAAGCATTGAGTCATCTTGGCTGGGCTTTTTGGGAATACTTGCTAAGTGTCGGACATGCATGTACCCCTTACATCATAAGCGCCTAGCCAGGTAGGTTATCTAGTAATTATTGCCGGTACCATTGTCGTGTCACGATATGCAGTCACATCACATGTCACGCGTGACCACAACGAGGACTCTTCCATATTTGTAGCGTGGGCCTAATAAAGGTATGCATTCATCGATTTCGCGACTATCCCAATGGCTGCCTCGGGGTATTGGCCATTGTCATCATGACCTTGCAAGCTATGCCTCAACTTTTTACCGACATTGCGACCCGCTTAGTAGAAGAAACCAATAATTTTGCCGGCCACGTGCTTGCGACGGGCTTCCTCATGATCCATGATACCAGCGGAGGTGGTGAGGATAACATAACCGAACTGACGGGCGGGCAGGAGCTTGACGACCCACTTCTCGAGGTCGGCCAGGCGAACGTTGTATCGCGGGGAGATGACACCAGTCTTGTTGAGACGGCCGTTCAGTTGAACGACAATCTTGCCAGAGCGGTGGTCATCGACCTCCTCGTACTCCCCGATGTAACCTGGAAAACAGAAGAGTTTGTTAGAGATGTTGCGACAAGACTCGGATGTGTTGATTTGGAATTGGCAAGAATCTCCACGGCTGCAAGACAGATCCGAGACCACCGCATGACTTGAATTTATCGGCAACTTATAGGGGCTGGGTCGTGGTGCGTAAAAAAGACCGCCGCCCTAGTTATCATGCCGAACGACGGTGGTCAAGGGATCTGCCATGGACGAGAAACACCTCAGATGTCGTGGGACCGCGTCGACGTACCGTGGCGCTGCATGACCTGAAGGAACTTGACGATGACCTTGGAGCTAGGTCGAATCAGGACCTGACGCTTGCCGGTCTTCTCGGCATTGTTGATGGAGTTGAGGGCGTCGTGGAGAACCGAAGTGCGAACCATTGCGGCGGTATTGTACGGAGATTCTCAAGTCGAACTGGAAATGAGGTATCTGCCAAAGAACATCGACGTTAGCCTCGCGCGGTCGTGAGCAAGGAGAGTGCCCCCACGGGATATGTCTATCTAGGAGGGTTCTGCTGCTCATTTCTGAAGAGGAGAAGCGTATCGAGGGCGTTCCGCGACCAAGTTTGCAATGCATCGACACCGTTGCCAGCACCCATCACATCTTAACCCGTCGCGGAGTCCCGGATTGCTCCCCTCTACCACGATAAGAGGCATCGTCCTGCATGGTTCCGAGGCACTGTCAGTACTCTCAAGTATTCTAACATACCTCAGTGGTTGCTTTGTCGGCCCTGTTGGATGGCGAGATTGTCGTGGGAGTCGATGGGGAAAAAAAAATTAAACAAATAACAGAGTCGTGCTCAATGCAGCCCGCGTGCAGTTTCGCTGGTGGGTGGGGCCAATTGGATGGATTTCGTGTGCCCTTGTGGTCCGTGCACAAAAAAAATGCCCTAAGCCTTCACGCACCACGCACCACGCACTACGCACTCGGCCACCAAAGATTTCGGCAAATCCTCGTTTGGGCGTTCCGTCCCTCCAAGCCCACCAACTTCAAGACGTACCTTTCGTCACCTTCTTTGTTTCCCCCTCACCAAACTTTTGAAATCTTCGAGGATCGCCCGACAAGATAAACATTCAATATGGTTAGTATTACTTCTGCAACATGGCATGAGTTGGCCTGCTGCGAATTGTGTCGCTACAGGCAGCGTGTTGCAACCAGCAGCGCATTGCACCCCGCCGTCGCACACAGTCGACTCGAATTCTATTTCACTGGAGAAAAACAATCAATCGCTAACAAGTAGTCCAACTTCTAGTCGGACGTAGAAGAGAACAACGCCCCCGAAGTCTCCGAGGAGGTTGAGGTTTCGGCCGACGCTCCCAAGGGCCAGATGTCCGTTCTGGACGCCCTCAAGGGTGTTCTGAAGCTGGCTCTCATGCACGACGGCCTCGCCCGAGGCCTCCGCGAGGCCTCCAAGGCTCTCGACCGTCGCCAGGCTCACATGTGTGTCCTCAACGAGAATTGCGAGGAGGATGCCTACAAGAAGCTTGTCGTCGGTCTTTGTAAAGAGCATAAGATCCCCCTGATCAAGATCCAGGACGGCAAGCAGCTCGGCGAGTGGGCTGGTCTCTGTACGTGAATACCTCAACCCCAGCTGTTGGTGTCAATACTCTTGGAGCGAGTTGCAATTTCCTAACCGTCAGTTTCCAGGCGTTCTTGACCGTGAGGGCAACGCACGCAAAGTCGTCAACTGCTCCTGCGTCGTCGTCAAGGACTGGGGTGAGGAGTCCCAGGAGCGCTCTATCCTCCTAAACTACTTCCAGACTGCGCCCCAGGAATAAATGATTTAATTGCTCACGATACGGCGTTGAATTTTGAAAGGCATAGAGGCGCCTGGTTTGTCAAGGCCGCCCGACACGGACACTTGCAGTTGTACTCTAGCCACTTGGGGTGGCTTCTGGATGGGTTCAGGTCGCAGCATGGCATAAGCCGTTGCATGAGGAAACACAACAAAAAGAAACAAAAGTTTCCGCTTCACAACATTTTCATTTTCGTTGATTTGATGGTCTTTGCAAAGGCGTGATTTCGTGTCGTGGCTCCATAATTATTATGTCCGTAATCTATTTGCGTCCCTCCACCTGCCCGGCTTGCCAGTTAACAGGCTGTTTTTTGAACTTGTCCAGGACTATCAGAAACTCACCATGATGATATGGTAGCCGAATTCCGTCTTGGCCTCGGCAATCTTGGGATTATTCGTGGTGCTGGGCTCCAAGGCAAAAGCCACTTCCTCAAACTTGGGGTCCAAACTACCCTTGGTTTTCCATCCGAGTGCGCCGCCTGTGGTCATCAAGCAGCGTTGTCAGCCGGGTTGGGTTTGTCATGTCAATACAATGACGGCGCCGGCGAGCTGGCTGTGGCAAACCTTGTCTCGCCTTGTCCTCCGAGTAACTCCGCGCCACTTCGTCAAACTTGACACCGTCACCAAGCTTGGCGAGGGCCTCTTCCTTCTTGGCGTGTTTCTCGCACTTTTGAAATACCATCCCGAAGGTCAGAGCCGCGCCACCCCGAGCAATGATGGGCCTGGCCGCGACGACTCACCAAGATGTGCCGGACGTTGATGGCTTGCGCTCCCTTTCCTTTGCCGCCTGATTCTTTGTCCGCCGCTTTGCCTTTGCCGCCGGACTTTTCAGCGCCTTTTTTGTCGTTTTTCCCCATGTTGAGCGCACCAACAACGCTCCCGAAGCTGAAGTAATGATGCCTTGCGGAGGGATCGGATGCTCAAACGGCTCTGGGTTAGGTTTGGGCTGTGTAGGGTGAGTCTGCGAGGTCAATGAGCTGGGGGGAGGGCGGACTGTTTTTGGCTCAGCCCAATAACAATAACCACGCCGTTCGGGATTGCCCCATAGCAACTTCCAAGGGACTTGGCGGCGAAACCTTTGCACTCAAGCTCGACTTGCCATGTGGCGTTGGGACGCGCCATTGACCGGTGCAGTCTTTACGAATCACGTATTTCACGCGCAGCCGCGAATGGCAAGAGAGTTGATGCGGGATGTCCATGGTCATTTGAAATGAACAGGTAGAGGCGAGCCTCAGGGGGGGAGACTACACCAGTGCGAGGGCGGGAAGAGCCGGTCAGGATTATATCTGCCTTTTTGGATCCCAAGTCGAGGTTGAAGCCTGTTTTAGAATATGCCACGGATTACGCTAGCATGGGACAATTGTCGGGTGGTTGACGCCAAAATTCCTTGCAATGATTTGTCCCACGATAGGGCTCTCTGTGGCAATGCTCGCCACAAAGAAGAGCGTTTCGTCAATGGGTGGTACTCCAGGGAACATGTTGACGGCACCGCGGCTGTGCAGTCACATGGCCATCCTGACCTGGGGGACAAGGTAAACTAGCAAATTGACTGAAGCTGTTTGCTAAGAACACGAAAGTAAGAAGCCAGCGCCACTACACTGGTACCAATTACATTACATCCGACACTTGACAGCGAAAGCGACTCCGCCGGGAAAAAAGTCTCAACGATTCGGAAATCAAAAGACATGGCGTTCCGGCTGGCGGGGGAATCAGCCGTCAATGGTCTTCACTTCAATCTTAAAGCCAGCATCACTCGCACGGTCAATATACTTTTGTCCCAAGCACGCAGGAGTAAATATACCCCCTCCCAACTCGACGTCATCTTCAAGAATGGTCCGCGCAGCCTCGGCAAGGAACGCCCCGGTCACTACAACAGAGATGTCAGTACACAACATGCTTCGCATTTCAAGCCTCGGGCCGCGATACACACTCACACATGTACATACTGCCGTGGAACCAAGCACGGCAGAAAGCTTGCTTCTGATCTGGGTTGCTCTTAATGTCGGGCGTGGCAGTGGCACGATACTCGATCCCTTCCTTTTCCATATCTTCCCTGCTGACACCCTCTCCTGGCTGATAGACAAATCTCTTTACGAGACTTCTAAAAGGGGGGACGAATACCAGGAGGAGGCTTCCAATCGCTAGCCCAAAATGAATAGCAATGCCGTAGAGCCAGTTTCTGGCTTTAAAGAACTCACTCCATGTAAACCCGGAGCCATAGAATTCCTTCCGCCTGCTGGGAATCTCGTGTAACAACCCCCATGTTCTGGTAACGACGGCCTGGTCTACCGTTGCAGAGATGGATGTAGTAAGAAGACCCAGATTTGGCCGTGACGTGACACCCAGGATGGTCTGGAGGAACCCTTTCTGCGGTTTGGCACCAGAGGTATGAGGTATTGGAGATGTCGCAAACGGCTTTGTGGATTCAACGACCTCTTTCAAGGAAAACTGTTCGAAGAGGACCAGCACAGTAGCTAATGTGCCACCCGAGGGTGTGGAACTGCCGGTGGTTAGGGTATGAGATTGTTTTGGGGAAAGTGGAAAGCGGAAACGCACTTAAGCTTATGGACAGTGACAACGACGTCCTTGGTCAGAGCGCCCAAGTCCGTTCGCAGATGTTGTGCCAATGACCATGAAATCAGGTCAGCCGGCACAGATTCTACTCCTGACTGAGGGATCATGATGGCCCCAGTCTTCCTCGCAGTACTTTCGTACTTGTTGATCATGCGAGCAACCCAGGGAGTCTCGCCAGTGCAATCGAGGTAGTGTGTGCCATTCTCAGCACAGAGTCTGAAAATAGATTCGCCATACAGGCAGTAGGGGCCAACGGTAGTGATAACCAGAAAAGTCTTTTTGGCCAGAGTTTCCAATTGGGCCCCATCGTTGGTATTTGCAATCTCAATACCTAAAATCCCGTCAGAGCTGGTACTGGTCTCGGTTGCACCAAGATGCAACAAAAGACGAGCCAGTATGAGACATACTGGGTGGCAGCCGGTCAGGATTCAGCTTCTTGCAATCCTCAATTATGCTCTGCAGCTTGGATTCCGACCGTCCAGCCACAGCCCATTTCAAACTAGTTGGGAAATACTTGGCGATGTGCTCGGCCGTCAGCTGGCCGGTATATCCTGTTGATGGAGCCATTAGCTTTATAGCCCATTTCCCAGAACCTTGAATAACAGCACATCTATCGCGGGTATGCTCACCGGTAGCTCCGAAGACAACCAGGTCATAATGACGTCCATGGTTTTTGAAAGCCATTACTGCAATCCCAAAGCTTAAAGCTTGCGGTTGGTGCGGTGGCGTGATAAACTGCGGAAGGGCTGCTCTACGACACAATCAGGTCTTGGGGCAATAGGGGCAATTAAAAGGACTGCTATACATGATGCCGTTGAGGGAATTGCGGACTCTGAATATGCAAGCCACGTAACGATCACGTTGTTCTTGATCGAGTTGACGGCATTGCCTGTCCCGGTGTCTGTACGACATGCCGCCACAGAGTGGGTCCTGACCAATACGATGGAAGCGGAGTACTGCCCAGCCCAGTCAAAGCCCGGCTGCAAGCGAGGGGAACCTCTCGGCAGAGGGGCTCACTAAGCTACATCCAGGTAGCTTGGGGGCCCTGAGAGCTTCGGCTGTCGAGGGTGTCATCACCTGATAAGTCATGTGCTTGGTCGGCGTTTTGGGAAGGACCGACACCCCACTCCGTAAAAAAAAAAACGAATAATTCAGGATGTGGGACCTTGAGTGCATTTTCGCTTGGCCCGCCGCGGCCGGCTCACGTGCTTGCCCTAAGGAAAATCACAACTCCAGCACATTTTCGGCGGCCGCAACCGCGTTCGAGGTCGAGCACCAAACACTGCCCGCCCGTCACTTGTCGTCTTCCACCCCAACGACAAGCCTCACATATCAATCAAGATGACCAAGCGTACGAAGAAGGTCGGTGTGACGTACGTATTGAAACTTGCACGTATTGCTGTGGTCCTTTTCCATTTGCTAACTCCGCCTACAGCGGTAAATACGGTACCCGGTAAGTTGCCAAAAATTTCAACTTTGTCGCCGCGCGAATGTCCCCCGATACCCGGCACTCAACTGTGCAAGACTTGAAGAACAATTCGGCTTGAACATGGCAAGAAGGAAGATGTAGGAAGTCATGCCGAGAATGGATAATGTCGACTCGACATTTGACCGGTGCCCAAGCATGACAATAAATTGCAGCAGCATGTTCCAAGTCAGAGCACGACATTGAATCGCAGCACTCGGCGCCAACTACCGTCCTCGAAGTTCTCCGACGGCGAAACTAACTTGGTCGTGTAGTTACGGTGCCTCCCTGCGGAAGCAGGTGAAGAAGATGGAAATCACCCAGCACGCCAAGTACACGTGCACTTTCTGCGGCAAGGTCACGGTCAAGCGCCACTCCACCGGTATCTGGAACTGCAAGGCTTGCAAGCGCACTATCGCCGGCGGTGCCTACGTTGTTGCGTACGTCCCATCGCAAATCCTTACCCCTGTTGCTTTCGAGAGTCGAGCGCGGAGGGGGGATGGATATATATCAAAACAGACAGAGGCGGCCGTACTAATTCAGCGTACAGCACCCCTGCCGCCGCCGCCATGCGTTCAACTCTGCGACGATTGAGGGAGATTGCTGAAGTATAAGGGAGCACTTACGATGGGCGAGAAGCGTTTACGGCATGTGCTTTTCGGTCTGGTGTATGGGGAATTCTGCACTACGAGTTGACGAAATGGGCGTCGACATTCGAGCTTGGGCCACAGAGGCCGGTCGACCAGCAGGGGAATAAAAATAACAACGGTTTCACGGTCTCTGGCCCATTTTATTCCACTTCCTCTGTTTTTTGCGTGCCGTCTGTCTTGTGCTACAAGATACCTACGACGATAAGTGGCGAGGCGTGTTGTCTTTTTCTCCTTTTGACACGGACAGCATTTGGTAGATTGTCCTGGGACACTCGCGACCATGGGGCCCATGAATCTAATCGTGCAATAACTCGGCCTAGCTTCCTAGCGACCTCCAAGATCCTCGCATCGGCCTTCCAATCTCTGCACGCCCATTGATTGAAACAAGCTACTAGTATGCCAGCCACATGCAGAGCGTGCAAGACTCTGTGCCTCCAATGTCCATGCCAATTGCAAGCTTGTTTATGGAGCACCCCGTAATATTACCAGCCCAACTGCGAAGCGGCATGAGAAAAAGGGCACCACATGGAGTCTCCAGTGGCGAATGACGTGTCAAGTGTCCCGCATCGCAAGCATTCATGGCATGGTAGTGTCCCAACCACGTCAGGAATCAAGCAGGTCGCTGACTCGCACCCGATATAACGCAGCCTGCGGCGTACACGTAGCAACTACGTACGCACTTGCCGAAAGTCTGATAACACAGATGCCGGGAATACTACACGCAGCCATCTTCATGGCTCGGCAGCCCGAGTCTACCCAGTGGCAAGGCGAGCTGCTGCTCAGCAGCAGTAATAACGAGATGTTTCTCAGCGTTATTTGGACGACGGGGTTACCACGTCAGGTACCAAATCATCCATGTCGACCTGATACCCTGATACCTGGATGACGGGCGCCGGCGGCGAGGTTGGGCGCCATGCCAGGCATCTCTTATTAGTTTAAGGGAGGAGTCCAGAAGCATGTTGTTTGCCGCACGGAGTAGAGTCGCTGCAAACCCGCATGTCATATACTGGGTTATTCCAGTCGACCATCCAGACTCGCAAAAAGACACATTGGCCCGGAATGGCAAAGTGCGGGCATCACGTACGACGACAAAGATGCGTAGATTGCCTGTTACGGAGCGCTCGAAAGTCGAGGCGGAATTGGGGTCTGAATTGAAGGATTGCTTGTGCTCGTGCTTGTTGAGGGGGTTCCAGATTGACAGAGTAGGCTGCCGATTCCGCGGTCATGGCTCGCAGCCCGGTTCAAGCCAGCACACAGAACTGTAAATACCATCACGTCCATCGTCGTGGCCACGCGCCTTGGTGTTTGTTGTTCGCGCAACACTCGGGAGGCACGCACCAACCGAGTGTCGCCCAGTTCACGCAGTCGGCCTCCATGTAGCGCCGAGTCTGCGCAGTTGCAACCTCGAACCATTGGCGGTGACAAGCGCAGCTGAGGAACCACTCACACCAAACAAGAGTCCCGAGAGTTTGCATTCGAAGGCGGACAGAAGACAGAAAAACGTGCCAAACAGGCGCTGCCCTCCTTCAATTGCAAAACCGGTCACGGGAGTCCTGCTCCCCACCCACGCCATGTTTGACCACGAGCAATCAATCAAGCCCGGCTACTGCACCGCCCGAATAAGACGTCATGTCATGCTTGCATGTCCGCGAGAGACATCAGACCCTGCAGTGAGCAAGTTGACTGTCTGATGGTGAATAGCTAGTAGTGCCACGCAAATGTGTCTTGGAAACAAAAACATGCTCCTCCAAGAAGCCTGTCACGACCCAGTAGGTAGCCGCGGTCGATAAGGAGGGGTCCATGAATTTTTCCATGAAGAGGAAGCAGAGGAGGGGAAAGGCCGACCCAGCCAGGTGAATCATAAGCCACCTTCTACGGAGTACTCTGCGGGGGAAAAAAAATTCATCGTACTTGACAAAAAGTACTTGATGCTTGACACTGCAAAAAACGGGCCTGTTTTGACCAGACACTGTGAATACTCTAGGTACTTGGTACTTTGAGTAGGTACCCAGGCACTTAACCTACCGAGGTTCCTCCTCCGTGGTACTCGAGAGCTTCACGCATTACGCTGGTCGGCGCACATGAGCGTCTGGCCATGTGCTTGATTGAGTACTTAGAACTACTGGCCAGACACGAGACGTTGAGCCCACGACAAGCACAGGCCACGCCCACCCCCCAGATTCACGATGGCGGCTTTCCGAGATTTCCCCTCCTCGTTGCCGCGCGCTGTCTGCTGGCGTCAGTCCGCAGCGGTGTCGGCGTCGTCGACGCAATTGTGCCTCGTCGTTTGGATGCCGCTCCGTGAGGACAAGTCCAATGTCCCAGCGACCTGGCGACTAACGCGCGCTGCACCGCCGGCCGCTACGCTACAGCGTCAGCCTATAACTGGCCGCCTCGGAGGGCGCTGGGTGCCGTTGATTGGACGTGTCCCGACCAGCTGACGCCTGGGCCTGAGTTGACAACAGGGCAGACGTGTCTGCCTGCACCACTGGCCACACCAGACTCACTCTCGCTCTCCGTCGCCTCTCTCTTTTTCCTGTCCATGTTCTCCGCCCACGGACCCGTTTCATCCTGACTTTTTTCTCTCTTTCCCCCGGTTCCCAATCCCCTTCCACGTCCCCGGTCCCAATCCCAATCCCAATCCTAATCCCTAATCCCTAATCCCCATCCCCATCCCACTCGTTAGTCTGGGCTGGCCTCTGCACCGCCAGACCGCCCGCTCGCCCACCACCGCCGCCACCATCACTTGACCACCTACTGAGTGGTCACCCATACCGAGTACTCCGTAGCGTAGCTGTTATTACTGCTGCTAATACGGAGCAACTACCTCCCAAGTAACGTACCTGACCACAAGTCACCAGCTCCGTCCATCACTGGTTCCCTCCAACGGCTCCACCAATAAATCAACCACCAACCAGTTGACCCTCCAGCGACTGATACAAGCACTCAGCACCACCGCTCACTCACTCACTTCCAGAGTCAAGTGGTCCGTCTGGTCTTGCATACAGCTTCGCAACCAAAGGCCGTCCGTCTACTCCGTGCTTCTGCTGCAACGACCGTTGCTTCGCTGCGCTTCTCCCGTCGCCTCGCCTCTCTTCTTCTTTCCAACCTTATTTTACATGTTTTCATCATTTTTGCCTCTGCATCACCCAAACTGCCGTCATGGACGAACCTGAGCAGTGCATCATCTGCTTGGATCCTCTGCCGCACCCCTCGTCTCTGTCCTCGCCGCCTTCGCCTTCGCCTTCGCCCAAGCCGGTCAAGGAGGCCGCAGAGACCACAAACTCAACAATCGTCGTGCCCGACGCTGTGGCCGACGAAACCAATCATCTCGACATAGTTGCTGCTCTGGATGGATGCGAGCATGTGATTCACGATGCCTGCATCCGCTCTTGGGCTCAAAAGACCAACACTTGTCCCATTTGTAGGACACCCTTCCACTGTGTCCGTGTATACAATGGCGTCGACGGTACGTCTGCCACCCACCACCCACCGCCATCTTCTTTCAACCTGCCATTGCAGGCAGACACCCAAACGCAAAGAGAGAGAGAGAAAAACGAAGCGTATACTTACGACTGTTAGGCACTGCCATCTCTACCTACGATGTCGTTGATAAAAAGCAAGTCGCCGAATTCGATGTTCAAGCCTGGCTTGGAGAGAACATCGTGGACCAAGACGACGACGAGGGCAACCCTTGTCCCATATGCAATTCGGCCGAGCGAGAAGACATTTTGCTACTATGCGACAGCTGTGATGCTGCCTATCATACACACTGCATAGGGCTCGATCATATTCCCGAGGGCGACTGGTACTGCATGGAATGTGCTCACCTGTTCCAACTCACCGGGGATCGCCCTGAGCGGACCGATGCTGAACCAGAGTCGCCACGCCCCCAGCTCGTTCAACGCCCGCACCCACGAGACGTACGTGGCTATCATGTTCGGACTCGCCAGCGCCTCAGACGAGCCCGCCACCAGGCTCGTAACGCCGAGTGGCAGGGCGCCTGGGGACAGTTTTCCGGTCGTTTCTACGAGATGAGCGATCTGGATCTCGATAATCACGATGAAGAGGATGAGGACCTCGAACAATACCGTCGCTTCCAGCAGCTTGACCGCCGGGAGTTGGACCGATGGCAACAACGCATGAATATAGCCAATCGCCTCGGTGCCCGTGAGACTTTTGCGAGTAACATTCCACCGCAGATCAGCGAGCGCCTGCAGCCTCCGCCGCCACCAGTCGAGGAAACTCGTGACGAAAGGCGTGCATGGGGTGCATTCGATCGCGCTCGGGAAGCTGAAGTCGCAACCGGCGGGGCGCGTAAGCGAAAGAGTCGATCAGTCACCGCGTCTCCGGCCGAACCAGTTCAAGAACCAGAGAGGAAATTGAAACGTCCGCGGACTAGGAGGTTGCCCACCCAGGCCGAGGCCTCTAACCCTGTCCCTTCACCCGATATACCTGGCCCCTCCAATGCACGCCCGGCGACGACCTCCCTGGCGGTGGCATCGGCGGCGACAACTGGAAGCAACGGAATTAATAGTACGAACATCATCAGCGGCACCAATGGCATTCCCATCAGAAACGGCCTGACGCGGACGGAGAGTGCAACGCCCTTGGTGTCGTCACTGCTTAAGGAGTTAGAGCCAAATCCCTTGTCCGAGGACGAGACGCCGGTATTGACACCAAACTGGCGCGTACCTCCAGAAGCATCATCTCCCGCCCTCTCACCTTCACCCTCAAACCATAGCAGCCCTCGAGCTCTGTCCTTGACTCCACCACCCCTTCCGAGCCTCAACGGTCGGCCTACCTCTCCGACCCTGTCACTAAGCACACATATTGAGCCACGATATCCTCCTGCAAATTATTCTCCTACTCGAGCCAACAGCGAGCATGGAGACCCAGACTCACGTTCAACCAAGGTCGACTCACGCCCGCTAGAACTGCGACAACCTCGCCCACGGCGGGCACATCAAGTACCACAGACGGAAGAAAGCTCGCCAACACGATGGACAATGACGCATGAGGAAAAGAAAAGCATAAATGATATTGTCAAATCCGCTTTGCGACCTCACTGGCGGGCGCAGAAGCTAACAACGGAACAATACGCAACGATTAATCGCGATATATCTCGAAAGCTTTACGACGAAGTGAAGGGTGCTGCATCGCTCAATGAGGAATCTCGACGGACGTGGGAGAAACGAGCCACGCAAGAAGTAGCACAGGCAGTCGCCGGGCTTTCAGCTTGATCACTGTTGGCGCAAAACAAAACGTTTCGGTTGACATCGGCGTTTTCAGGCTTAAAAGATGGCCTGTCGTGGTTAGATACCCAGGTAATTTTTTGTACCATTCCCGGATAATGGGGCTCTTTCGTTTTCCACTTGGAGATTAGAGCTGGCGGCGGCGTAACGGGCGCGTTGTATGTTGATTGTATGTGATCATAGTATCGGGAGGCACAATGATGTTATTAGCGATGAGGATGACTTCTTTTTTGTATTTTATCGTTTGAATGATGCACCGGGCGCCGCCCGAAGGGGCCGGATTCAAATTTTATATAACATTGACGATGGTTACAACGCTCGATCGCTCTAGAAGCAAAAGTAGTGGTTTGACACCTAAGCACGTTTAGCCATGAAGCTCGACTTGTTTGAGAAATGGGTCGCGCCGAATTGAGAACATAGCCTCCCTTGACAGAGGGAAAATCAACAAGCTATATTAAAAACAGCTCCCAGATCCAGGTGGTTTCAGATCATGTCGTACGAGCTCCATGGTCAATGAACCCTTTGACGCGGGTGTTCCGTCGCCCAGGCCATAGTGGGGTGGGTAGACCAGTCCACATAGGACAGAACGGAAAAGAGAGGAAAAGCCTGCCTCCGACGGTGACTTGTCAGCAGTGTCTATCTAACAGAACCCAATAGGTAGAAAATTGCAGGCGCCGCTAGCGAAAAAGACTGCTCTAAAATTCACTCTGGGCACTCGTAAATGATCAGGACGTTCTGGAGGTGGAAACAGGTCTTGACGATAAGGAAAATGGTGCCTTGGTGAAGGAGGAGAAAGGGCAAAAAGAGGGATGCGAGAGGAGACTGAGAAGTAACTAGAGTGAGTGGATGGCAGAAGCTTCCTGCCTCAGGCATTAACGAATGCTGTGGCCGTGCTACCGGGGTCCAAGAACAAGCTTGGGTTCATGACTAACCCGCCCGCCTATCCGGGTACGTAGCTAAGCCGGGCCAGGAGCTGTGTGCAAAAGGTCCGGAAAAAAAAAGGTACGAGACCTCAACCGACGCGCCTGTTCGACATCTTGAAAATTTCCTGGCCACCCCAAGCCCGGGGCAAAGTCATCGTGATCATGACTGCGTCAAGTAGGGGCCGGCGTGCACTTCAAGGCGCCTTGTCAGGTTAGAAACCCATCCCAGTTCCAAGTCATGTGCATCAATCAAATTGGGCAGCAGCACCCTACTCCGGACCCAGGAAAACTAACCTCAGACGACACCACAGCCTCCCCAGGAAAAGTTTGCTCAAGATGCGCCACGAGTGCCCAAATCGCCGCGCGCTTCTACTCCTCCACCACGGCCGCGACGGCCAATCTGCCTCCAGATGCGCCGGCGTCCTCCCCCGCGCGAGCAAGCCCTCCGTACGATGTGCGGTCCGGCCTCATCCTCACGCGCCCTCCTCTTCTGACACGGAAGCTTCACCCTTTCGAGAACGCCTTCTTCTTCTACCAGAAGCGTCTGGAGGAGCGGCTCAACACGCCTTTCATCACCAGCATCTATTTCAAGCCCGACACCGCGCGACGCTTGGACTGGAGTCTCAAGGTCGGCGAGCGCCAGGGCACCGTGGCCAAGGACATCGGCGTGTATAACGGCAAGGGCTCGAAAGCGTGGGATGACGAGCTCAAGGTCGGCGATCAGCTCAGCAGCCAGGAGAGCCTTCTGAACAGTCTCCTCAAGGATGCAGAGGCCCGCGTCAGCGACGACGCCGAGGTCATCGCCCCGGAGGACGTGGTCCCTGTGGAGAGGCCCTTGGAGAGGGAGACCGAGGCCGATAAGAAGGGCGACGTGAAGAGACTTGACAGACAGCTTGACAGGACGCTGTACTTGGTTGTCAAGGGAACAGACGGGTGGATGTTTCCGGCTGATGCTGTTTCTAGGGACGAGAACCTGCACGAGGTACGTTTCGTTTTTAAAAGGGAAAAAAAAAAAAAACACCCACACACATGAGACCTGACGGGACCGTATGGCGTGACGCTGTGTGCTAATGAACGAGCTAGGCCGCCCAAAGAGTCTTGGACCAAGCTGCCGGTGTAAACATGAATACGTGGATCGTCAGCCGCGTCCCCGTTGCCCACGTCGTCGAACAACCCGTCCAGGGAGCCGATGGCACTCTTCAGACCCGCGGCCAAAAGACGTTTTTTCTCAAGGGAAGAATCATGGCTGGCCAGGCTAACTTGAAAGGGAACCCGTTCGGATACACCGACTTCAAATGGTTGACAAGGGAAGAGTTGCAAAACGAGCTGTCGCCTGAATACTTCCGTGGTGTGCGAAACATGATGTCGGACAGGTGAACAAAGAGCAAGGGCATACGCCACTTTAAAAGATATGACGACTTCACTGGCGGAAGTTGGAAAAAATTACATACAGCGCGCCTGCTCAGATGGCGTATCTTGTAAAATTACATTGTAAACATCTTTGTACAGCATGTCAAAACAATCAACGGCCTCGTTTTCCAATCCCATGCAGATTTCACTCGTCTTTGCCTCCGTCGCCTCAAGTGCGATTCTTTGCACCGTCGTATGACCAAGACACACATACACGCACCAGCCGTTACGAGCACGCAGCATAAGCTTAATTGCACTTTCCCAGGTGGTTTCCCCAACGCCCCAACTCCGCAACTTGTCCTGATATATTTGATGCAAGCGAACACAACCCGCCCCCCAGCCCCCCAGCCGTTCTCCTGATTACCCCGACGAGCCACTCGTTTGCAACGTTCACACAGGCTTGGCTTGCCCTTCAACGAAGTTCAGGGCGTCTTCTTCGCTGTAGCAGTTGATGGAGCTTGTCTTGTTGTGGAACGTCACACCGTAACACTTGTCTGCCACATGGACAATTTCAGGTCGGAACGTGGTGCAAATGAATTGGGTGCCGGCTTCGTTGGAAATGGATTTCAACAAAGCCGCAACGGCGGTACGGTATTGGGCGTCTAGGTTTGCATCTACCTCGTCAAAGATGACCATGGGACTGCTCTCAGTCTGTTGGAGGGCAAAGATGAGACAAAGAGCACATAAGCCTAGTGGTAGGCGGTTAGTTGGTGTGCGTTTTTTTTTTTTCATTGCATGTCCACAGAAAGGTAGTCACTCACTCTTCTGTCCACCGCTGAGCTGTTGAATTCTCTGCTGTTCATCCAGGTGCTTGGAGTTGAACGAAACGCTGATCCCTACGCCGGTGTAGTTTTCCACACTGCCGCGTGCTTCTTCGTCTGACTCCTCGGGCTCCTGGCGCCGATCGGCTCTTCTCTGGATGACCAGACGTCCATGGCCAGCGGGAACCAGCTTTCCAAAGATGGTCGCAAACTCTTTCGAGACCTGCTTGAAGGTCCGCTCAATGGCCTCATCTTTACGCCGATCCAGGTGCTCGACAAGCTCCTCGATAGAATCTTGTGAGGCATCCAATTCCTTTCGTCGCTTCATGAGTTGGTCTTGCTGCGTCGTAAAGTTGTTATACTGCTCAAAGGCCTTCTTGTTGACGTGCTTGTATTTCTTCAGAGCTTCATTGACCCGCTTCAGTTTGTTGGTGATCTACTCGCTCATCAGCATCGTGCAACACAGCCGCGCTGGTGCGATATTTTGCGTTGTTTGACCAAACTCACCGTGGTGGCTTCCATATTCTCGTATTTATCGAATGCTTCTTCTGGAAGCACTCCCAGCTCTCTGATGTTCTTGGCGCATTCGGCAGCCTGGGTGGTGAGAAGAGCCTTTCTTTGCATCGCCTTCTCCATCCTCTTCTGCTGCTTCTCTATTCTTGAGGAGAGTTCGTTTTGTCGTTGCTCTCTCTCAGACTTCTCCCCGCCAAGTTCATCAATCCGGCCAACAAGCTGTTCTATCTTCCCTTCAGTCTCCTGGAGATTGGCTTCAACGGTGCGAAGCGACGTTTGAGCCTTCTTCAACTCGCGTTGCGCCTCTTTCATGCCTCCAGCTGACCCACCAGAGGTCGAGTTCTCGAAGGCCTGGCTGCTCAACTGATCCAGCTTCAGCTGGAGATTTTGGCGCAAATCCACCTCGAGGAATTGCTTTCTCCTCTCGAGTTCTCTTCGCTGATTGCTCAGGTCGTTCCACTGTTTTTGCAACTGTTGTGAGACGCTACTCAGTCGCTCCAGCTCTAGTTCTTCCGCAGGGGTAATGTTCTTCTTGAATTCGGTGCCTATTTCAGCTTCGTGAGCTGCAATTTCTTCCAAAAACCCGTTGAGGTTTTTGTCCACCAAATCCCGACGGACTGAAGCAGCGTCGAGACGGGACCTCTCGTTCTCAACATGGGCAGACTTGTTTCGCAGCTCGTGCTTCAGTGGCTCAAAACCGTCGTCAGCTTGGCGTAGTCGCTGCTCCAGCTTTTGAAGTTCTGACATGGCACCTGTGATCTCTTGATCTTTGAGCTCAATCTGTCGGCGCAGGTCCCGGGATTGTGCTATTAGATTATCATATTCCCGTCGCCACTTGTTCGCGGAATGCACGGCTTCCAAGCGTGACTTGCGGGGATCAATGTAACCACCAGTCATCGCACCTCGCTTGTTAGTGGTATCACCTTCAGCCGTGATGCCGTCTACCCCGTGGCTTCGGGCATACTGAGAAGCCACAGCCAAGTTGACACAGACGACAGTCTTGCCAAACACTTGCTGGAATGCCTTTTCATATTTTTCATCATACTGGATCTTGCTTATCAAGGGCACGGCGTCACTAGAGCGCGGAAGAGTTATTTGTCGAGGTCGTAGTTGGGCCAACGGCATGAAGGTAACTCGACCGCCACGTTGCTTAAACAGAAGATCGGCCAAGTATGTCGCAGTATCGGCGTTATCAACGACGTAGTGAAATAGGCTAGCACCCGCGGTCTGTTCAACGGGTAGTCGGTACGCTTCATTCACCTCGAGCAGGTCGGCGAGTGTTCCGTATGCGCCGGGAATATCTTTCTCTGCCTTGAGGCGACGAATAAAGGCTAGCCCGCGGGCTGTTGCACCATCGATGGTGTGGGACATTTCCCTTTCAGCTTGGTCCTTCTCCTGGCGGGCGTTGGCAATGACAGAATTCAGCTTGTCTTCTTCGCGACGAATAAGCTTCCGCTCGTCATTCAACTTATCCAGATGGGCCCTGGCCTGCGTCGCTTCTTCTGCCAGCCGGACTCGGTCGCCACTCCAATTGCCGAGACGGGACCGCAAGTCGGCCACCTCCCTCTCCATCAGTTCGATGGATTTTCGGATCCTAGCAACTTCTTCTTCGGCTTCCAGCTTGTTGGCCTTTTGGGCGCTCATTGTCATGTTTAACTCTTCAATCTCAGACTTCAACCAAGTGTCGCGCTCCGACTTGTTCTTAAATCGCGAACCGCGACTTTGTTTGGCGAAGAGTCGCGTCCGTGATGCTTCAGCCGTATCCAGTTGCTTTCTCACGTCATTCTCTTGCTGTTTCCTCTTGGTGTACCCAGGCAGAATATCGTCCAGCTCCCTTTTTTTCTGTGCCATCTCCGCTTGGACTGATTGCAGTTCGGCTTCGTGTTGCGAACGAGCTTGTTCCAGAGCAGACTGCCCATCTTTCAGGTTCTTCACTTTGAGCTCCACCTTGGCCAGAGCCTTGGCGCCATCTCGCCTATCTTCTTCGTGTTGGCGACGATCGATCTCGAGGAGCTCCAACTCTCGTTGCAGGCCATGGATCTCGACATCCAGGTTTGCAATGGCCTTCTCCCCTTTTAGAAATTCTGAGCGGCTTGAGTCGCTGGTATCTAGGCCATCCTGTCTAGCGTTATCAATGTCCTCCAGAGCAGACTGAATTGTCACCTGCTCCCGATGATGGTACGCATATTCAAGGCATCGCCTCTCCCTGTCCTTGTCTTGGAAGCCTCGCAGTTCTTCCTTTTCTTCCTCTAGTTCACTCAACCGCTCCTTGATATATTCCAGTAGTTCGTCGATTTTTTCTCGCTTGTTGTTAGTCTCGTTCATGATTTTGAGTGACTCGGCGCGGCGTGCTTCGTACACGTGAGTACCGGCAACTTCTTTGAGCAAATTCAGTCTGTCGGACTCCTTCATGTTGGTCAATGCCGTGACACGACCTTGTGGGACAATGTAGTATGGGTTCGAGCGTGAAAAACCCGCGGCCTCGAGGAGGTTCATCACATCCGTCTTGGTCACTACCTTGCGGTCTACAGAGTACTCGTCCTTCTTGAGTCCGATAGTTCGGCGCAAAACAACTTCCTTGTTGCCTGTGGGGAAGCGATCGTCGCTGTTGTCAAAAATAATCTCGACGTACGCAGACATGACTGCAGAGCCCGAGCCTTCATGGAGCAGGCCCTGGCGTTCTTCGCGACTCATCTGGGTGTATGCATCACTCAGGACAAATCGCATCGCCGCGAAAAAGTTACTCTTTCCGGAGCCATTGCGGCCAACGATGACGTTCGTCTTGGGCGAGAAGGGTTCGATGACAGTCTGCTCCTTGTAGCTGTCGCGGGGTTAGAGCAATGCGGTGCATGTTTGCGCAGACAGGGGGCGGCGAAGCGTACCTCTTGAAGCCCTGGATAATGATCTGCTTGATATACATGGTGGCCTGCGCTGGCGCTGACGCGCAACATGCGAGGGACCGGGGAGCTACAGTTTGAACTTGGCCCTGAATTTCGTCGTGATGGAGGGAGGTCGTCGTATCAGTGCGTGCGGTGCGACGCGTCTCTCGCCCGTCGCGATTTAGCAAGCAGCGGGAGGTCGCGTTGAGGGACTGTGGGTGTGTGTGTGTGATGCCTAAGGCCAACATTCTTGTTCGGCACCCTATACCCTTGTAGTTATCAGCCATCCTACTTCGGTACTTGGCTTTCTGCTGCGCGACTCCCGCTGTCGGTAGTTCTGATTTCAAATTACATAATAACTACCAGTAATGGCGTTGGTACACACATATCTTTGTGGTAACGTCAGGGTTACTGGAGAGTGGCAGCCTGGTATACGTACATTGCGTTGGGTGTGCAGAATGGCAGGCGTCGATGTCGCAGGAGGGGAACCAGGGAGGGTGCAGTTACAAAGGGCACAGAGGTGACACAAACATGCACCCGAATAAACGGTAAAGAAGGCTCCCAGACGAAGGAAACCAAAGAAACATAAGCCGTCCACTGCAAACAGCGTGATTGCTTGCTCGTCGTGCGCCCCAGCTCGGCAGTTGGGGCCAGGACCCGCTCAGTGATATTGATGTTGCAGTGCGCCATGGTACGGAGTATGGCTTGCAGAGTATACTAGGTAAGTTTGAGTGTTTCCTGTTGTTGCCTTTCCCACGCAGGGTCGATGAAGTGGCTGTTTTTGTCTCCGGTGCCAGAATCCCATGGCTGTGGGTAACCCGATCGACGCTCAGATGGCGGTTTCACCGAGAGACCATCTCGAACATGGTGTGGCAGATGTGATGGGATGTGCTGACGAGAAAAGGCATTTAATGTCTAGGTTTCGTGCTCAAACGCGGCCCTCAATGATAAAACAAGGCCCCGTTGGACTCTCTGTGATATCGGAGCGAAAGAAAGGAACGTTGGCCATGGCCAGTCTCGGTAAGAGGACTGACGTCTGGTCAAAAGGCCACCACAGGGCGCATACCTTGTTGCCTCTGGGTACACACGTGTGAGCGGCACGATTCAAGTCTGCCCCAGACATCGAATGGATAGGGATAACGCGTGTCTCGCCTACATTTTCCCAATACGTGTGCCCGAGGCAGAAACACTACGCACTCGGTACGAGCATTTCTCTCCATGACGATGGCTTGCTAGCCCAGATAGCCGATTACAGGCACCTCGTACCAGAAGTAGGGCATACGGAGCACGATTGGGAGCGTCAATCCTTCAGGAAAGGGAGACAGCAAGTTGAAGTGCGCATTGAAGGGTCCAGAAGCCGTGATTCAGCCCCCCGGGCACCCCCATTCCTTGCCAGAGCCGCCAGGCTGGCCAGAAATCCTGCATGTACTCCTACTCCGTACGCCATAGTACACGGTTCAACTGTTCCACGACAAAGATCACAAATACGTGGGCAGGTATGTAATACTCCGAAGGAGTCCACCGCGCATCAGTACGTACTCCGTGGATTGGCCACGTGCGTATGACGCAGACTGTCAGGGACTCAGGGCAAATGTATCAGGAGCGGACAAGCCCACCGGGATGGAAACAGACTGAGTGTACTTTGTAACCGTGGTGGTTAAGATGATTTCCGATGCGAGCGGGTTAACTTGTGTTGATGTCTGGCGTGTTTGATGCGGCCAGGTGTCACAATCTCGGGGGTCCAAAGAATGGGCGAATGGGAAGTGGGCGGCTGGGAAGAGATTTATTAGTAGTATTGTTATTGTTTGTTATTATTATCACTATTATCTTTATCATTGTTAATTTTTTTTTCTTTTTTTTCCTTTTTAAAGAAAAAAACCTCAACAGAAAAATTTCGTGCAAGGGAACGAGGAGCACCTGCAAACCCAGTCGGCGAACGCAGCAAGACTTTGCACGACTAGGCGGAAGAATTAAAATAAGAAACCAGACCCAAAATACCCGAAATGATGCCCATGCAGCGATAGCAACTAATAAACCAAACACTTTCTGCCTGCAGGGCGTGCGTGCCCTCCTCCCTGGATGGTCCGTTATAACTACATATGCACGGGATGGGTACGGGAGAGCACATGTATTACTCATGCATGTACTCCGTACAAAACCGGGCTACCAAGATGCTCGAGACTTTTGAAAAAAAAAAAAAACAGATGCAGAACGTGATGAACGAAGCATCGAACCTCGTGGATGATGCGGCACTCCGAACTCTACGTGAACCGGAAGAGGCTGCGCACGCACACGAATAAGTCTCTGGTCCCAGCGTCCAGGTTGCGTGCTGGCTGCAGAGCCAGACAGTACTATTAGTGAGACGTACAGTACGGGCAAGACGGAGGAGTGATTCCGTGAGGCATAAATGATCCGCACGGTGCCTACTTGTGACCTAGGGTGGGCTTGAAGCTAGGCGTCAGTTGGGTTGGACCCCCAAGTTTCACTGCCAGGAGCACTTGTACTCCGTGAACCCTACAGTGCGGAGGGCTTGGGAATTTGGCTGGGTGGAACCCGCTGCTCGAGCAAAACGGGGCTGGCCACACCAGGAGGGAGATTAAGCGAAACGCAGCGCCAGAAACCGTTGGTTGGCGTGCTGGGCGGCGCGTGCTGGCGTGTATAAAAGTACAGGACACACATTATACAAAGACCGGGCCTGCCCTCCACTCGATTTCTCCCGCGCCGTCGCCTCCGTTCCCCAGAGCCGCCCAGCCGTCGTCAGGCAGCTCGTCCGCCAGCTCGTCCGCCAAGCCTGCTTACCTCCCTCTCCATCCACACCTGCACCGCCGCACCCGCCACACTGTCGATTCAGCGGATCGCCAGCTGCTGGCGCCGGGCTTCTTCATTGGCTCATTGGCTCTTCAACTGCTCACGACTGCAATTGCTCCGGTCGCGACTGCCTCACTAGCAGCCCACGACTCACAAATTATACATATAATGAATCCCTTTTCCCGGCAGTTTGGGAGCACATAGAAAGGCTGCATCCATCATACACATAGAGAGGGATTGAAGCATTGTACAGTCCCCTTGTCCCTTTCCGCCAATCGATACCTTCACTTTCATTCTAAACCTGGATTATATCCAGCGTGACCGCATACCACATGCCACTCCATATAGGAAAGTCACATTACGGGCGATCTGAACCAGCAGTATACCCAGCACATCCGGAGAAATTGTGCTGCAAGTGAACGACTTTCCGGCTGACCGTCAACCGTCGCCTCCGGGGGGGTGCAGTGCGAGGCCGATCGATTGTTCGGTAACTGCACCTCGATAGCGACGTGTCCAGGTGTTTTCACCAGCTGGCGCCATCGTCGGGGGCGGCTTGTTATACAATCCATTCAATGCTTTATTTGTCCGTCTCCTTCTTTACTGAAGCCCCACAAAATGGCATCTAGACTGGATAGGCTGGTGACTATCCTCGAGACGGGGAGCACCAAGCTTATACGAGAAACCGCCGTCAACCAGCTTGCCGACTGGCAAAAGCAACATCCCGATGAGCTTTTCAACCTATTATCTCGTGTCGTTCCCTACCTTCGCCACAAGGACTGGGAAACTCGCAGCACGGCCGCAAAGGCCATTGGCAGGATCGCCGAAAACGCGCCTCTGTATGACCCAAACGAGGAGGACGGTCCATCAGAGCCAAAGAAAGAAGAGAGTGGCGCCGAAAATGGGCACATAAAGAAAGAAGATGTTGACAAGGACAATCCTCAGATTGCGCATGGCCTCCTCAGGTTTGTATCACTCGATGTCGACTCAATCTTAACTAACGGCAGAGAGTTGCTTCGAGGAGGAGGTATAGAATACAGCCTGGCCTCGTTGGATCCCCAAGCGAGACTAGAACACCAAAAGAAAACGCTATTGGGCCGACTTGGCTTGTTGGGACGCAAATTTGAAGACGAGGAGATGCCTGTTGCTGCACAAAGCCAGTCACTGCCCATGACTCCCATAGACGGTCGAAATGGCAATGGACTTGCCCGAAGCGACAGCACATCTCAGAGTCAATGTGGAGAAGATTCGCAGCTTAGCTCAAGGCAACTCAATGTGTTGAAACGAAAACGAAAGAGAGAGGCTATGAAAGCCTCTCAAGGTAAAGGAGGATTCGGTGACCTGTCAATCCGACGGTCCACGACGGCAGGGTCGGAAGGTTTGATTGGAGACGAGACGCCCACTGCCGAAGGGGAGTCTAAAAAGAATGGCAAAATGAGCGATTACTTTAACCTTGACCGGCCAACTGATGTTGACGAAGACACCAAGGTTGTTAGCGAGTTCAAGGGCCCCGTTATCTCCATCAAATCAGAACTGGAGGTAGAAGATGCATTGGAGGGTTCTGAGTGGCCGTATGAACGACTATGCGACTTTCTCAAAATCGACCTTTTTGATCCGTCGTGGGAGACACGTCATGGTGCGGCCATGGGCCTGAGAGAAGTTATCAGGGTTCATGGTGGAGGAGCTGGGCGCGCTCGCGGAAAGGGCAGAAATGATAACGACTCACTCAACAACAAGTGGCTGGAAGATCTTGCCTGCCGACTTTGCTGCGTATTGATGCTTGACCGCTTCACCGACTACAGTTCGGACACCTCTGTGGCCCCCATTAGGGAGACCATTGGGCAGACTCTTGGTTCCGTCTTGAAGCATATACCCTCCAAGTCGGTTTACGATATCTACCGCATCCTACATCGCATCGTGATGCAGGAAGACCTTGAGTTGGAGCGCGCCGTTTGGGCTGTGCGTCATGGTGGCATGGTTGGTCTTCGATACGTGGTTGCTGTGAGAAAAGACCTCCTTCTGCAGGATGGTGACATGATTGATGGCATTGTACGGGCGGTCATGAAAGGGCTTGGGGATGCGGATGATGATGTCAGGTCTGTTAGCGCAGCCACGCTTATTCCCATGGCAAAAGAATTTGTCACGATGCGCCCGGATCAACTAGATGGTCTGACGAGTATTGTTTGGGAGAGTCTGTCGAACCTGGGTGACGACCTCAGCGCCAGCACCGGGCGTATCATGGACCTTCTCGCTACATTATGCGGTTTCCCGGAGGTACTCGAGGCTATGAAGGCATCAGCAGCCGAGGATGAAGAGCGGTCTTTTACTCTATTGGTCCCGCGCCTCTATCCCTTTCTCCGTCACACTATCACGTCGGTGCGGCTCGCTGTATTGAAGGCTTTGCTCACATTTGCCAACCTTGGCGACAACACTTCACACGGTTGGCTCAATGGCCGAATCCTAAGGCTCATCTTCCAAAACATTCTTGTCGAAAGAGACTTAGAAACGCTCAACACGTCATTAGAATTATGGGACGCCTTAGTGGGCAGCCTGGCGAAAAACCCTACAATCCTTGCAGATGAGTTTGCACCTCATATTGATCCCCTCATGGAGCTTACCTTGCACCCAATCGGCGTCTCTCGAAACCCTGTTCCGATGAATGCGACTTTATTCCAAAAACCCTCCGGCGGAACATATTCGGCACCAGGCATGATGCCGCCCGCTGGGCGACGACTGTCGTCTCCTGATGGCTCGGATAGAGCACCGAAAAGACGACGTAGGTCTACGAAGACAGAAGAGGCTGTTTCAACAGGAATGACTCACGATGTCGACGGTCATATGATGCAAGGTGATGTTGACTTGGTCGGCATGGATGTGCTAATCCGATCTCGTGTTTCCGCGGCTACCGCCATGGGCAAGATCATGTCTTTAGTTCCACCATCGAATCTCGATGATTTTGATGCCCTGCTGGTGCCCGGACTGACATCTGCCTTTTCCTCGACGCAGCTCAGTGCCTGCTTGGTCATTGACGAATTCGCCAAGAATTGCACAAGTTTAGACGAACCATTACGATATACCGAACAGCTGCAACGCATGGTTGAACTGGACAGGCCATCCTCATATAGAGACCTGGTCAATTTCGTGCAGCGGGCTAGGACGCAGTGCCAGCAGCTCATCCATCTGTTCCGTGACCATGGCAAAGTCTCACACGGCAAGCTTCCCGTACTTCCAGTCGTTGTACAAGGTGAGCCGGAAGCAGGACCAAGTGCCTTCTCAATCGCCACGGCAGAGAAGTGCGTCGGAGACGATTTCGAGAGATTGAAGAAGATAATGTCCCCTGGACAGCGCTTGATCGCCAGCCAGCAGCTTTCAGAGGCCAGAAATGTCGCCGTGACCGCTATCGAGGAAGCCAAGTCATTCAAAGCCGCCCGAGATACCAGAATAAAAGCTGGTGCGGCTTGCGCCATGGTTGCGATGAGACTTCTACCGAAGAGACCGAGCCCCTTGATCAAAGGCATTATGGACTCCGTCAAAGCAGAGGAAAATCAGCTACTTCAGACCAGGTCCTCTGCAACCATTTCCAGACTTGTCCAACTTTTTGCCGAGAAGGGTCGCAAGGGGCCTGCCGATAAAGTCGTTGCGAATCTTGTCAAGTTCTCGTGCGTTGAGGTTGCGGAGACCCCAGAATTCCCTGTCCATGCCACCAAAACTTCCTGTATCCTCTCCATGCAAAAGGACGAAGACCGGGTTGATCATCCGGATGCTGCGAAGTGGGCAAAGGAGGCCAAAGCCGCCAGGATCACGAGGCGTGGTGCAAAGGAGGCCCTTGAGATACTCTCAAAGGCTTACGGTGCAACACTCTTAGAAACAGTTCCCAGTCTCCAGAGTTTCATGGAAGAACCTTTGGTCAAAGCCTTCACAGGCGATCTCCCTGCCGAAGCAAGGGATCCCGAGAACGTTTATGGGCAGGAGATTGTCGACGCCATGTCCGTCATCCGAACCATGACACCGACGTTGGACGTTGCCTTGCATCCCTTTATTATGAAAATGCTACCGCTAGTCATCAAGGCTCTTCACTCGGAGCTCTCAGTGTTCCGATACATGGCAGCCAAGTGTCTTGCCACAATCTGTAGCGTCATTACAGTTGAAGGCATGACTGCTCTTGTTGAAAAGGTCCTCCCATCAATCAGCAACCCCTTGGATCTGAACTTCCGTCAGGGCGTCACGGAGGCCATTTATCACTTAATCGCAGTTATGGGGGATGCAATCTTGCCATATGTCATCTTCCTCATTGTGCCGGTTCTTGGGAGAATGAGCGACTCGGACAACGAAATTCGACTTATTGCAACCACGTCGTTTGCCACGCTGGTGAAGCTTGTCCCGCTGGAAGCAGGAATCCCTGATCCGCCGGGCCTGTCCGAAGAACTTCTCAAAGGCCGAGATCGAGAGAGAACTTTCATCGCTCAGCTGCTGGATCCTAAAAAGGTGGAACAGTTCAAGATCCCTGTCGCTATTAAAGCCGAACTGCGCTCCTATCAGCAAGAAGGTGTAAACTGGCTTCACTTCCTCAACAAGTATCACCTCCATGGCATTCTCTGTGATGACATGGGCTTAGGCAAGACTCTCCAGACGATTTGCATCGTGGCCAGCGATCACCACGAACGACAAGAGCAATTTGCCAAGACAGGCGCTGCTGATGTGAGGCGACTACCATCCCTTATTGTTTGCCCTCCCACTCTCTCCGGACACTGGCAGCAGGAAATTAGGACATATGCGCCCTTCCTTACAGTCACAGCTTACGTGGGACCGCCTGCTGAGCGAAAAACAATGAGAAATAACCTTGGGGAAACCGACATTGTAGTCACATCATATGACGTGTGCAGAAACGACACGGATATTTTGGACAAACATAGCTGGAATTACGTCGTTCTTGACGAGGGCCATCTGATCAAGAATCCCAAGGCGAAAATTACTCAGGCCGTGAAGAGGCTTGCGAGCAACCACCGCCTCATCCTCACCGGCACGCCGATTCAGAACAATGTTCTGGAGCTCTGGTCATTGTTTGACTTCCTCATGCCAGGCTTCCTTGGGGCCGAAAAGGTGTTTCTGGACCGTTTCGCCAAGCCAATCGCTGCCAGTCGTTTCAGCAAAGCATCGTCAAAGGAACAGGAAGCTGGCGCGCTGGCAATTGAGGCGCTCCACAAGCAAGTGCTGCCATTCTTGTTACGTCGGTTGAAGGAAGAAGTGTTGAACGATTTGCCGCCAAAGATTTTGCAAAACTACTACTGCGACCTTAGCGACTTGCAAAAGAAATTGTTTGAAGACTTCACTAAGAAGCAAGGCAAGAAGCTGCAGTCGGAGGCTGGTCGCGACGACAAGGAAGCAAAACAGCACATCTTCCAGGCCCTGCAATACATGCGGAAACTGTGCAACTCACCAGCTATGGTCATGAAACCAGGTACCCCGGCGTACGAGGACACACAGAAGATCCTGCAGAGGCAAGGGACGTCAGTTGAGGATCCGATTCATGCTCCCAAACTTACGGCCTTGAAAGATCTCTTGGTTGACTGTGGAATTGGTGGCGATGATGGGGATGCCAACGATCCTTTGTATCAACCGATCAAACCACACCGAGCGCTTATCTTTTGTCAAATGAAGGAAATGCTCGACATGGTTGAGAAGAAGGTTTTGAAGGAGCTTTTACCTTCGGTATCTCACCTTCGACTGGATGGATCTGTTGAAGCAAACAAGAGACAGGATATCGTCAACAAATTCAACAGCGATCCATCGTATGATGTGCTACTCTTGACGACTAGCGTTGGCGGCCTCGGATTGAATCTGACCGGTGCAGATACCGTCATTTTTGTTGAACATGACTGGAATCCACAGAAAGATTTGCAAGCCATGGATCGTGCGCACAGAATTGGACAAAAGAAGGTGGTCAATGTATATCGCCTGATCACGCGTGGCACCCTGGAGGAGAAAATCTTGAGCCTCCAACGGTTCAAGATTGACGTAGCATCGACAGTTGTCAATCAACAAAACGCAGGTTTGTCAACAATGGATACAGACCAGATTCTCGATCTTTTCAACCTGGGTGACTCTGGGCCCAACCTGATCTCTGATAAGCCGCAAAAGGACATGGACGGACGGGAGGAGGATATGGTGGATATTGAGACTGGTGATGTTTTGCGTCAGCCAGGTAAGAAGGCATGGCTGGATGATCTTGGTGAACTATGGGACAACAAGCAGTATGAGGAAAGCTTTGACCTGGACGACTTTATGAAGACCATGTCATGAGCTCATTTGACATACCGCCACTACCTTTTAGGAGACTTTCTTCCTCTTTAAACGGCAGGACGATACCGGAGCACCTGGACGTGATTTTTGGGAGCATTTGGACAAGCCTGGCGCACGCGGCTAGCGAGTGGATTTGGGCTTTGTACAGTACGTAGGTTTCAACACGGGAGAGACTTGCAGGACTATTTCCGTAGAGAAAAAAGCAATATGAGAGGTGAAGCCTCGGGCGTCGATACAAACAATGCAATGTTCACATGCTGAGAGAAGAGCTGGTGGGGGGGCGTGTCAAAGGAAACTAATTAAAGTTGCCCCACCGAGCTCCGGTTGCGAAGACATCTTCCACGTTCCATCGACGTCCTTCAGTGCGGGATCATCGACATTCGTGACTTTTGTTTGACAGCCAGGCCGCATACACTGCACTCTGACTGACCGGTCTGACTGGGACTCGCAGCCAAGATGCCCGTTGACTACAGCAAATGGGTACGCAGCAAAAGCTCCCAAACTGCAGTTGTTTCCCACGATTCAAATCCCCCTTCCCTGGATGACGCCATACTCCGCCTCTCTTACTGATGCTGAGGTGCCTCGCAGGACGCGCTGGAGCTCAGCGATGACTCGGATATCGAGGTCCATCCCAACGTAGACAAAAGATCCTTTATCCGTGCCAAGCAACACCAAATCCACCAAGATCGACAGCAACGCAAGCTCCAGATCGAAGCGTACAAGTACGAGCGGCTCATCCACGATGGCCTCTTGAAGCGCATCTCGTCCCTGCTGGCGTCGCTGAGGACGCATGCTTCCGAGGCTGCCGGCAGAAACCCTGGCGAGATGGCGTTCAAGGCTGTCATGGAAACGGCCGGTGACCCCAAGGACGACCAGGTTCCCCCACGACCCGAGGGACTGCACAGCGACGCTGGGGAGCCCAAAACGTACTCGCAGATGATGGCTGCGCTGTTGGACGAGGTCAACAAGGCGCTCGACGCCAAGGATCCCCAAGACCGGTATCAGGCCATGATTACGGAGCTCCAGGGACATGCGGACAAGATCGACAAGATGCAAAAGGAGCTTACGCCGAAACTCGACAAGCTTCTTCAAGAGGAGGGAAAGAAAATCACAAGCGCCGACATCCACACTGGATTCGACAGTTCACACGTTGCCAAGACGAAACCGTCTGAGAAGAAGGGTGCATCCACAGAGGTGGAACTCCTGAACCCCAATGCCCTGTCCTCCGACTCGCAGTCACGCAGTGACAAGGCAAAGGTCGATGAGGATGAGGAGGTGGAGGCTTCGCCCGCGGCCAAGAAGTTTGCACAGATTGGCTCTAATGACTACGCTGCCAGCCTGCAATACCTCTCGCAGAACCCGCAGATCTTGACGGAGAAGGAGACGGACGGCCTATTGGTGCTGGCTTTCGATGCGGCACTGGAAAAGAAGTACGACTATTCTCGTCAATGTGTCCACCAGGCGCTGCTATTGCAGTACTGCAGGCTTCTCGGGAAAGACGGGGTCCGTCTGTTCTTCCAGAGAGTCACAACCAAGGGTCACCAGGCGCAGACCGTGTTCTACGACGACGTCCGAGACACCTACACGCGCATTAAGAAGCGGGCACAGGAAATTATCGAACAGCGTGCCAAGGAACCCGAAGAGGGCGTCGAACAGATTCAGCTCCATGCCGTCGAGCCAGGGACGGTCATTCAAATCAAGGTGCCTGCTGCCCAAAGCCAGGACACGGCGGAAAAACGGGCCCGGGAAATTTTTGACGGTTTCAAGCCAGATATGAAGGAGGCCCTGGAGTCGGGGAGTCTGGATCAAGTGAACAAGGTGCTGGGTCAGATGAAGGTGGATGAGGCTGAGAAGTTGGTTGCACTGTTTGGAGAGGCAAGTTGGCGAAGCACCTTTGAGTGCAGGACGCGACTAACATTTTGTGGCAGGCAAACATCCTGAGTCTCGAGGAACAAATTATCGATGCCACGACAGAGGAAGGGCGAGAGCAGTTGAAGGAGCTGGAAGCGGCGGCCAAGGCAGGGGCAGAGGCCGAGGCCGAGGGACCGGTGGGAGACCCTGAATAAGATTCTGGGCTCGGGGTTACAATGATGCACGATGTTGATGTAGTGTTGACGTGTGCGCGTCTCTGATTGTCTGGACGGTGGTCAAGCCGCCTGCTGAGATTGAGGCAGCACGGTGACTCCCACCGCAGTTGTAGGCCAGTAAAATATACATTTATTAGTGCGGTCAGAGCTGGCAGGGCCAAGGTGGAGGAGGGGATGAATCCCTAGTCAATCGGGGCCGGTTTCGCCTTGAGTGTGTCTGTCGGCTTGGCTTTGTTCTGCCACCAGCTGACGGGCGGACGAGGCGAGGAGAAGGAGAGAGGCGAGAGGCGAGAGGCGAGAGGCGAGATAAAAATAGCTGCGGCATCCTCAGCCACATGGTCAAACAGCCACCCCTTGGACTGGCGGAGGAGGCGGGCTGTTTCCGATTGATGCTACTCCGTAATTAGCAATTAGTTAGTAATTGCACTTGGCGGTGCCAAGGCGCGGAGTGGACGTAATGCAGACGCCAAGTTTGCTGGTCCAGCGAAGCGTTCGTTTCGCATCGCATGGCATCGCAACGGCCGGCTCGGCGGCTGCCGTTGCTGGAGGCGCAGCGCCGCCTCCCGGACGAGGCGTCGGTCGAGGCAGGGCTGGGAGTACGGAATCGAGGACAGGACCGTGTACGGAGGATACGGAGCACCAAGCCGCTCTATTATTACCGGACAGGGCATTGCTGGGAGTCTGGGACCTTGTTAGTAATAAAAGTCGTTGTTGGCCGCTGCCTCGCTGCCTCGCCGCCTGCCTGGCTGTCCTCTCGTGGTGCCCTCTCGTGCGTCTTCCTGTAAAGTCCTTCCATTCTGTATCCAACTTGCTGCATCCACGCATCCCGACCAGGGTGCTTTCTCCCCTGCTTGTGGCCATTGTCGTTTCTGTTTCCTATATCCGTTGCGTCCCGTTCCGGCAATCGAGCTCCTCGTCTGCGACTCTCTTCCCCTGATGACGTTGCTGGCCTCGTAGCACCCGAGCCCCGTTATACCATCGATTCCCTTTGTCGATTTCTCCAGGGGGACGGCCGATTTTTACTTTCGAGGACAAGGCTCCATCGCCACGGTCCGAGACTCCGAGCCATGCTCATGCCACTGAGCCAGGTTCTCCTTGCAGTGCTGGCTGCTGGCTCTGCCCGCGCCGCTCCGCAGGCAGCCTCGACCACAGCCGCAGCTCCCTCATCGTCGTCGACGTCCTCCCCGTCTGGACAGGCGTGCAACAACTCGCCGAGCCTCTGCGGCCGTCAGTACAATGCCGTCACACACATGGGCGCCCACAACAGCGCCTTTCTGCGAGACAGCAGCACGGGCAACTCCCTCGCCGGGAACCAGTTCAGGAACGCCACGGCGGCCCTCGACGCCGGGCTACGGCTTCTCCAAGCCCAAGTCCACAAACCAAACACCACGCTGGAGCTCTGCCACACGTCGTGCAACCTGCTGGACGCGGGGCCCCTCGAGGCCTGGCTCCAGGACATCAACGCCTGGGTGGCCGCGCACCCCAGCGACGTGGTGACCCTGTTGCTCGTCAACTCGAACAGCGCGCCTGCGTCCGACTACGGCGCCGTCTTTGAAAGCGCCGGCCTGGCCAAGGTCGCATACAGGCCGCAGTCAAACGCCGCGACGTCCACTTGGCCGACCCTCCAGTCCATGATCTCGGCAGACGCCCGCGTCGTCACCTTTGTCACAAACATGGACTACTCCGCTTCCGCGCCCTACCTCCTCCCCGAGTTCGACCATGTCTTCGAGACGCCGTTCGAGGTCACCGCCCTTGACGGCTTCAACTGCACCGTCAGCCGGCCGTCGAGGGCCAGCCCGGCATCCGGCTCCCTGTCCAGCGGCTTCATGAGCCTCGTCAACCACTTCAAGTACCAGAGCCTCGTGGCCAACATCCAGGTGCCCGACGTGGGCGCCATCGACACGGTCAACAGCGCCGGCACGTCCGAGCCCGGCAACCTGGGCACGCACCTGCAGCAGTGCAGGACGGAGTGGAACAAGGCGCCCAGCTTCGTGCTCGTTGATTTCTGGGACAAGGGCGACCCCATTGCCGCCCTCGACGGCATGAACGCCGTGACTGATGCCACGGGGAGGACAAGTTCGCGCTCGGCCGGTCGGTCGGCCGGGAGCGGCCTTGCCAAGGACGAGAAGCTTGGCGCCGGGGCCTTTGTGGCCTTTGTCTCGGCCGCCTTGTTTTTGCTGTAGCCCGAGTTGGGGAATGCGCACCTTGTTTTTTTTTTTGTTCTTTTCTTTCCGGGACGGGCATGTCATTGGGGGCACGGGAGTCGGGTAGTATTTCATTAGATTGGACTGCTGGTACAAGGCATTGACCGATAACAAAACAGGCTGTCATCAGCCGCGCCGGATACAGGCAAAAAGTTTCATTCCTCGTGTGCGGCCAAGTTGCAACCAAAGTTCAAGCTTGAGACGTGTGTGCTCTGTACTCTGTACTCTGTAGCAGGCGGCGCAACGGCGAAGATGGCACCGATGCGCCGCGGGGGGTCGGTGGGGCATCAAACGGACGCGCGCGGCCACGGAAACGGAAAGTGCAGGGAAAGAAGACGGCCGCCGCACCTGCACTCCCGTCTCGCAGCCACGGCATCATCCACGACGACCACGACAACCGCGACCATGGACTACGACTCCATCCGCACGCCCGACGCGTGCTACGCCGACTTTTGTCTCATCCCGGTAACGACGCCCGTGCCGTGCGCACGCACCCGAGCCAAAGCCGTTTGTTTGGTCGCGAGCTGACTCCGCCCACCCGCGCAGGTCGGGACCGGCACCGCCTCCGTGGCACGAGAAGTCGCGCGGGTGCAGCGCGTCCTGGAAGCAAGCGGGCTCAAGTACACGCTTCACTCGGCGGGCACGACGGTCGGTAAGCCGAAGCCGCAGCCGGCCGCGTCGTCGCGCAGACTGCTGACGCAGGCAGGGCCGCAGAGGGCGGCTGGGACGACGTCATGACGGCCATTGGCAAGGCGCACGCGGCCGTGCATGAGGGGGGCGTGGCGAGGGTGCAGTCGAGCGTGCGCGTGGGCAGTCGGTACGCACGGTGCCGGGTGCTGGTTGCTGGTTGCCGGTTGCCGGTTGCTGACCTTCCTCCAGGACGGACAAGAAGCAGACGGCCGAGGACAAGGTCAGGAGGGTGGAGGACTTGTTGGGACGGGACGAGGGCGTTGGGCGTTGATCATGGCGGCCTTGGGCAGGGCAGGGCAGGGCGGGCCGGGCACTCGGAGGGAGATGTTGTCACGACTCACGACTTGCGACCTGGCCGTCACTGGCGCGGCGGGCGCACCCTGTGTCTTTCTCTCTCTCCTCTTTTCTTTAACCTAGTCAACTTGGACGCCTTTGTCGTGACAAGGCGCTACTCATCGTACGAGCGCCGGATTTTCCCACTACACACGACTCGTACACAGCCCGGTCGGGGCATCGTCGTCGCTCCATACCCATCATCCGCGCATGGTCATCTTCTTCTGGCTTCTCCGGAGCTCCTTCTCCTTCTCCTTTTCTAGATACTTCTTCTGCGCCTTGGCGTCCAGACCCTTGAGTTCGGCGTCACGCCTGGCCTTCTTGGTCTTCTCCCTCTCCAACTGACGCTCCTCGCTCTTCTCCTCCTCGGCAGCCTTCTTGATCTGGGACATCATGGCCTCGCGGGTGGCACGCACCTTCTTCAGCACCTCGGGGCGGAAACGCCCATTCTGCACCAGGAAGTCGGGCAGGCGGAGGAAGTAGGAAAAGATGGGCAGCAGCTCGTCGTAACGGCCGCCAGAGGGGAGACGGTACTTGAGGAAGATGCGCTTGCGAGGGGTGGCGTCGTCCAGCTTGACCGGCCTTTCCACCGGCTGGTCAGACACAATGAGATAGTCAAAGTTGTCCCCTGCAGCCACGGCAGCGTCAATGAGATCCTGCGTGAGCAGCCTGTCGGTGACTTCGGCGCTCTCACTCATGACAGTGAGCCAATTGGGCAGCTTCGAGTTCTCCTTGGTCGTAGTGAGAGTCACGTCGTATCGGTCTTCGCGGAGGCGCTTCATGCTTTCCTTGTGGACTAGAGCCCAGACGAACCCATCATAGTTGCTCTTGGCGTCCTTGGCACGAGACTCCTCAGAGCCGGGCAGAGAGGGGATCGTCAAGCTCTCCTTGCCGTCAAAGGGGTAAAGGAAAGCTTCCATCGTGTCGCTGGGCGCGGTGAAGGCGTCGCTGAAGAAGGATGCGGCCGTCTCGGCGAGGTTCATGACAGGGTTGAACTTTTTGGTAAGAGTGAGCTTGACGTCAACAAAGGCCGTGTTCTGTCGTCCCGTGGCGTACGTGGCGAACTCGAAAAGCGACTTCTCCTTGAGGAGAGAGTCGGGCTTGATGTCCTCGCCGTCCATGGTGGGCACGCCACGGAAGCCGACGAGAGCAAATTCCTTGCTCAGAACGGGCGCGTTGGCCCTGATCCAGGACTTGGCCCTGGAGCGGTTGGCCCGCGCACCCATCACATGGAAGAGAAAGATCAGGGCCGAGATGGCGAGGATGACACCCTCTGCCTTGAACTCGGATAACGAGTGGCGCTCGTGAACATTGTACCACTTCGTATACGGACGTGACGTGGCCGCGGCGTCAGCAGCGCCTCCTCCTATCGTCGCGACAGGAACGGGCTCGGCGACGGGATCAGGAGCTTCAGCAAAGTCGGCAAAGTCTATCAATTGGCATGATTAGCATGGGGAGGCGACGCAATGCACGCAGAAAAGCAGGGGCAAAGTCGCACCGAGTCGCACCTCAGGTTTGCGACGCAGAATCGAATGCGAGCGACGCCGGGGCCATCGCGGCAAATCAAGACTTACCCGGGTCAACCTCGGGCTTTGTGGCAGGCTCGTTGTCCTTGCCGCCGCCAAAGACGTTTTTCAAGAAGTCAGCCATGACTGGCGTGGTCGAGGCGGACGATGGAGGCGGAGGTCGAGGGGAGCGAAGAAGGAAGAGCGAGATGTAGCAGAAAGTTTCGTGATTGACAGACAAGATCCATGGTGGGTCCGCATCGTTGGCGTTTGACCGTCTGGGGCTTCCCTGCTCCGTTGGAGACGCGACAGGGATCCTGGAATAAACACCAACATTTCTTGCGAGAGAGAGAGAAAGAGAGTAGTGTGACGGGGGCAACGCCGACATGGTTTTCCAGATTGACAATCAACTCTGTCGCGACATGGCTCACAACAGCTTGTCTCGCGAGCTTGGATGTCCACCCAGCCACGCCGACGTTCTCGGTATGCTCCGTGCACAGCTCACAACATACTTAAAGGGAACAGGGAGAGGAGAAGCCCCTTTTCATCTGCAAAAGGCCAGGATATGCAACCCGTACTCTTGCTGTATTTTTACACTCTTACATTGTATCATGCACATTATCGACCCTGGCTCCACACGCCATGGCGAGCTTGAGGTACGGAGTGACGGCCAGTCAATTAATGCCAGCTACTGGACCTTCGTTGCCCCGCCAACCTCGACTCGTCCATCCACGTCGCAGGCCCTCGAGCGAACTTGGACGACACACCCGGCAATAGCAATCATGACAACCTAGCAGCCCGAAGTCGAGATGCCTCGAACAAAAGTGACGGTTAAATATGGCAAGCGGTCGACGCGGACCAAGGCCGAGCGCCTTTTCGCCGAGCTACCGCAGAGTCCTGTGCGAAGGCCGCCAGCCGTGGACATCGACGACCCTGTCGCTTTAGTTACCGGAAAGCTGTCGATAGTGCGACTAGAAGACAAGCCAAGACAGCCACGCAGATCGCCTCGAAAGAGTGTTCGGCAAAAAAACCCCATTGATGATAAGACGGACTCCTCAGACAGCCCACAAGACCCAGGCGACTCGGACTATAGAAACCCCAAGGGAGATTCTCAAGACACCGCCTCTGCGAGTAATGAAACCGGCGACGCAGATGGCCGGGAGCATCCGCCGGAAGAAACAGCTGGCGACACGTCACTACGGGTTTTGACCTGGGACGACGTTTGTCCCCTGGGGGACCGCATAGAAAAGATTGCAGAGGCCTCGTATGCAGAGGTCTACCGCGTCACAAACGAGCGGGGAACCAGTGTGATTAAGGTCATACGTTTGCCCTCACCGATCAAGCCCCAGACCAAAGCTCAGGTGCGATCCAAGCTCGTCGATGAAGAGCCCCATTCCGAGGAGGACGTCAACGGCGAGTTGCAGATATCCGAGTGGTTGGCGGACATTCCTGGATTTGTGGTGTACAAGGAGAGATATATCGTCCAAGGGAAGACGTCGAGGGCGTTGCTCGAGACGCATCAGGTGTTTCAGAGACGGATGAAGAGGAAGGACCCTGGACGGGCGCAGTTTTATCCATCACCAAGTCGGTATCTTGATGACACCAAATTTTTGGTGGTCGAGTTGGGGGATGCCGGTACGGCGTTGGAGGATTGGGAGTTGACAGATGAGCGTGAGTTGTGGGACATATTCTTCTTGGAGGCCATTGCATTGGCCAGGGCCGAGGAGATTGCCATGTTCGAGGTAAGAGAGTAATCTACGTCTTGTACAGAGCAGCAGCGGAGGTTGGTTGAGCCTGACGTCGCTGCAGCATCGGGATCTTCACGAGGGCAACTTGTGTATCAGACAAGCGCGGCCCCCGACGCCGAGGAAACCTGGGTCGCGGGGATACTTTGGCTATTCAGGCGTCGACATCACCATCCTGGACTACGGACTGTCGCGGGCCGAGGATCTGTCCATCGACTTTGCGAAGCCCATTGCCTACGACCTGGAGCGAGATCTCGGCCTGTTCACGAGCAACCATGCTGCACAGTGCAAGGTGTACCGTCAAATGCGGTCTTTTCTGCTTCGAGCAGACCGTAAATGCCTCCCTCCGGAGGCGCACAAGACTCCCTACGCCAAAGGCGTCGACGGACCACTCTGCTGGGAAGCACATGTGCCCTACACCAACGTGTTGTGGCTGGCTTATCTCTACGAGTACCTCCTTGATAACTTTCAAGGGGACCCGAAGCAGCTGGCGCGATTCCAGAAAGAAACGGCTGACATGTGGATGTACCTGAACCCCGATGCCGACGAGAGTACGCCCTGCTTCGGCGCCGCAGGGGACATTGTGTGCTTTGCTGTCGAATCAGGCTGGATTCGGGAGGAGCAGTTGCTCGGGTGTGGGGCCTCGATGATTGAGAGAGAGGACAGCATCATCGTGTCGAAGGATGAAGGGGCTGCGGACGTTCCGTCGAGGCGTTTGTCGAAGAGGCTCACGACGTGAAGGAGCGAAACAAGTGTGTGCGGTGTAGACTGACGTGAGCCGCCTTTGGTGTTTCCGCATACGGCAGCGTTGCATGGTGAAGGAATGTCTATTTTCGGTGTTTGTATATGACAAGGCAGCGTTTGAACTTATAGATACCATTCCACGGGCTGGGAGTTGAGATGGAGACTTGCTTGTTGCGTCATCTTGATAGATGTACGGGTTGGATACCATAGAAGATAGAATTGGCATTGCTGGCACTACTGCCATGTGAGGATGCACGAAAGCGAGAAGAATGCCGGCAAGTGTGGAGGAGCACGTGATGGATCGCAGAGGGTTCGCAGGAACTCTGCCCGGCGTTCAGCAAACCCGTGGCCGAGGTCAACAAGGCTAATATGATGTCTGGAACGGAACCCAAGGTAGTGAGTGCACTTACGGAGTACTTGGCATGATACATGTTTAGCGGCACGCCCCCTTTGGCGTCAGCAGCCGCCATTCATTGGCCGGCTGCCCAATAGTCGCTCCGGAGACGTGCTGAAGGCCACTGCCAATTGGCCGGGAGCTGGCCCAGACAACGATCACACTGTTTTCTCCAAAAAGCCTCGGCTCAACGCCGCCATTCCACTTCCCACTTCTGAAATCAAGTTGCCCGCTTCCACGTCCACATGTCATGTCGCGGTCCGCCATTTGATCGTCCTCATCTGTGCAGCCCTTGGCTCTGGCACGCCGTTTCCAATTCTACTCCTCTTCTTCCACTCTTGCGTCCCTTGTGATGGTGCTGCACGACATAATAGCATCATCTTCTTTGTGATACCTGCTCTTTCTTGACTCGACCAGCCCCTCCTTTTCTCCCTCAGCTTGCCATCTCCTCCGTTAGGATCCGACGGCCGTCTCGAATACGAACCGCCGCTGGAAGTCGCGCTCTCTTCCGTCTCCCATCTTCAATTCATTGCGAGCGTTACATGTCGAGGACCATGCCGAACTGGTAATCCGCTTGCCCAAGTTCTTGGTTGCCTGCCATGTCGTCGTCAGTTAATGGACCGTCCTTCGCTGCTGGCACTCCCAAAATGTCCGCGTGTGCCTCGGATGCATTCGGCCGTCACCTTCTTTCGTCGTCGCTGCAATCATCGACCATCGCGTCGAGGCATACGTCTCAAATTTCCAAGACATATCGCCAAGCCTCAACCTTGTTCCTGACGCGTCGTCTGCCCGAGGCGCTCACCACCCTAACACCGCTCATCATCCCGCCTGGTTCGGCTGATGATGGCGAGCCTGCACCTGTCGCTGGTGCTTCGAGGACCACGAGGATCAAGGTCTGGAGCTTGTTTTTGACCATTCTCAACGCCGTTTTGGAAATGGACTCCGAAGAGGGCAAGGATGCTTTTGGCAATCAGGACTGGAGGGCATTGTGCGCAAAGGTCCGTGACGGACAAGTGTGGGAGGAGGTTGTTCAGAACGGCTACCATGGACTTGAGGGCGATGTTGACTCGGACGTTGTCATCAATCTGTAGGAAATCCCCGTCCCCCTCTTCCTCTCAAGTTTGGCTGGCGCTCATGTCTAACCACGTTGCCATGAAGAGCAACTATTCTACTCGCGCACGCTCGTGACCAGATATTGAACCAGCGTCGGCTGGAGACGTATCTGGCCACCACAACTACGCCGAATCTCGACCTCGCGGGCAAACTCAACGGTTCACCTGCCCCGGGGTCGCGCTTGGGTTTGGGCTCGCGATACCGCTCACCAGCTCCAGGGACTAGCGGTGCGAACACTCCCCGTGACCTCAATGCTCGAGTCAAGATTCTTGAGCTGTATACTCTGCACGTCTTGCCGCGCAATAACGAATGGGAGTACGCGCGTGACTTTATCAGCGCAAGCTCCGTTTTGGATGACGAGCGAAGGGAGGCATTCCTCCAGGCACTCCAGAGCCTGCAAGAAGATCAGAAAGAGCGGGATCGCCTGGAAAGAGAAGAGCGCCAAAGGCAAGAAGAGGAGCTTCGTCGGGAAATCGAGGATGCCAAGCGACAACGGGCAGAAAATGAAGCCAGAGAACGAAAAAGACTTGAGGATGAGCGGGCAAGACGAGCACCTGGTGAAGTAGACTATGGCGTGGACCAGGCACATAGTTCGTCAACAAGCGGCAACAGGTCTCGTCAATCTCGCGCAACTAGACCACAACACCGGCCAAATAAGCTTTCCGCCTCATCAAGGCAGAATGGCAAGGCTATTGCACCTGCAACACTTACCGCACGAGCCACTGTGGTCATGACCAGGTTACGATCGGTGATTGAGGAACTGGCCAGGTCTTTGAACAGCAACCCAGCCTTGCTGATGAGATTCTTGGCCTTTATTGTTGGATTTTTGATCACGCTCGGCCACAAAGGCATCAGGCAACGCATCCAGCGAATATTGGGCGCTTCGTGGAATAAAGTAGTGGCCACAGCAGGCATGGGTACCAAGGTCAGCTATATTTGATTCAGACCGACTCTCGTATCATATGAATTCTTGGATTTGAGCATCATGAGGAGTTTATGGACTGTACGGGACTTTGTTTTGTGCCAACTAGGTACGCAGTGGCGCATCATCTTTTGGGCGTGACTTGACTACGCTCATACCGGGACGACATTGTCTACACGTTAGACCTGCGGCATGCTCTATGTATCTGCATGTCACTTCAATATGCAATTCGAAGATGATGCTCGAGGAGACTTGGTGAACTGTGGACATGCCTCCGTTTGATTTGCACGCAAAATGTCGTCAATGTGACACGTATCGTGACTGAAAATGGGGGAATATAGCAAACTCCTTTGACCCCAACTAGATTCCAACTTTGACAAATTTCATCCTTGCCTTGCACTCCAAAACGCCGAGTCCCTACATGTCGAGCACCACCAAGTACACGCCAGCATTACTCCCGACTATGCATCGAAACCCAATTGCCCAGACCCGGGCCACTTCAAGGCTAGTAATTTGCCGACCGATTCGTTTTCTTTTGATAGAATAGCTGCACATGACGTTAGTGTCGGACTCGTCTTGACTCGTTGCCCGCGCAGAACGGGCGAAAAAGGAAAAAATTCTGAAAAAAAAAAAAAAAACCCAAACTCACATCTGTCCTTGAACTACCCAGATTGATAATCTTGGGACAGCCGTCACGGTCCTTCTCCAAGCGCGTACACTCGAAGCAGTAAAATGCGTCGGAAATGCCTTCCCCGCCACAGACGACACACTTGTTCTGGTAGTTGCCGAAGCTGCACTCGTCGCAGATGCGCACGAGAGTAGTAGGGCGCACGTAGGAGTCGCAGACGGGGCATTTGCCGTCGCATTTGTCGCAGAGGCGGCCGATGGCGATGCCCGATTGCTTGCGGCACATGACGAGGTCGCTGGGTGGCGATTGTTAGCTCTGCGAGCCCCGCGTGGGACGGAGACTTACGGATGATGGCGGGACATGGTGGCGGTTGGCCGGGCGTGACGACGACAGTGAAATAGGTAGATGTAGAGGTGTTATGTATATCGAGTATTTGCACAATTGGGAGGGATGGGTTTCGACCTTTTCTTCATGCTCAGCCTTGCGTGGCGTGGCGAGCGGTTGCTAGAGGATTCGGCGACGCAACCACCGACCGGCTGGCCAATCATGTCATTGCACCGGGCGGCGGCAGCTGGCAGCTGCCCTGGGCAGGCAGGCAAGGCCCCACTTTGTGCACCCCGTTGGCGACACTGTGCGAGACCGGGGGGGGGGGGGGGCCTGTTTGAACGGATTGTTGTTCCTGTGCCGCCGACGAGCTCGTCAGTCCCAGCGTCACGAACACATGCGCATCCACGGGGCGAGCCTGAAGGGTACAGATGGGAACATGCCCCCTTCCCGCGATTAACGGCAGCGGTTTTGATTTGGAATACTCTGTACATGCGACAGTGCAGAGGACCGGCCCATGGCTACGGAGACGTACGTGCAGCTTCGTGTCCTGAGAGATCTTCACCACTAGTTTTTTTTTTTTTTCCAGAACCTAACCTTGTGCGAAAACGACAGTAGCATCCCCCCAGCGGTGGGCGGATCGCCAACGCCGGAAGACAGGAGATCCCGTCACGAGGACGTACCTCTAAAGCGAAAGGCATCGCTTGCTGACGACGACGGTGACTCGTCCTTCACCAAACGCCAGCGACAGGACGACGACGGCTCCCCGCCGCGCCGCAGACCACCTGTCCAGGAAACAGCCCATGAAAGAAGGGCATCCGCGACGCAGGAGGAAAAGAAGCGGGGGAAACGGCTGTTCGGGGGTCTCCTGAGCACGCTCAGCCAGACAAGCACGAACTCGCAGCACAAACGACGACAGGAGATCGAACGGAAACAGCAGGAACGCATACAGAAGCAGAGAGATGAGGAGGACAAGAAACGGGCAGACAAGGTGGCGAGGATAAAGGAGACGAGGATCGTGCAACAGATTGACTTTGAGGAGCAGGTGGTGAGTGGTGACATGGCGGGGAGGGCAAAGGGCCAATGCTGACCTCACCTACTGGGTGCTAGATGCGGAACAAACACTCCAAGCTGTTAGCCCTGGCGGAATTCTTAAAGACAAAGTCACAGCCTTCTATTGTGAGTCGGGTGTGCTACATGCTGCGTCCGGCTTTTGCGCGTGTGGGACAGGCTGACGCCCAAATTAGTATTACTTGCCGTGGAAAAGAAGCGCGGACCAGGAAGACCTCATCGACGATCAGGTTCGGTCCGCAAAGGCCACGATAGCCAAGGAAGAGGAGGAGTTCAAGACGAAGAAAGAGCGCCATTTAAGTCGGTACCAGCCGCGCCGATTATCGTCAGACGGGGAGAAGGGAGACGCCATGGGAGGATTGGCAGCTACAGATGCGGGCGAGAAGCACGGCGAGGGACGGCGCGAGCAGGAGCTGGTCGGCAGGGACGAAGACAAGTCGGCGCATCATGACGATCCACACGACGAGTCGGGGGACGTGGTGGTGGAGGCCGATGAGGACACTGTCATTTACTAGGGAGCTGGAAAACCAAGGCGTTGCGCGTTTCGACACGCCTATTTGTATTATACGGCATTGCTCGAGGATCACTCCAGCTAGGCGTTTTGTCAGGACGGTGTCCCGGTGGTGTTATGGACTCGGGACCGTTGCGGCTAGCTACCAAGCAGCAGGGTTAGTAAGTCCATCGTGGTAGGTAGTTTGGAGCCTCGTCCTCGTCGATGCACAATCTGGAATCCGGATGGGCACGGTGTGTAAACCGCAGCATTTGGCATCGCATCGTCCCGGCTCCCGACTCCCGACTCCCGACTCCCGACTCTCGACTCTCGACTCTCCTACTGCCTACTCCGTACTCCGTACTCCCCTTTTGATGTTGCCCGACCCCAAGAACATGCATGTCTCACGTGCAGCTTGAGCAACGTTCGTGGCCAACTCCAAGATTAAGACTGGGCAGCCTCGGCCCTCGACGAGCGTATCGCAGCCGTCGACAGCAACCTGGGGCCAGATCAAGGTGAAAAGAGAACAGAGACCAATCGCCCGACGCTGCCCCCAAATACTACATTACATACATACAGCAAGCAGGCAAAGCCATCAAAGCCCGGCCGTCCCGACTTCCCCCCCCCCTTTGGCTGGCGTGCAGGCGGTGTTTAGCATTCATCCGGTTTCCGATCCCTGAGAAACAACCCGCCCGCGTCACCGTCACCCGGCTTTTCAATGGTCTATAGCCCCATCTACCTAGGTATATTCTCGACATAACTCATAGCACCACGGGCTCCAAGAGCTACAATGGGAATCGAATTTGTCTCGTCGAACGCTTTGGCCAGCGAACACGGACGGCACCGCGATGCGGGGAAGCAGCCAGGGGTGGAGGGGCCGCGAGGTAAACTCAGATTGTTAGTCGTTTCGTTCGGCCAGCTTACTGAACGAGTTCGTGTAGTCTTGCGGGAGCACCACGCCCGTCTTGCTGTACAATGTCCGCTTCGCCTTCGCGCCACCAGCCCGGACCGCCCTCGCCTATATAAGGCCGTGTGCCCGTATCCGCCGTCGCAGCGAGTCCCTCCTCCACGGGGCTCCTGCGCCGAGCCTCTGACACGACCAACGCCATGACGTCTAAACTTGTCCCCGACGACCCGCGGGTTCGCGAGGAGACAGTCTCCGTCCGCGGCAAGCGGTACAACTACATCCTCGGGGAGCCGGACTCGCCCCCCGTCGAGACCGTCTTCCTCATCCACGGCTTCCCCGACATGAATTTCGGCTGGCGCTGCCAGATCCCGTACCTGGTGTCGCTCGGCCTGCGGGTCGTGGCTCCCAACATGCTCGGGTACGCGGGGACCTCGCGGCCGGACGACCTGGCCCAGTTCTCGCACAAGAGCATCTCGGCGGACTTGAAAGAGCTGGCGGCCAGCTTCGTCGGCCAGGACGGCCAGATCATCCTTGGCGGCCACGACTGGGGCGGCGCTCTGGTCTGGCGGACCGTCCTGTGGCACCCGGAGCTCGTCAAGGCCGTCTTCAGCGTGTGCACGCCCTTTGCGCCCCCGAACCCCGTCTGGATCCCGCTCGAGGACCACATCGCCGCTGGGCGGCTCACAAACTTCAAGTACCAGCTGCAGCTTGCAGGGCCCCATGTCGAGAGGGAGCTGGGGAGCGAGGAGAAGGTGCGGCATTTCCTCAACGCCATGTTCGGCGGTAGGGGGAAAGACGGGAAGACGGGCTTCTCTACAAGCGAGGGCGTGCTTCTGGACGACCTGGCGGCCTTGGGACCCTCACCGCTGGTTTCCGAGGAGGAGCTGGATCATTATGCTTGCCGGTACATGCTGCAGAGCGCGCCGCCGATGAGGGGCCCGCTGAATTGGTATAGGACAAGGAGGATCAACTATGAGGAGGAACTGGCCTTGACCAAGGACTTCAAGCCTATTGAGACGCCGGCCTTGTTTATCGGCGCGACGAATGATTCCGCGTTGCCGCCGGCCATGGCGGCTGGTATGGGGAAGTGGTTTAAGGATTTGACGAGGGCTGAGGTCGAGGCCTCGCACTGGGCCTTGACGCAGACGCCGGATGACGTGAATAGTTTGATTGGAGCGTGGTTGGGCAAGGTTTTGGGCGGGGCTGTGAAGGCTTCCTTGTAGGCGGCGTGTTATGATGATGACGACTGAACAGTTTGTGAATACATAGTTTGAGTGTGAAATTGCGCCTACGAGTCTAGTGTCTTGTGGAGCTCGTATTGATGCCGGATTTTATATAACACAATCTTGTGTGCCACGTTGGCTGTGGGGGTCCTTGAGACTTTGGAAGGTATAATAAAAAGACGTGCCGTGTCGGTTTGATCTCTAATCGTGACTGGGGCCGACCCGGCCGCCTTTGCCTTGGGCACTCGTGGGATGACATTGATACGCCGGCCGATCGCTGACCCGTTCATTGCTGGCATATCATGTCTCTGCGCCATGTGGCGGCTCACGATGCTGATAGCCCGAGGCTTGCAGAGCGCCACTGCTCCGCTAGCGGGACATTGATGTGCGAAAGGAGATTGGCCACCGTTCTATCCAGCTCACTTCAGAGTGAACTTCTGGCCTGTGACCGATGGAGCGGCATCAGCCTTCTTTTTCTTATTTGGCTTCCCACACATAGCACAGGCTGTCAAAACGTTAGCCGCATCACGCATGGCTGCTGTGAGAACATACAGTCATTTTTATACGCGCATGTCTGGCAAAGACTGTGACCCTGTGACACCGTTGCCTTGCATTTTGTGCACGAGCTTCAGGCAGTTCATCAGCGCTACCGTGGTACGGACAAAAATAATAGCTAGAGACGCAATCTTTGGGACGTACCTTGAGTACTGGGCGTAAGGATTCTTGGCAGTTTTTGACAAAAGTTTGCTCTATCAAAATGGTCAGTCTCGATATCGCCATAGTTTTGCAAAATATCGGTAGAATGGTGGAGTAACCTTTACGACACCGCTTTGTCCAATAGTGGTCGACCTTGGCTTTGAAGAGGATGCTGCGGGGGAGCCGTAGTACATTTCACTCTTCTTCTTGACATCGGGAGTGGCCAGCGTCGTCTTGGACAGTTTCTGGCACTTGGTGCAGACCATGGTGAGCAACGACGTAGTTGAGAAGCTGTTCTTCTTCGGTACAAAGGGATGATGGCGGCAAGGGAATTAAACTTGGTTGATCAGATGATGACGGCATCTGGCGGAGAGGCCGGGTAGGAAACAATGCGTTGATGGCGACGAAACGTGGAATGGTTCAGGATGGGGATGGTTGGCGATTCGGAATTGCTCGAGGCACCGTTTGCTGTTCTTCTCTAGAGTTTGACCAACGTCAAGTAAAGACTGGTGTTGTTTGGACACGTGCTTCCCAGTTTTCAGGCCTTGGGTGTGTAACTGTGCGCAGCCGGCGTCGCAAAGCAACAAAGTTGTCTTGGTTGACGTTGGCAATGCAGTCAGGCTGCGTTTCACCTAGGTCAACCGCTATCACGGCCTCCCGTCGTTTGACAGGCAAATCAAAGGCGCACGGCTATCGGCTTTATTGGGCTGGGTCCTGCTGTCTGCGGCTGAGAAGGGACCGAACAATGGACGTTGAGCAGATGTCGTCACCCGTGGTGGTCACTGGTGAGGATGCAGCCGGGTAGGCTGCTTTTCGGATTTGATGTTGGTTGATGACATTAAGCGGTTTGTTCGATGCTGACTTGATAAGAACCTGGTTACTTATTAGCTAAGCTTGGCTTTGGGAAATACTAACTGGTTTGCCAACCGGCCCACCTGCGAGGTGGCAGGTGGCGGGAACCTAGCAGACACTCCGCACCTTTCCGGTGGGACTGTCAGGCCAAGCCAAGTATTAAATGGGTGGCGCAGTACCCAGTTCGTGGACCTGTCATGAAAGAAAAAAAAAAGCTCCAAAATCTTAGAGTAGACAACAATCATTCAGCGTAGACGCCGGAAACCGCTCGATTCATTGTGTTTGCACTAGTTTAACCGTGAACAAAGAACAAAGGATGAAGCACGCATACTAGACATTTGCAGAGCTAAGAACCGCGGTACCTAGGAACTTGAAGGGGGACTTACACCTGGGGTAAAGTCAAGTACCTACTCCGTACTTACTTAGGTGCCCTATCTACTGATTGGCACCTGGGTTTTGTACTTAGGCGCCCGGCGGTCAAGTCAAGTCTGGCACCACCCGACGTTCCACAGGGGACACGAATTCCCAGGTCTGCGCCCCCCTTCTTCTTCAATAGGGGTGGCGACAGCAGGCGGTGGCTGTGCAGTGCCGACTTGTTCTGCACGTTTCGTGTTCAAAGCTTCAAACAGTTCGTTCAACGTTGCTTTCTTTTTGAACGCAAGTGCAGCTACTCCGTACTACTTCGTAGGTGTCTAACGTTTCCCTGGTCTACGGGGCGCAATCCCCGCGTCCCCGTGCTTCCGCCAGGGCTCTTTCCTTCCAAGCCCCTACAAGTACTCCGTATCGTCCTAGGTACTTGAGTAAGTACCTAGGTAGCTAGGTATGTTCTCAAGTAGTGCGTGTTGGGTACCTTCTTAAGTACCTACTTAAGTACCCAGGCACTCACTTACAGGCGCCTGGGACAAACGAGTCGGCGGGCGACCGGTAAGCGATTCCAAGGCCACAGTGGTTCTGGTACTCGGTCAAGCACCCACCCCATGACTGTTGGTCCCGGCCATGTGTACTTGCGGGTACGGAGTAACAATGGTGTTTTGTGTTTTACTGCTCCTCCAACTTTAGCAGCTGTCAGCTTCCAACCACGATTCCTCGTTGCCGGCTTTGGCCTCCCATTCGCATCGCCATCACTATTACTATCGGCATTCCCCCGTTCATTACTCAATACACTCCTTAAGTCGGACGTCTTCTTATCTCCTCCAGCTGCCTATGCTATCCGGCCTGCGATCCCATCAACGCCCCCGGGGAATAATCCAACCCCCTCGCTCGTCTCCTGTGTGTTCCCGACACAATACCCCAACCCGCATGCGCGACATTTCCGAACCCTGCCTGACTGCTTGAGCATTGCTCACCATCCAGCATGGCTGGAAGACCGACAGGGGATCGCCACGGAGGGTCCTCTGGGAATCGCGATGACCTGCTGCTGGATCTGGACAATGACCAGCCAGTATATGGCAGTGGCCAGAGATCCGCCTTGAACGACGACGATTTGATGCGACGCTACTCCCACGACCAAGAAGAGCCCCAAAGCAGACCCTCAGTATCCTACGATGACTTCGTCGGCGCACCAACCTCTGCAACTCACTCTGGTTCCCGTGGCCTGGCCCCCCCAGCCCAGGCCAGTGCTTCTCCCTATATGAACAGGCAATACAGTCAGACCTCGGAGCTGGGCAACTACCAGCGATATGCCGACGATTTTGAAGACTATCCTGTCGATAACGAGCCGTACTACCCACATGGGGGTCCAATTCCTACAAACGCCCGCTCAACGACAGCCAGGACTAATGCCAGAAATCGGAACAGCGTCTTGAGCTTGGGAGGTGGCTTTTTTGGTCGAGTCAAGAATAAACTCGGCATGGGCCAGGGATACTCAGAGATGGACTTGCCACTGACAGAAGGGGGCCACGAACGTGGAGCTTCGTCCGGAAGTTCGCCACCAGATCAAAAGACCAAAGGGTTTGACATGGGCAATTTCAAGTTTGGTTTTGGCCGCGGCAAGCCAGATCCCTCTACTCTCGGTCCTCGTATCATCCATCTTAACAACCCGCCAGCTAATTCCGCCAACAAGTACGTCGATAATCACATCTCGACTGCCAAGTACAACATTGCTACTTTCCTCCCAAAGTTTCTCCTGGAACAGTTTTCCAAGTTTGCCAACATCTTTTTCTTGTTCACGGCTGGCTTGCAGCAGATCCCTGGTCTCTCGCCGACTAACCGATATACGACTATTGCTCCTCTTCTCATCGTGCTTTTGATTTCTGCGGGTAAGGAATTAGTGGAAGATTACCGCCGAAAACAAGCAGACAACGCCCTGAATACGTCCAAGGCCCGAGTCTTGCGCGGATCCAGCTTTACTGAAACGAACTGGATTAACGTAGCGGTTGGAGACATTGTGCGTGTGGAGTCAGAGGAGCCATTCCCTGCCGACTTGGTTCTCTTGGCTAGTTCTGAGCCCGAGGGTCTCTGTTATATTGAAACAGCCAATTTGGATGGCGAGACGAACTTGAAGATCAAGCAGGCACTACCCGAGACTTCGTCCATGGTATCGTCAAGCGAACTGAGCAGACTTGGTGGGAGAATCAAGTCTGAACAACCGAACAGCAGCCTATACACTTATGAGGCAACGTTGACGATGCAAATTGGCGGGGGTGAGAAGGAACTGGCGCTCAATCCTGAGCAACTTCTCCTTCGAGGTGCGACCCTCCGAAATACGCCCTGGATCCACGGTGTTGTCGTCTTTACCGGTCACGAGACGAAGCTTATGAGAAATGCGACTGCCACTCCCATCAAACGGACCAAGGTCGAAAAGAAGCTCAACTGGCTCGTTCTGGTACTCATCGGTATGCTTTTGGCGCTCAGTGTGGTTTGCACTGTTGGAGACCTCATCATGCGTGGCGTCAGAGGCGGTTCCCTTGGCTATCTTTATCTGGACAAGATTGACAACGCTGGTACTGTGGTTAAGACCTTTGCCAGAGACATGGTCACATACTGGGTCTTGTTCTCATCTCTGGTTCCTATTTCTCTCTTCGTCACGGTGGAGCTCGTCAAATACTGGCACGGCATTCTCATCAACGACGATCTTGACATGTACTACGACAAGGTTGATACGCCGGCGACTTGTCGAACGTCCAGCTTGGTTGAAGAGCTGGGCATGGTCGAGTTTGTCTTCTCTGACAAGACGGGCACTCTTACGTGTAACCAGATGGAGTTCAAGCAGTGCACAATTGCCGGTCTTCAATACGCCGATGACGTCCCGGAGGACCGCCGCGCAACTGGACCTGAAGATGATCAGGGCATTCACAACTTTGAAAGGCTACGAACCAACTTGAAAAATGGCCACGACACCGCAATGGCCATTGATCACTTTCTCATCCTCCTTGCAACCTGCCATACTGTGATTCCCGAAATGGACGAAAAGGGACGCGTCAAGTACCAGGCTGCGTCTCCTGATGAAGGCGCCTTGGTGCAGGGAGCTGTTGATCTTGGTTATCGTTTCACGGCACGGAAACCGAGGTCGGTCATCATCGAAGTCGGTGGCCAAGAGTTGGAATATGAGCTTTTGGCAGTCTGCGAGTTCAACTCGACGCGTAAAAGAATGTCGGCAATTTACCGGTGCCCAGATGGCAAAGTTCGAATCTACTGCAAAGGCGCTGATACGGTTATTTTGGAACGTCTCAACAACCAGAACCCCCATGTTGAGGCGACAGGCCGGCATCTAGAAGAATACGCATTAGAGGGTCTCCGCACACTCTGTCTAGCCATGCGCGAGGTGCCTGAAGCGGAATTTGCCGAATGGCAACGGATATTTGATGCTGCCTCAACGACTGTGGGAGGAACACGTGCCGAAGAGCTGGACAAGGCTGCGGAGATTATCGAGCACAGCTTCTTCTTGCTCGGTGCCACAGCCATCGAGGATCGCCTTCAAGACGGGGTTCCTGAAACCATTCACACCCTGCAGGAGGCCAACATCAAGGTCTGGGTTCTCACTGGAGATCGGCAGGAGACTGCCATCAATATTGGTATGAGTTGCAAGCTTCTTAGCGAAGATATGACGCTTTTGATTGTGAACGAGGAGAATGTCGCCGCGACACGAGACAACATTCAGAATAAGCTGGATACCATCAGAACCCAGGCCGAGAGTAGTCTAGAGTTGGAGACACTTGCACTGGTCATCGACGGCAAGTCGTTGACATATGCTCTAGAGAAGGACCTCGAGAAGCTGTTCCTGGAGCTTGCCATCATGTGCAAGGCCGTCATCTGCTGCCGCGTGTCGCCGCTGCAAAAGGCCCTCGTTGTAAAGTTGGTCAAGAAGTATCAGAAAGACTCGATCCTCCTCGCCATTGGCGATGGAGCCAACGATGTTTCTATGATCCAGGCCGCCCATATTGGTGTTGGTATCAGTGGCATGGAAGGCTTGCAGGCTGCACGCAGCGCAGACGTCGCCATTGCCCAATTCAGATATCTTCGCAAGCTACTGCTCGTCCACGGCGCATGGAGCTACCAGCGTGTGAGCAAGACGATTTTGTTTTCATTTTACAAGAATATAACTCTGTATCTGACGCAATTTTGGGTACGTATAGCCTCGAGACATTGGGAAGTGAAACGAGGCTCGCTAACCGCTACTGTGCTTTCCAGTTCACCTTTCAAAATGTATTCTCCGGACAGGTCATTTACGAGTCATGGACGCTGTCGTTCTACAACGTCTTCTACACCGTCCTCCCACCCCTTGCCTTGGGCATTCTCGACCAATACATCTCGGCACGTCTCCTCGACAGATACCCCCAGCTGTACGGCATGGGTCAGACAAATTCCTGTTTCAAGTTGAAGACGTTTGCGCAGTGGATCGCCAACGCCTTTTACCACTCCATTATTCTCTACATCTGGGCAGAACTCTTCTGGTACGGAGATCTGATTCAAGGGGACGGCAGGATTGCAGGCCACTGGGTCTGGGGAACCGCTCTGTATGGTGCAGTCCTCTTGACGGTCCTAGGCAAAGCTGCGCTTGTTACCAACAACTGGACCAAATACCACGTGCTGGCCATTCCCGGCAGCATGGCCATTTGGTACATTTTCATTGCCGCCTACGGCACGGTGGCGCCCAAGGTTAATTTTTCCATGGAGTACCACGGTGTCGTTCCACGGCTGTACGCCAGCCCAGTCTTCTGGCTCCAGACTGTCGTCATGGCCGTCATGTGCCTGCTACGTGATTTCGTCTGGAAGTACGTCAAACGCATGTACCTCCCACGCTCGTATCACCACATCCAAGAGATTCAAAAGTACAACATTCAGGATTACCGACCAAGGTACGTGACTACTTCTTTGTTTGCCACGAGGTTTTGCCCGTGGTGGGGGGCGCACCTCATTCCGTGCCCAGGGGCAGCCGCGAAATACACGATTCTGACACGTGCCTTCAGAATGGAGCAATTTCAAAAAGCCATCCGGAAAGTTCGACAAGCGCAGCGATTGCGAACGCAGCGTGGCTATGCTTTTTCGCAGGCCGACGAGAGCCAGACACGCGTGCTGCAAGCCTACGACACGACCAAACACCGAGGTCGTTACGGAGAGATGGCGAGCTCAAGAACAGCAGCTCGATAACAAGACACACACGCAGTCAAACAAGGGCCGTGCTTTTTGCGACGGGACAGCGTAATTTTTTTTCCATTTCTGACTTTACATGGAGGCGCAACTCTTGGCTTCGTTTTTTATCTTGAAAGGCCCCATGATGAGTGGTGTGAGTAAGCAAGCAGAAATTGGGAAGTGTCTGACATTTGGGAAGCGTGGCATTTAGATGGGCTGGATGTATTTTATTATCACTTTTGTTGACTCATATGCATGGCATGGAATGGGACTGGCGTGAAAGTAGGGATCATCCATCAATGATAGTTTTCTACTGATGAATGTTGCAGAGTATCCCGTCACTACTGGATCAGCAAGCCGGCCGCGTGGTCGAGGTAGAATTGCATGTGCAGGACCGAGACTGAAACATTCACATGGCAACAGGGACGGGACAGCATGGAAGCACATGGACACGGTAGTAGTACGTACGTGGTACAGTACGTCTGCCGTCACATGGCCCCAAACAACAAGCATGTTTGAAACATCATGGCAGCCACCGCGTAGTCATCGTCTCCTGACCATCCCGAGGCGACCACCGCATAGCCAGCAGCACCCCTCCCCCGGCTAAAGCTTCCTGGGAAGACCCCCCCCTGCGACTCAGCCGGGAACCGATCAATGCCCATCACCATCACTGCGTCAACCTGGCAGAGGCCAGTGTCAGTCAGGGCCAGGGCCAGGGCCAGGTCCACGCCTTTGACCTATTCATCTGCCGCCCATTTCTGACCGCCGCGATTGGCGACGGCAAGTGCGACGTCCCCGCGTTGCTACGCGTGCCCACGCGCGCAGACAGCCCGGACAGCCAAAGACAGACAGACGGCGGCCAGGAACGCCCATCGCCGTCTCTGCGAGCTCGCCGTCCAGGGAGCCGCCAGAGAACGAACGGCCCACTGGTGACACGAGACCGCATCGACCTCCCTCCTGGCCGGGCCTGGCATCCTTTGGCCGCATCTGCATCTCTGTCGGGGAGCAGAGACTCAAGCAGAAAATGGCCGGGCCTGGCATCCTTTGGCCGCATCTGCATCTCTGTCGGGGAGCAGAAAAAGAAAAGAAAAGAAAAGAAAAGAAAAGAAAAGAAAAGAAAGGAAAAGACAAAAAGATGAGAAACATATACGTGACAAACCGTCGACAGACGGGGACGGCCGGACGGCGCTAACACCCCAGTCATGTACGTACGTGTTCGTATCGTAGTTGCAACGCAGTGCCGGTGCAAGGATTGGCTCTCGCGCCGCCAAGCCATGGCAGCTCGGACAGCGCTGTCGCATTGGCCGGTACGGTTGACCAGCATTCTCTGGGAACCCCGTGATGACCGTGGGGACGAGCGAGGCTGTGCCGTGTCCTCGCTACCGGCGCCGGCACCGGCACCGGCTCGCCTTGGTCCCACGTGCCATTGCCATGTGCCTGGTGGGTGGCACGGCACTGTCCCAGAAACCACCCCGTCGCCGTGGCCGTGAAGCGGCTTCAAACAGCACCGCCCAGGTGCTCCGTACACGGCCAGAAAATCGCAGGCACACGGCTCGGAAATCAAGACGGGCCAGGTGCAACGACACCCGGGCCTGCGAGGGAGGCCTGCCTGTTGGAGCTGCTCGAGCGGTTCGAGGCACTCGTGACCTCGCCCGCGCCAGCCGCTGCTTTGTACGGTGTGATGTGATGTAATATGTAAAATGAATGCGTCGTCCAATAAAATCAACTATACAAAATGCCCAAGCCGACCCTCCCAGAGAACCCCGTCCGGTCCCTTCCCGTCATATTACTCCCGTCATTTTCAAATGCTCCCCTGTTTTTGCACACAATGCTTTTTTGGTGGTCGTCTACAGATGCGTGGTTACTTGTACCAACAGTGAAATCACACAACGCTCGTCATCCTGGGTGGCCTGCTCTGAAGCTTTTCCCTCGGCCACGACCAAGCTAATTCAAGGTACGTGTAGCAAACACGAGTTAGCCCGCGAAAATGAAAGTGAAAGCCCCTTGAGGCGAGTTACTACCCGTGGGTAAATGCGGCCCCACTCCTTTGGAAGGGTGCTGGACCGGTCAAGGCGAGACGGACGAGAAAAGAGCCTTCCAAAGTCTGCCAGACTCCATGCCGCGTGTTGTGCAAAGGGGCCATCCTCTTTCTCGTCATCATCGCGTCGAATCGTAACTTATCCTCGTAGATTGTAAAATGTCGCTATATCGCTGAAATTGTCCATGCTGAACCCCCGCATTAGGGGAAGCTGCTGATCGAGCCGCTGCCTCTCCCACCCCCCTCGTCGCCGAGGTTGTGAAACTGGCGTTGCGGAATGGCGCAGCACCCCTCCTCGCCCCTGAGCATTGACATCCCAACCCCTGCAGCCCCGCAAATGGCGGCATGTCGATTAATCAGATTCATCACGTCGCTGCCGCGTGACCAGGCAGGCTGGCACGCAGGGCGGGGCAGCTCCGATTCCCCAATTCCACAAACGACCCCGGCCGCTTCGTAGCTGGAACTGCCGGCCCAAGTTGTCCTGTCAGGAAAACCAGTCTGGAACCGTGACACTTGTGGTGGACGTTCAGGCACCACCAGTAACTACCGGCCCAGAACCGGAGTCACTAGCTCAATACTCTTGGGTCGAGAGTACGCTCCGGGATGCCGGGCTGGAAGAGGCCTGTCCAGACCGTACGAGCCCGAGTCGTACGTATAAGCACCGGTGCCATAGTGATGGCCCGTATCATATGTTGATGACAGATATGGGCCAGGTGGGCGTCGATAAGAACTTGCGGGACTCGTGACAACACTCCGGGTGAACGGCCAGAGACTGCCGCCATTGCTTCCTGTGGGAGACGGAGGGCTAGGCGGTCCAATGTTGAGAGACCGCAGAGCAGATAGTGCCGAGGTGTGATGGGAGGTCGGCATCGTCCCTGGCGACGCCGGCGGGGACTGGCTGAAGTGCATGGAATTTGGTCGAGAGGGTGAAGCCCTAGGGATGATGTCTCTTGGTTCCGGGTTTCCAGTGGAGTGACATGACAGGCTGCTGCTGACGGCATATGCCTGCATCTGTGACGAGTGCGAAAACGAGTTTTGTTGATCCACGCGTCGGCAGCTGGAGTTTTGGCAATGTTAGCATCACAACCTGGACAATACGGCCCTCATTCGTGGTCGAGCCCAGTTGGTCGTTGTGGCAGAGTAAAGGTGCGTCTTGTACATACGTTTCCGAGCAGTAGAGATGTCTCTCGTCGTGGGGTACGAATTGCTTCTCACAAGTCATGCTGCACGCACAGGAACGAATGAGTACGGCGGCTCCGGGCTGCAACTTTATTGGGTGCTTACCAGTATTGTGGAAAGCTTTCCCGCTCGTCCTGCCAGGCGTCTTGGTAGTCCCGTTCCCGCTCACGGTGACTGCGGCCCAGTTTCTGAGCACTCACAGGGGTATGACGCCTTGTCATGCCGGGCCTCCTGTATTTCGAAGTCGGGTCAGAAGTCGTGACGGATTTCCGGACGTCGGTCATGGAGGTGTTGTGGCCATGGCCAGACTTTCTGCGGTGGTGATGCATGGTCGAGGTTGGGCCAGAGGCGTCTCGTTGTGTAGCCGATAGGTCAATGTGAATGTGGCCCTCGAAGCCTTGTTGGCGGCACCGGCGCCGAATGGATAAGTTAAGTTGTACAGAGGCGCGACTCTGGCGTCGATAAGAAGGCAGGACGCGGACCCTGCGCTGGAGGGTAGGTAGATTCGAGAAAATCCCCGTCACAAATGGCTGCGTTCCAAAACGAATTGATGTCTGTTTGTTGATTGAACTGACTGACGGTGATGCGTGGCGGCAAACTTTAGGCGTCCACGTGCTGTGGGCGGCCGAGTGTGGCCCCGAATGCAGACGGCGACTGATGCCGGGACCGAAAATGCGCAGGGTGCTTGGCCGGGTTGTTCCTATCGCAGCAGGATGAATGGTGATGAGGAGAAGTGCACCCTCATCCGGTCAGGGCCGATCAGGACTCAGGACGCAAATCACACAAGGGCGTGGGATGACGCGTGCGTGGCCGGGATATTCGTCCGTCGAGATAAGCGGCTCCAGGTGCACCGCACCCGGTCACACCAAGGAAGGCGCGACCTTGTAAACGGCTGGCGTGACTGTACGCTGGCGATGACGGGCGCTGGGCTTCCCAAAGAGTGAGTGAGTGAGTGAGTGAGTGAGTGCCTGGTGCTACCGTCGATGCACCATGGACTTTGAAGCGGGAGCCCCAGTCGAAGCGATAGGTCGGTGAGGGCGAGCGACGGCGGGTTGTGTGTGCCAGTGCCAGGACAGTTCGTCGATGCGGGGACCTGAATGACGACGACGACAAGAGGAGGAAGGGAGAGAAACAATTTATGTTATTTTTTTTTAAAAAAAAAGAAGGAAAAAAAAAACGAAAAGAAAAAAAAAGGGGTCTTCCTGACGTGTGACTCTTCCTTATTATTAAGTTTATGTTTGGGAACCTTGCGCCGGCAGGGCAATCAATGCGTGCTCGGTGGTCCGGTGTCGTGATTTATTATGCTATGCTGCTCACCAACATCCGAAAGCGGAGACGCAACCGGCGGCGGGCAGAGGCGGCTGACAAGGCTTTCAACGTTGCTGAGCGTGCCACAAGGTGACGGCACTACTCCATAAAAAGGAACGGAGACCCGGCGCCACAACTATCGAATAAGTTTGGCTTGTGGGGCAGGCGAAGCCTTGAACAAGGGAAGGAATATGTGGGGCCTCTAGCGATAAAAACAAAAGAGGGAACGTAGCGACCGTTCCGGTGATTCTGCAACAGGTACGGAGTACCAAGCAGTACGCAGCCCAAGCTCGGGGCCAGTCTGGATGGCGACACACCTGGGCGGAGTCCGTGCTATCAATGTGATTTGACGATTCGATTGCGACAGGTTTTGACAAGGTTTTGTTGACGTGGACTCTTGGTCAATGTTGGAGCAAACAACGCGTGGCGCCGTGGCCCGTACGGTTTCGGACGATACCGAGGCACCGAGTTGTGCCTGCACCGGACACGATATGTACCTGTACGGTGTGTGTACGGAGTACGGAGTACGGAGTAGTCGCGGTGGGTTGCGCTTGCCGCGTGAATGGCGGCGTGTGTGTTATGCAAGCGAGTCGCAATCCAAGCTTGCGGCTGTGAGACAGACAGAATATCCCCGCGTGCTCGACAGTGCGGGGAGGACCATGAGGGCCATCTGTCCCTGCTATCACCACTCCGTACTACTTGCTTTTTCTCTTGGCCCCGACGAGGAGGGCGACAGAGGCCGTGGTCGGCGGCTGAGACACGAAGCAGTCCGACAGTAACAGCGAGTGGGTGCGTCTCGAGGTTGCGAAGGGGAGAGCCAACAAAAGGGGACGAAAAAAAACTATGCGGCGTCGTCACCTTGGACTCTAGAAGCTGTCGGGCTGAGTGAGGGCAGAGTAAAACGAGAGTGTTTGAAGTCTTTTAAATAAATGTTTGACGGCGACGGTGGGCGGGAGCGCGGTTCATTTTCAATATGTACAAGAGGGTATGCAGCAAGGGAAGGAACTGCCAAGGCACGAAACAACCATGAATGCCTTATTACTGGCACTTGCCCACATGGGCATGCAGAGAGTAATGCATGTACATGAAACTAAAAACGCAACGACCGTACCAGGGAGCCATGGGCGAGGCACTTGATGGATACCTCTCAACCCAAGTAAGTACTTAAGTAGGTAGATAAGCAGAGGACAGAGGACTGGAAGCACCGGGCGAATCTTCATGCAGAGTATCTGGGCAACTAACTAAGTACCCGGTACATGGGGAGGGAGGTTCCTACGCACACAGCTGCGTGTACTCGGTACGTACGGAGCCAAGTAACTACCATACGCACGCAATCCGAGATCCCAGATGGCAGAAGTGTGGAAAAACGCCGCCGACGCCGCGCTCGAGACCATGAACGTCACCATGGCCAGCGCCGATGCCAATGGCAAGGCCAGGCACCAAATAGGCGGGGACCAGGTGGAGGGAGAGGAAATCGATGGCGTGCGCCCAAAGGAGAAGAAGAGGGCACGGTGGGGGGACGGCGATGCTGATGAGGAGGGTCATTTTACTTCATCTCATTTCGTCGTTGCATTTTTTGAGAGTACTATTTCCCAAAAGCCAGGTGCTCCATACGTCGTATACGAAGCCCGCCCTGGCCCCAAATGCTAGAGCCTAGTCCCACGATGCAACAATAAAAGCCTGGCAGCTCCTAGGAGCAGCATTCTATTGCAGACCAAGGCAACCATTGATGTACGCACTTGAAGTGTGTAAGTATAGCATCTGTCTGGGAGTGGGCCTGGGCTTGGATTGGCTGGGGACGGCTTTCCCCATCACTGCCGTCGCGTCATGTTTTTCTGCGCAGACCCGTCCGTCAACACGGAGTACTCCGTACATCCGTACAGATTGCACATGCCGGCAGAATGTAATGGAACTGGGAGGCCCCTCGTCACCCTCCCGGCTGGGCACGCTCAATGTCACCTGTTGTGTGCTCTGTACGGAGTACGGAGCAAGCAGCGTATTGTATCCAGTCAGAGGGATCCAACTGGCCCCTGGGGTGGCCGGACAGGTGCGGTGCATCTGGGTTTGCAACCACGAGCAGAGGTCGACTTGGACGCTGCCGGTGCTGGGCCCTTGTCGGCTCAGCGGTCGCCCCCCTTGTGCATGAACATGTGCTGAGGTTTCTCAGCCCCATGTGGTCGGTTGTCTTTTACGGAGTACGTCGAAGAAGAAGACGCACTCTAGCTTGACGCATGTCTTGGAGCGGCCAAATCGCCGAGAAGAGAGAGAGAGTGTGTGTGAGAGAGAGATAAGGAGAGGGGAGAGCACCGCACCAGACGTACAGAATACGACGTATAACAACATCGACAGCAAACCACTTGGGCAGACATCAACGTCGTCGTCGGGCGACGCGTTGAAGCTCTCCCTACATATTGCCGGAGCTCAGACCACATTCACAGTTATTACCCCAAGATATGCACGGCCAGCGCGGCCAAATCGCCGCCAAGCTGGGAGCGGTCGACCAGGACAGGCAGCCAGACTTGAGGTGTCGAATTGGGAGTTTGGGCCAGCGCTGGCGTTGCACGTCGATCAATCAAGGTCCCAGGGGGCCACTTCCAGCAGGGTGTCGCGCAGCCCTGCAGGTGGGTGCTGGGGGACCGGGACTGGGAACTGGGACTGGGCTCAAGGGCTCAAGGGGCACAAGGGCCGCAGGGGTCACAGGGGCCACAGGGGGCACGCACCAGGAGGGGGAGCCAGTCGGGCCTGGTGGATCCTTGCGCGCACGCAGGCGCTGGGCTGGGCTCCCTGTGTTCGCTGTCTAGTACTCCGTACTCCGTACCCTAATGTCCACGTCCGCGCAGGCCCACGCCCGCCGCCCACGGCCCACGTCCAAACGTCCGCCATTGGCGCCGAGGGTGCGCGGTGCCTCGTGGTGCGTCTATATGCACAGGCGTCTCGGCGCCCCTACATCTGGAACACTGGATTGGCCGACGCACTTACGGGACCAGCGGACGCCTTTAGTGAATGCCGTCCCGTCCAGTCCGCAAGGCACGGGGCAACTGGACCTTTTCCACTGCGTCTGATGTGCCAGACGGACGAATGGCGACGGAACGTGGAAAGGAGCCCAGGTGCTTCGATGCGCACCCATGTGTGAAGCTCTGCAGGGTCAGTCGTCTGTCTGTTAGCATTCAACCGCGTCGTCATTGAATCCGGCTTTGGAGTGGTGATAGACTCACCTCGCCTGCCTCTCTATTCCACAGGGCCCCCCCATTGTTGCCGTCACTTGCACGCAGCTGCTCTGCTCTCGCTCTGCATCAATGGCGCTATTACGTCAAAAGCAAAACTGCTCCACGTCGGCATGTGCCAAGAGTCTCGAGCCTCGTCGCATTGCGCAGTACGAACTCCCATCTCCGTACGGCAAGTAGGTACATGGCAATGTGTCGACTGTCGACGTCCTCGGAAATGTTGGACATGAAGCTCGCACACTGTCCGTTTCGGAAACGGATTCTGGCCTCGCATCGCATCCCCTGGTCAAGGCATCGAGTACGTTACTTGCTTGAGCTAGGTACCTTAAGTACTCGGCAGGTACGGAGTACTTGCAACTACCCGGGTACTTGGGTAGGGACGGAGGGTCCGAGGGTACGGAGTACCCAGCAGGTACCTGGGCACGCATTGGCCCAGGTGACTTGCACTGCCGGCAGCAGCAGGGTGGCCTGATTTTCGCGTCTGTCCACGCATTCCGATCTATCCGATCCGACAATGGAAACGGAAGATTGATGATTCCAGAAATAAATCCGCACAGAAAACGTCTGCCATTACGGAGTGGCTGTCGTACTCGAAGCCGTAATGTTGGTGGTTGGCACCGCCGCTCCGTACACGTTGACGTGTCTCGGCATTTTTGCCTGAGACCGCCGAAAACTTTGTTTTTTGTATTCGGAAGTTGGGACAAACGCTAAAACGCTTTAGACGGCTCTGCTGCTTCGAATCTGACAGGCCTCGGAACCGAGGTTGCCTGGAAGAGGCCCTCAGCAACGTCGGTACTCGTGTGTACATGGCCGTGTCCGAACGGAGGCGCGAGAAGTGGAAGACGAAAACAAAAATTGAATAAATGCATAAAAATGGACAAATCAAACCAGACCCAGACCTAGCCCAGGCGTATTCCACACCATGGCTCGATTGACTAAAACCACCAGCACTAGCCGCAACGGCGACAACAACAGCAGCAGCAAAACAACAACAACAATAAATCCGCAGCGGCTCGGACGATCACGCCTTGCCCATCATTCACGTCTTGGTCCACACTCGCGCCGCTCGCTCGCCTCACCGCAAAATGGCTACTTCACCCGGCTTTTTCTTTAAGTCAGCCCTTTTGCTGCTGCTCAGCCAGTCAGAGGTCCATCCAGGTGGCACGCGGTTGTTGCGGCCCACAAGTTACAACGACCGACTCCTGCGGCATACGGAGTACACGTCTGCTCTTTATCAATCTTGATGGCGCACTTGCACTTGCACTTGTTTAGCCGCACGTCGTCACGCCTCACCGCGTTTGTTGCCTATCCCAACTCTGTAATGAAGCGATTTTTTTTCCCCACCTCATCTGAATGCCCCTTTTTCCATTCGCCTCCCTGTCTCTGCCTTGCTTGGTGCAAGTGAGGCCGTGGCCTGTTTCCCCGCAACTCCAACGATCCTGTCTGGATGAGACGAGTAGCTTAAAATACCCAACACAACGTTTGGGTTAAAGGCCGACTAGTCTGTTCGTCTATTCTTGGTAAATATATTATACATGTGTATATGCGTAATTTCCCAACAGTCCACAACTGTAATTATGCGTGCAGTCCGGCATGCCAACGGCCCTCGGTGCACGTCGCGCCGACTCCGCTCCAAAAAAAAAAAGAAAAGGAAAAAAGAAAACAACACACAACGCCGTGCGCTACGGCCATGCCAGCAAAGTCTATCCCTTAGCGTCAGCGCCTGTCCTCTCGGACGAACGGCATCACGACATCAGCACCTCGACACAATCTGCACAAGCACACACGTGCCGCGGATGGCTCGCACCGCCGCCTGACTCGGCATCGCCCAACCCGCGCGCATCGCATCACGATGTGCTTGACCTAGCCCGGCGTCCCTGTGCATTAATCAGACTGGACGAGCGCCTAGAACCGCCAGAACACGAGCAAGAGCAAGAGCAGGAAGACGAACGAGCCCTCTCCCAACGACTGCTGGATGGACGGTGGTCGCCTGGATATCCCTGCTACACCGCCTACAGGAACCGACTGCCTCGGAAACCCTAAACCACACGACCTGGCCTGATGAGGGAGCGAGCGAAGCAGACAACGCCCAGCAAGTGACGGCTGACGCCAAGGCAAGGTGGTTATTCACAGCCCACGCACATGGAGCCAACACCTTGCGGCTTGGCTTGGCATCTGGCCCAAGGCGGAAATAACAATTGATATTATTTACATTCCTGCCCTCAGCCGCATACATAGGTGCCTAGATGAGATACTTTGTCCGTCTGCCTGCGACGGCCACACCAGACACACTTCGCTCGCGTTGGCTACGATCCGAGTCCAGCAAGGTCAAGGTCAAGGTCCAGCCCTCAGGGAAACGTGCGAGCCCAGCAGCTCGAGGATGCGAGAAACCTGCTCCAACTCAATGTCTCTCTCTCTCCCTCCCTCTCTCTACCTTGCTTGCCCTGCCCCAAAGGCGTATCCATAATTCAGGCGGTGGGCGGGCAGGCAGGCGCCAACTGGAAGCGAACCCGAGCTTGGCCGTGGAAACCAAACTTGTCGTCGTCTTGCACGGAGCCCATGCCTGTTGCTGGAAGGCTGGAAGCCAGGAAATAGTCGTACGTCCATCCATCCATCCATCCGTGGCTGGACAGCCTGAGCCCGCACGGAGAAACGGGCTTTTGTCGAATGCCCAGCTTGCCGCCCGCAGTCCAGCGGGCTTGGCCCTCTCAAAAAGTAACAGATTGTACGTGAACCTGACAGAAAACGGCGCGCCAAACAAACCATGCACGGTAACGCCTGACGACGTCCCGTATTTGGTTGGAGGCGAGTTCGGCTCACGGGTGAGGAGCTGCCTTGATGGTGAATCAGACGTTTCATATGAACGGGGAACTGGGAGCCGTTGCCATCATTACGGGACGCCTGATAGTGGCAATCCCACATGGTTTATAACATCCATTAAGCTTCTGCTGCCAATGCTGCTGCCGTGACTCTTCCCTGGCCACGGGTGGCGGACATCTATCTCACTTCACCCAACGAAGAAGAAAAAGCCCGGCTCGTCTGTCCTGGCACTGCGTCCACCGGTCGCGAGCGCGAGGCCGAGAAAAGAAGAGAGCCCGGTCACAAAGTACAAATCCGTGCCTTTCATTATGACATCTACAAATATACACATGCCAGCATTGTCACACGATGACTCTCCAGCCGCTGCTCCGTCCTTCCCATGCCGTCTCAACGCAAATGCCGGCCTTCGACACCAAAGATGCATGCAAAGCCATGTGCTGGTCTCCCTGCTCTTCAAAATAGGGCTGTTTGAAAATAGAGCTGTTTGCGACGCAGCTCTCCTTCGTTCCGCCTCTGTGCTCGAATCGCGCAGTCTACCATGTCCTGAACTCCTTGATACAGTCGGCGAGAGGCAGGTTCAGAATAGACCGACAAGCTTCAATGTTGACATTTTCCTGCCCGGCCACGTCATCGGAGGCGTGTGCTCGCCAAGAAGCAGCATCCTGCATCTCCATGGCGTGATAGTCTAGCGTGGCGCAGACTGCAAGGCCGAGATCTGGGGCATGTTCGCCATCCGAGGCGGGCATGAGGCGGGTTGCCTGTTTCAGCGCGTTACAAAACCCGAGCACGACGTGGTCGTCTTTTGAAACAGAATCGGGCAGCTCTCGCCATTCCCTCCACAGCGTTCGTGCTGCGCCGAGGTTACCCAGCAGTGTAACGTATGCAGAGTATGCGTGTCTAGCCGTGCTTGAGCCATGCTCCTCGGGGAACGTCGTAAAAAATGTCCTGAAAGCATCCTTGGCTATGGTGTTATTTTCGTCGATGCCTGTAAGAAGTTGGAAAAGAAGCTGGCGTTGCTCGACAGTCTGCAGCATGGCATCGTGCTCGTCAACCGAGATGCTCTGCAGAGCGGTAAGTGCTGATACTACATCCTCCGTCGACAACTCGCTGTTGATGCTGGTGTTGTGGATGCGATGTAGCCACCTTGACAGCGCCTCCAGGGAGCCGACTTCCGAGCAAAGCTTCAAGGCCAGACCACACAACACGGGCCCTAGTGGTAAGCCCAGGGATGGCAGTCGCTCGGAGAGGTTTCCGAGGAATGTGAGTGCCTGGAGGCGCAGATTGCGATTGAGAGGATCTTGACCCAGGATGCGGGAGCACGTAGAGCGTATTTGGTGAGGCAGATTTAGGTCTGGCTTGGTCTTACTTCGGAAGCTGTCTACGCTAGTTCCGGCCGACAGGGCCTGAGATACAAGCCTGCGCACGCCTAGAATAGTCGTTTGGGTTTTAAGGGCTCGTGTGAGCTGCGCTGGTGAAGGAGCAGGTGGTTCGCGATTTCGAGATGCCCGCGTCAGACTGTGGTAGCGGCGGGTCATCCAGTGAAGGAGAAGTTGGTCTTGGTTGGCCGCATGCCCAGGTATGCCGTTTTCCAGGAGGAGTCTTTTGATGATTTCTGAGTTACTCGGTGATTTTGGCACGTTGATTCGCTCGGATATTATGTCTGCCGGCTTTGATTCACGAGCTGGTTTCCTCTGGGGACCGGAACCTCCATGAAGAGCAGCGGAGACGATATCGTGGTCGGTGATGCGCCAAATATTGGTGGGCTGTGAAATGATTTCGTGTGCTTTCCTCCGAGATTCGAACAATTGTGCTTCAAACAGCTTCAGTCGGGTCCTCGCTGCCTTTCGTCTGGGCACTTCTGTCCACCTGGCCATCATCAACTTCTCATCCGCGTCCTCAGCAGGCCGCACGTGTCGTGTGCCCTCTGCGTCGAGATCCAGCAGTAAGTTGGGCATTTCAAAGAATTCGTACTCCTTGGCTGGATCAGAATTGTGGGCAAGCCCCTTCTTCGCCAGCACGTAGTAGGCCTCGTTGTTCTTGTCGAGCTTTTTAACAAAAGTCTTGGTTCGAAGAAGGTGTGGTGCCACTCCGGGGTCGGCTTGGGAGAGCCGCGCTGCCGAGCGTATCATCTTCTCCGGGTGCGAAATTGACGCGGCTCACGGGTTCGATGCCATGCGGTTCAAGTGAAGCTGGGGCGTGAAGCTTGGGTCAATGGCATCTGGTCATGCTTTGAGGTGTTGGGGAATCCTCAGGGAATGTCAACGGCAACTTGGTGGATCCGCCTCTGGACATGTCAACCGGCGTCACTTGTTGTGGTGTCGACTGGTCTGGCGGTCGCGACCAGCAGTGGCAGCACAAGGCGCTCCGCAGGCTTCACTAAAGGGGTTGACGTCAAGAAATCAACGTGCATGTAGAAAGCTTCAAGCCGCCGTGAGGCCAAATACACAGCGCTAGATGACATCAATTTCGGTGGGTTCAAAGCTTGGTCAACGGCCAGAGCCTTCAGCGCTGGGGGCAGACACCAACTGGAGACCTACAGCTCACCTCAGCCTTGCCTTGCAACACGTGAAATGTGGGACTGGAACCCTGAAACGGGCAAAGCGGCTTGCCTTGTCATCGACTCGCGTTCCATCATCAAGCATACACACTTTCTACACACACACACGCAACTTCAAGCAGCCGTCATACATATTTCCGTACACACAAACCACTCGATATGGCGCCAGCCGAAGACCGCATGGCCCGCTTCAAGGCCCTCCAGGCGCGGGCGAAAAGCTCCTCCGAAACAAACCTCAAGGAGGCCACCAAGGAATCCCAAAGACTCGGGACCGATCAGAGCCAACTCACAGCCCTGCAGCGCAAGCACGACATCGCAGCGCACAAACTGCTCAAGGCGGAGATTGAAGAATCCGGCAGAGATTTCGAGCGCAAGCGGGCTTGGGACTGGACCGTCGACGAGAGCGAGAAGTGGGACAAGCGGATGAAGAAGAAGGCCGCGCACCGTGACAACAATGCCTTTAGCGACGCCCATCAAGAAAGCAACAAGATTTACAAGCGCCAGCTCAAGAACATCACCCCCGACATGGAGCGTTACGAGAAGCAGAAGATGGCCGCCATCGAAAAGGCTGCCGCCTCGGGAGGCCTGGACATCGTGGAGACCGAGAATGGCGAGCTCATCGCCGTCGATAAAGACGGGTCGTTTTATTCCACAGCCGACACCACCACCTTTTCGCAGAACAAGCCTGAAAAGGCGGCGGTGGACCGCCTGGTTGCAGACCTGCGACGGGCCGAGGAGCAGAGACTCAAGAAGAGAAAGGAGCGCATGGCCAAGAATGGCGACGACGGAGACGTCACATACATCAATGAGAAGAACAAGCAGTTCAACCAGAAACTGGCCAGGTTCTACGACAAGTACACCGCCGATATCCGGGACAGCTTCGAGAGAGGCACCATGATTTAAACGACATGGGAGGGAGGGTACAAGGAAGAGCGCAGGTCTGTCGATTGACATGATTGCGGGAGAGAAAGACGCTGTGGCATCACGTCACGGTTGTGTTATGTATGGGTTCTACACATGGGGATATGAGTTTGGTCTCGGGAAGCGCACGTTCACATCAAGGTCAGGCAATGGTTTCAAGCAATGGTTTTATACCCGGTGCATATTTCGGCGTTGGGCTTTATTATACAGTCTAGAGAGGGCTTCGCCTTGCGCTCTTTTTTCCTGTGGCATACACATTAATCTTACAACATGCCCTTTCGCCATCCCTTACTCGCTAGCTCCTCAATCTGAGGAACTTGGATAGGTCCCATGACCGTGTCATCACTGAGCGCCTCAACAACCGCCTCTGCAACCGTGTCGACCTGGAGGGGTTTTGTGCCGGCAGCGCCCATGAAGTCTTTCAAGTAGTTCCCGGTGATTCTCGTGAACAGTGTACCTGCGCCAGCCAAGGCAGCCATGCCCATGGTGACCTTGCGCGAACTGTCATACATGAATGGCGGCCGCACAAACACCCCCCTCATGTCGGGGAAATTGGTCGCAATGGCAACTTCCGCCTGTCTCTTGGTGGTGATGTACCGCGGAGGCATGATGGGGGCGCCTCCAGCTGCGGAAATGTAGCAGAAGGCGCTGGCCTTCTCCGCGGCAGCATGCTTGGCCAAGGCGACGGCACTGTCGCGGTTCATAACCTCGTACGAGAACTGGTCGGTAGGACTCGCCGGCTTGATATCCTCGCCGGCCTTTTCGTCCAGCGGGTTGATGCCGCGCTCGCGAACGGGGGAGAACATCTTTTGCAGGCCGGTGAGCGGCGACTCCTTCCCGGAGACGATGCCCTTGTAGTCCGCCTCGAGGAGGATGCCCATGCTGTGCACGACATAGTCTGCGCCCTTGAGCAGCGGCGTGTACGTCACGGGGCGCAGGATGTCGCCGCGTTCCCAGGAGACCTTGTGTGACCAGGTTGGCGGGAGAGGCGAGGAGGTGACCGAGTCCCATTTGGGCTCTCCCGAGCGGCTGGCATGGCATGTTGTCAATCAGGGTGACGGGAGGAGCTTGGGCAAAAGCCCTGGGATGGGGAGGACTACCTGATTGATGTGACTTCCCATCCTCTGGCAATGGCGTACTTGCAGATGCGGGAGCCCAGGAAACCGCTTCCGCCGCAGACGACAAGCCTCTTTGCTGCGGCCGCCATGGTTTGGTGGACGCTTCGGCTGTCGGGACTCGCAGCTGTGTTCCGAGAGCTCGGATGGATTCTTGTGTTGGGTATGGAGGATTGTCGTCGGCCGAGCTGGTGGGCAGCTGTGTTTGACGTTGCGCCGGCTGGGGTTGGGCAAGGCAGGCGACGATTGAGTCGGCTGAAGCTATGGCTTGGACGCAAAGCTACGGGGTTGAATGAAAGGCGGAGCTTGGTAACTATTCAACGTCATGGGGTGGATTCTGGAGGAGTCCGGAGAGCTTGGATTTGGATTTGGCTCCGCATCGCGGCTCGCCAGGTGCCAGAGTGACATCAGACACATCAATCAACCGGCTCCGAACATTGACAATTGGTGGCCCTTGGACGCACAGGTTGATTCTGAATTGTTAGGGCCCATGCCTGGAATAATTTTTCTCTCTTGTCAGTGAAGTCGGGATTTATTTATTAATTTTTTGACACGAGTTGCAAGTTAATGTTTATGGTTGAGCTCTCTTTTTGGCCACAGCCCAAGGGCACCCCACCCCGGAGCCACAGCCGCGACGGCATTGGTTGGTTGCTTTTTTTTTTTTTTTTTTTTTTTTTTTCCCTTTTTTCCCCTTTGGCCATCGCAGCTTTGAACCTTTGCACCACCACCACAAAACCTAGTCAGGTCCAGCAGTGCAGCTCGAGAACACACACGCCATCGATTGAGCTGCCGGCGGCCCTTGTCTTCAACTTTCTCCCGGCGACCACCACCATGGCGCCTTCGAATCAGCTCGGTAAACGCGTCAAGTTGACCCAGGTGCGACGGCCATTTATCGTCGGTACCACTGCCATTCCCTTCTCCGAGACGAATCCCAAACCGCCCGGCACACCAGACAACCATACGCATTCATGGCAGGTGTTTGTCAAGGGACTGGAGGGCACCGACATCACGTATTGGCTGCGCCGTGTCCAGTTTAAGCTGCACGAATCGATTCCCAACTACGTGCGAAGTAGGTGTCCAGGACGCCCAGCCCTCCCTCGGATCAAACGCTAACCCACTCGACGCAGTGATCGAGGGCGAACAGGGAAAGCCGTTCGTCGTCAAAGAGACAGGATGGGGCGAATTCGACATCACGATCAAGCTGTACTACGTCAACGACTCTGGCGAGAAGCCACAGACCATGTACCACTATCTTCGCCTTCATCCCTTCGGCCGGACGGAAGAGGAGAAGCAGTCCATGGTGACCAAGAATGGAGAAGTCCGATCATGGAGCTACGAGGAGCAGCTTTTCAACGAACCGTACGACGCATTCTACCAGATCCTGACGTCGGGAGCTGTGCCCAAAGGCTGGAAACCCTCTGGAGGAGCCGGCAAGGGAAAGGGCAAGAACCGCGCACCACCGCCGCTGCCCGCTGCCGACAGCGGCGAGGTGTGGGAGCGCACAGCCATGATCCCCAACCACAACCGGCCCGGACAACCGTTTAGTCGCGAGACCGAGGCCGCCGAGGTGCGGAAACTCAAGGAGGCACAGACGAAGACGGAGGAGATGTGCTCTCGGATCATGCTGGAACTCAAAGCCAAGGAAGAATTGCTGGCTAAGCTCAAGGCCGAGAACCAGGCGGCCGCTGCCGCCGCGAAACCTGCCTAGACGGCGAGGGGCAGACGCTGACCAACGCCACCCCAATACGCGAGATCCAGCACTTCCAACGTCTTGTGTGGGCAACTGGAACACAGATGCCAAGCTCAAGTTATTTGGAGAAGTTTGAATCGTCCAAAAACCGCATCTGCGCTTGAAGAAGCCAAGCGCTGATCCCAGCCCGCATCAAACCATTCCACTTTCTTGGCAATGGGCCCAGCTCCGGTGGAATGGATGTCATGCTGCCTGTTGTCTCATGGCTTCACCAAGATTCGATGTCCCAAGTCCACCAAAGGAGACATTTAGGGTTGATGGATTTTCTCCACGCAGCCCCCTGATCTCAGGCGTGTGACGTGGATTTCGACCAAGCTAGGCGGTACCGACTGTCTAGAAACTCCTTGCATGGACATGTGTACCGCATCCTCTGAGGATCACGCCCTTTTTCTTTTTCTTTGGGTGGAGGATGCCAGACCAGTCCGCGAGCAAGCACGCTTGGCATGTTCGGAGGGACAGGATAAAGTGGCCAGCGGGAAGAGCAAATTCAGTCGCGGGCCTCGTCGCGCTTGCTGCGTCTGCCATGTCTGATGCCAGACATCTACAAGGGGCAGTTCCAAAATGATGTCCGCGGCTCTGTTGTACCACACACGGAGGAGCACGGGCCGAGCACACTGATGGCTGAATGCCCGTTGCCCACAATTAGACATACATCACAACTAGGTAGACGGTCGTGCACGAGAGCAAGACACCAGATGGACCATGATGATAGTTTGTAGCATCAAGATTGCAGCGTTTTCTCTTGGTATCACGCCACCACGACCCGAGTGTCTGCGTCATTGCAATTCTTGCACCGACTCCAAATATCATCCTTCTATTTCCATTCCTGTGCCCATCCCATCCCATTCAAGTTGTCGCCTCCCGGTCCCCCCGTCTCATTAAAACGTGTACCAACAGCCCGCCAATCCACCTGGGACCGCGCGTGTCGCTTCAAACCAGCGAGGGAAAACGTGAATGTGCATCTCTCCAACTTCGCCTTTCAAACCGATTCCTCCACGGGTATAAGAATCCCCCCCTCGGAGGAAGGGAAAAAAATAGAATATAATATAAATACAAAATAAAACATGGCTTGAACCATCGAAACCAGAAAAAGTCACAACGCTCAGACACGCTCGCGGGCCATGTACACTGCAATAATGTGGTGTACCTGGCCCGGGGGAGAGTGGGGGAACACAAGGGAAAAACGCTTCCGCAGACGCCAGCGGCGTGGCGATTGCGGTCTGAACGAGCGAATCAATCATGTACATTGTCTTCTTCATGCCTGCGGCACAGTTCGGACGGGTTGGCCTAGTGAGTTGCAGCTTCATAGGCAGGCGGGGGAGCGCCCTCTCCCTCTTCCCAAATGCCTCGTTGGCGGTTCTTTTCGTCGTATACACGACGGGCTATTTCGCCAGCCATCTTCATGATCCACGCTTGCTCGAGAATGACGGACGACGTATCCGATGAGTTGCTCGTTTGAGCTTGTTGGTCACGGATGGGGTTGCCATGCTTATCGAAAGGTGCTTTTTCGGTAATCATGTCGTACGTCCTGCTGACAGACTCGGTGTTTTTCGCCTCGTCCCGTGCCGAGGCCAGCTGGTCGAGTTTCTTCTTGTAAAGGTCGGACATGAGAGCCTGGCGGATGGGTAGGACGTGCTCCCGGTGAGCGGGCCTGAAGCGGACCTTGCCGGCGGGTGCTTGTTCGATGCTTGGGCCACCACCGGCCGTGGGCTCCTCTGGGACGGGGGTGGATATGACGGGTTCTGATGATGGCACATTGACTGACGCAGTGTCGGAAATGTCGTCGTTGGATGCGACGTCGGAGGAGCCAGCTTCTGACTTGACCCGTCGAAGGTTGACGACTCTGTTCTTCTTCTTTCGACCAGGTCTTGACCGGTGGCTGGCACCATGAGCAGTGCCATTGACGGCCGAGTTGAGGCTGACGAAGGACGGCCTCGACGGCAAATACCCGTGAGCTGTGCTTCCGGGATCAGAGAAGGTATAGGTCGTGCTGCCGCCCGTGGGCAGGGATGAAGTCTTTGCCAGGCCGGGAGTGGCAGGTCGAGGACTGGTCGGCTCAGAACGGTCTCCGAAGCCAGACCAGGCGCGGAAAACGACATCCTTGATGCCTGGAGTAAAGAGAGACAGGGTTCGATGTGAATCCGTCAATGCAGCCAGACGAAGCAAGTTCTTCTGTGAGAACAAGTATTGCATCTCACCACCGCCGTTCAATGTGAGTTCTGAAACGGTATTGTAGTCCAGAAGATTACCATTGGCATCGACGGGATCCAACGGCGGGCTTGCAAACGGATCGGCGCCCTTTACATCGGCAGCCTCCTCTGGAGTCTCGGTGCCCTTGTTCGCCTGGTCAGGGCACCACAGCTGCAGAGATAGTCTGTGAATGATGGCAGGAAGCTCGTCCATCATGAGGTTGCGGAGTTGTTGCTCAATCGTGCGTTGCAGGTAGTCGCGGACAAACTGTATGGAATCAAAGGTCGATGAGACCTTGAGAGACTCGAGCGGATCATTCCGGAACACCAAGGTCAGACCCTTTTGCTTGGAGAAGACCAGGATGATGAAGGCGGAGAGTTTAATGTCGGACAAGGTAATTGAGAGGGGTATGGTAAGACCTGAAGCGGCAGCCAGAGGTCGAGGCGATGTGAAGGACGGTTTGGAGTCGAGGTAGGTATTCAACGGATTCGCCTATTTTTAGAAAGTTGTCAGCAGAAGATGACTATGGACTGGGTGGACCTTGCACGGGCCCCTGGTCATTTCCCGGCATTACGCGACACCCTGGAAGCAGGACGTGTTGCGTGTAGATTTTTTTTTCGCGGTTTAATTTCAATTGGGGGACGCGCTTCCAAGACGCGCGGTGATTCTCAAGTGCCTTGTTCAATGTGAAAGACAGGCGATGGAGGCCGGAGGGAAGCTTTGAGCGGGTCAGACAGCTTTGTCTGGCGCGACCTGCTGGAAAAAGCTTTTCGAGGCTCGGGGTTGGGGGTCTCGCGAAACGAGGTCAATCAGAGGACAAGAGGGTTTCACCTCGCCGACAGCATTTCATAGGCATCATGGTGTGTTTTGCCAAGATTGCGTGGCGCATGGCCCTCCGTGGGCGAACGGAAGGGAGTCGGGGATTCTCGGAGGCGTCGCGACACCAGGCGGCCATGGAGTGACGGCGCGAACAGAGTTGGAAGGAGATGTGATTCAACGTACTTGAACCCGTGTCTTCAAGGTAAGGAACGCATCGCCGGAGTAGCACATTTTGAATATGCCTCGAAATCGGTCTTCGGCGAGGTCGCCAATCTCGAGGATTTCGAGGTCGGGGGGCACGGTGCCCAGGTTGAACTCGCTCACGAAGACGTCGTCGACGATGATGGGCGGCTTCGGTGACTTGTTCAGGGCCTTGGTGAGCAGATCACGCGCTCGACGGTAGAATTCAGCGTCCGCAGTGAGCGGCGACCAGTTGAAGTTGAAGGCCATGTTGGGATGGCTATCGCAACCGCCTCGCGCTCATGAGGCAGGGAGATGGACGGATGGGGCCGCGCAAAACGGCTGCTTCGGTCGGACTTGAGTAGCGGACAAGACTCGAGCTCGGGGCAATGCGTGCGTCGCGAAAGGCACTCGTCTTTGTCTAAGCCGACGACGGCGTGTGTACTCAAGCTTGACGGGGGCCGGACAGGAGAACGAAGAGTGCTTGATGAAGCTTGCTTCGTAGGAGGCGAGGTGGTGACACCTACGGATTGAGCCACAGCGGGAAGAGGCGGGTTCCCGGGAGCGCATACTGGCCTTGGCCTGCCTGAGGTTTGTTGTGGTTCCGCTGCCGAAAGGGCCCCAAAAAAAAATAAAAAAATCACACACACACACACCCCACACACGCACATCCCGCTCCCATTGGCGGGTGCAAGTGGGCCGCCTGACTCCTCGAGGATAGTGCCCACTGCCCACTGGGCCACTGGCAAGGTGCTGCTAGCGCGCCAGCGCCCACAACATACAACATCAACTGGTTACTGCGCATGCACAGGCTTTCTTTCCAGTGTTCCCCGGGTGAGAACGGCGTCTCTTGCAGGGGTAGCCCCGCCGAGATATTGGGGAAAACGCCAGTTGACCTTCGCTACTGAAGTACTAGTACTTACCCAAGTACCTGGGTACGTACCTCCTTACGTGCCGAGATGGGTACGTGCTTTGTACGGAGTACTTGATCCACGTATTTAGGTAGTCCAGCTGCGTTTTATCAAGTTGCGTTGATACCAACGGCAATTCACATCGCGTCTGTCTTTGACTTCACCCTCTCTCGCATTATGCCCTGCCGCCACTCACCCCAGACGTGACATATCACGCATCACGCATCACGCATCACATCGCACCGGCACGTGTTGTTGTTACTGGCGACCACTCCGTGACCCAACCACGACGCACCACTCGGCTCGACTCTCTCTCAGCGCCGTGGCAGCCATGGTTCCGTCATCTGATATCTGATGGTGGCGGTGGTGGTGTCGCGCCGTTGGCATTGGCCTTCTGCTCGCGTGACGCACCAGTCCAGTCGTGATGGTGGAAGCACAACAGGCACAAGCACAAGCACAAGCACAAGCACAAGAGGTTGCATGAGGGAGGGGTGCTATATTTGTTCGTCTTCTCCGTGGTCCGTGGACCGTGGCTCTCGGTTCCCTGGCCCGATGCGCGAGACACGCATGCATCTCCTCCAAGCGTCGAGATTGACGCAGCTGAGGGAAAACGTGTTCAACGCGAGATGCGGCTGAGCGAGACTCGTCGAGACTCAATGGCCTTGTGTTGACTCTCTGTTGGTTACCAAGCATCCATCCATTGTGCTGCGTCGTGCGACGGCTTCGGAGGACGCCGTCCGCTTTGTACGCCGTCGTTTTGTGGTTGACCTTGGGTAACCTACTACAGTGAGTTGTAAGTACCTGGTAGTTGGTGTAGTTGTTAGTTGTCTGAACCGATTTCGGGGATCCTCACGGCCGCACAAGGTCCCTACCGAGGGGAGTGCGTACCTGCCAAGTAGGTTACGTGCTGTGCGTCCAGTCTGGGTTTTCCTCTCCTTCTGTCTCTTCTTAGATGCTTTTCTTTTCTTTGCTCTTGTTTGCTTTCCAGTCCTTTCAAAGCATCCAAGGCCCCGAGTCCCTGACAACTCGTCTCGACTCTCCAGCTCCGTCCCTCCCGCCCATGCGTGCATCTAGATTCTAGGCCATGGCCGAGTCTGCCAATCGTCTGCTTCCCAACGACTCGACTAAACCACCCTAATAATGGAACCCAGCGGATGCCTTCGCATGACATCACTTGAGCCGTGTCGAAGGCCATGTACCGGCGTCCGGGGGCGGCGTCCGTGTGTTCATTGAGGTTGTTGCATCGAGATCGAGTAATATACGCCTCGGTGGAACCATGGTTGTGCCGGGGGAAGTCGTGCAACGTCGGCCAAGAAGAGGAATAATCCTCCGTAAATAACACAGATCAAAATCCCTTTTGTGCTCCCCCAGGGGTTCATGTCCGATTCATGGGAGTCTCGTTGTGCTCGACAAGGCACAAGGCCTATATGCACTCAAAATTTCGCATCTGCACTGGTTGTCTGACCTGGTACTAAACCGTCTGGTTGGATGGGGCGGGATGCGACGAGATGGGCTCCGGATGCCCGAGAGGCTAGAGCAGTCAATCTCAACTGAAGCAATTGGTCGACGGCGGAGACAGAAGACATTGATGATGAGTCGACTGGGTGTTTTTAGTTACACGGTCTCGGTACGTTGGCAGTTGGATGAGCAGGTGGAAGAAGCACTTTCTGGCTCCATGTTGAGGTCCATCCACATGCACACGCAGTAAGTAATTGGCGCCTCGGTGCAACTGGTCTCAACTCTCGAGTGGCAGACCGTAGATGGGTTGGCAGAGGTGACATGAAACGAGCAGCAACACTCAAGCTCAAGTGGTGAGGACGGCGTTGGTTGAGTCTGGAAACAAGGTCAAGTCGGTCAATACTTGGGTCTGGCCCAAGTAGCTGCACACACGATGAACGTCGACGTACTCGGTACTGGCTTGTCTGGTTGTAACTTGTTGCCTGCGTGCCGCTGCGAGGCCCCCCCAGAGTCCCAGACCGCCTCTTGCTGGGTTGGAACCTGCCACTTGGGGCCACTTAAAGTTGAAGTTGGCAGGCAAGCAGCCAACCAACAGCTGCTGCTGGCTCCCTCGACGTGAACATTACATTCACTGTTGATGAATCGTCGTCATCTTCACCTGCTACTACTCACGAGCAGCCTGCTTGCTTGATGCATCCGGATGCCACGACAGAGCCAGTCCATGCGCCTGCGACCTACTCCGTTCCTCTAAAGTGGCCGGCCTGTCACCGTGTGCCTTGCTGGTCTGGTGTCCAAATCAATTGCAAACAACATGGACTGACCCAACATGCATCAATGTCGAGTTGAACCAGCTGAACCTGAACCTGAACCCGAACCCGAACCAACCGAACCGATCACCGTCACCACGAATTACATTACGTAGGTGATGAGTCTATGACCACCTGGACCAGGTGGCTTGATAGATGGCAGACCAGGCCCAGGCCGGACCGGACCGGACCGCTCGACTCGTCAGTTGCTTCACCAAGAGGTGATAACTAATAAATAACACGTCAGGGTCCATGTCGGAACTGGGCTGGCTTGCCTCCCAAACAAGCCCTAGGGCACTGGCGTACCGGGCACTGGGGCCTGGGTACTCGACTCTTGGTAATGACAAAAAAAGACATGGGCATGGGCATGGGCGACAGACAGTCGACGGTCAAGGTAAACCTTGCATCCAACCGAGCATATAACAAGTACCTGCCCAGCCTGACTTGGACAGCGAGTACAATCCACCCGCCTCGCCACTTTTCCCATCCTTCACCACTTGAGCAGACATTACATTTCCATCTTGGCCAGCTTCGCCCGCCAGGCCGCTCCCCCTCGCAGAGCTAGGCCAGTCGTCCTGGACAGTCGAGCTGAATTGAAGCTGGGCTTGAGGTCCAAGCCCCGGCGTCGCAGGACGCACCGCCCGATGCCCTCTTCAGCCCGTCCTCGAGCACAACCAAAAACCGGGCCAACACGTCCCTGCGGGCCCCCCGTCCGTCTCTTTGTTTCCGGTTGCGCACGCACGCACGCACGCACGCCCAAGACACGACCAGACCTGGGGCATCAGAGGCCGCCTTCTGCTCCGTATCCAGCCATTGATTGAGCCAGCCCTGCAGTGTGCCCCCTCGCCGTTGTTGCAGTGCCTTGCAGCATCATCCTGCAGGGTCGGGGGCTCCAATCATGGCCTTGCATCTCGTGCCACCCCAGCCCAGCAGCGAAGAATCTGCCTCCAATCAAGGCGACGCCGCCGAGCCTTGCTTCGATGACAACTCATCTGATCTCGCCCAGACTCCCATTTCCAACCATGGCTCCTTCCTCGACGCCGCTATACAAGACGCTCAATCCCGCCCTGACCACGATGATGCCTGGTTGACTTCCCACGACATGGCCATGCTCAAGGCCCTCGGCAGCGAACCATGTCCTATGAACTGTTCGGGACAGCACCATCACTGCCTCAAGCGACTTCCCACCGGCACCAAACCTGTCAAGCTGGTCGGCGAGGGTTCCGCCAATGCCGTCTTTGAGATCAAGGTCCCATCTCGCGATCGTGCAGGTCGTGACTTCAAAGGTGAGAGCCCCCCTCTCCCCGTCCTTCTCTTTTCCCTTGCGTCAGGACGAGGCAAAATAGATCCCCTTCATCATGGCGTGCCGCTAAAAGGCATGGTAGGATATCTTTTGAGAGTTGCCAAGGTGCCGTCGCTCGGGGCTGCACCCACCTACAACTATATTCTTCAGCAGCAGTTTCTCCAAACAGCAATCAAACCCATTCTCGGCGACCACGTAGTGAACCAGGAGCTGGTGGTGCTCCACAAGACGGGCATCATCCAGGAGCTCAACAACATTCTTCGGACTATAGACCACACCCGCAAGGACAAGTTCAAAGGGACCTATGTCGGGGAGACTGACCTGGGGTTCCTAGTAGAGGACATGCGACCTCAAGGTAGGATAATGACTTGGATAACCCTCCCTCTTCCTCTTTTTTTTCCCCCCGTACATGTATCCGTAGCCCTTGAGCTGACCGCATTCAAGACCCAGAGACTTGCACTCTCGTCGAGTTTAAGCCTAAGTGGCTGTCGCAGTCCCCCTCTGCTCCAAAAAATGCCATCAGGTGCCGCCAGTGCGCCATGGAGCTGCGAAACCTCGTCAAAGACTTGTCGAGGAATAAAGCACTTCCAGAACAGAAACCATGCCCTCTGGCCCTCATCAGTTCGGATTCCCCCTGGCCAGTCCACTCCCCATTCCGAATGGCGCCGCATCTTGAAAACCAAGGTCGCAACGAGTTTTACTTGGAAGCCCTGGGGAGTATCCCGACCCAACCGGCCATTCGAGATTTGAAAGTCCAGCAAGACATTCACGACACGGTCGGTCCGTTGTATGCCGCGTCGACGGACCCGTTCTTCCCTCTGGCCATGACGCTCCGCGACTGCACATGTTTTGCCCAGATATACACATCATCTGTGCGAATCAGGTTCGGTGATTTTGACTGGAAAGACCCTCAGATCAAGCTCGAAAGATGGAGAGGCGTCGAGGAAGAACTCATAGAGAAGGGGTTCTATACGGCCGAATGGATTTTTTGCGACGGTGCCTTTTACAGGCCGCCAACCCTTTGTCTCCTTGAGCATGTGCCGACCGTGTCCAAAAAAGACATTGCGATTATTGAAATTCACGATGCCAAAGACGATAGGTTTGACGTTGACCCGCAGCAGCATACCATGCCAAATCACGTGCCTGCAGGGACCAAGATTCACAGATATCAAACGAATACTGGCGTGCTCAAGCGACTTCTGGAACCATGCAAAAGGGAGGCGCCGGATTTCACAAAACCTGTGCGAAAAAGGTTGGCATCATGAAGACTGGGAGATGGTGATATATTCTAGGACTTGTTTTCGTTTTCATGTTTTCCTTTGTCAATCACTTGACGAGATTCATGGCGCGAAGGCTTCAGTGTACGCACTGGCCTCTTATCGTGGGCGGCAATCCATCATGAGTGAGGCGTTGGGTAGCATCATCATCAGACTCGGCGCTTGTCAGACTTAGCTTGGCGTTGGGAGAATGCACAGCCCGCTGTTGATGGCGATGGTGGGGGGGACATTGGCATTGCGATTTTTGCGGCGGGGACGGCACACGAGTCCGGTCCTGATCTGGCCTTTTCTTCCTCTTCTTCTTCTTCTTCTTTATTTTATTTTTTTTTTGGTTCAAAAAGTCTCCGGGCAACTCGAATCTTTTGCGAAACTTCTTTATATTAATGCGTTAAAATACCAGCCAGCGCCGCTATCGATGAATGGGTCACATGCACATGATGACATTTATATATCAGAAATGGTGAAACTGAGCAAACTGCCCACGGTGAGACCTATGACCAGACACAAGCCCATGAAAACGCCTGTTGCTTCCCGCTCCCCCTCATCGACCCACTCTCCCGAAGCCATCATGAAGCTCGAGCCCAACCATCCGTTTGTGAAGCCAAAGGTGAGCTGTACAACAAACAGGTAGAAAAAGTCACTGGGGACGACGGCGCCCCGCCCGCCAACGTTACACAACAGGTACAGGGGCAGGAAGGCAAGCCGCGCAGCAGAACACAGGAACAGCAGAAACGGCCTGTCGCCGAGGGTGAAGGGCAGCATGGTCGCAACGCGGCCGCCCAAATCGCCCAGGTTCCAGAAGACAAAGCCGAGAGGGACAAAGGCGGCGGGGCGGAACAGGGCGCCGGCGCCTTCGTCGACGGAGCGAATCTTGGCGGTGAAGACGGGGAAGAACATGGTGACGGCGAAGGTGACGGCGACGCCGACGGCCAGCCAGGGCAACTTGAGGAAGAGGGCCCAGAGGGACGTGACCCTTCTGGCGGCGCGCTCCACGTCGTGGACGCTGTCGGTGGACTCGGCCATGCGGTCTGCCAGTTTGCCACGGAGGCGGCGGTCGTGTCGCCGGACGAGGGGGATGAGGGCGACAAGGGTGACGACGGAGACGGCCACAGCGGCGAGGAAGCAGAGGAAGGCGGCCGTCTCGCCTTTGCCCGCCGGGCCCGGGTTCGCGTCCGGGTTCGCGTCCGGGTCGTCGTCGGGCGGGAACAGCAGGACGGACGTGAGTTGGGCCACGGCCGGGAGGACGCCGGCGACGCCTTGGCCGGCCATGAGGGCCTGCATGTACTCGGGGCGTCCGAAGCTGGCGGCGAAGGCGAAGGCGCCGTTTTGTATGAGCCCCGTGGCCCAGGACGAGAGGGCCACCATGGCGAGGAGGAAGGCGAAGTAGGCGCTTGGGCTGGCGGCGAGGAACGTGGTCGTGGAGAAGGTGAGGAGGGCGAAGACGACGGTGCTGATTGTGAGGGCGAGGTTGATGCGGAACGGGTACGAGGCCGCGTACTGGAGGTTGCTGAGGACGAGGAGGGCGGAGAGGTTGGTGATTGTCGAGACGGTCAGGATGGCGGACTGGAAGGTGCTTTGGATGGAGGGCGCGGCGGCGAAGCGCGAGCTGAAGTAGGGCGCGGCGGCGAGGAACATGTTCCTTTTTGTGGTCAGCGGGGGGTTTTTATTTTTTGGCGGCCCGGCTGGGCTTTGGGGGAGGACTGGACTCACCAGGCCCAGAGCATGGCGACGCCGAGGATGCCAAAGATGGTGTATTCCATCCACGAGAAGGGACACTCGGTGGTGTCGCGGGGGATGGCGGGCTCGGCCGCGGCGCCGTCCGAGGTGGCCAGCGGCTCGTACTGCTCTGCTTGGGAGCGGCGGCCGGGTCTTGAGCGATTCATCGTGACTGCGCGGCTCTGTCTACATGGCCGTGGGCGAGGCGACGTGGACGGGGAGCAGTGGTGAATCGTGATGATGTTGGGCGGTCGTCGTCGTCGCCGCGGGCTGCGGGCTGCGGCTCGACGACGGCAGCGGCGTCTCCACTGGCGTCTCCACTGGCGTCGGTCCCGTGCGGCCGCTGCAGCCTGCCAAGTGTCACAGGACGCGGCGGTGCGCGGGAGATGGCCAAGTAACTACTTGAGCACTCAAGTAAGCTAAGTAGGGTGCTGAGGCAGCAGGACGCGCTTTCGTTCAGACAATGGGACGCTTTTCATTTGATCGATGCCCTATTCTCACCGCTGGTCTGGTTGCCAAAGTCTGTTGGGCCGTCTCTGGTCTGGTCCGTGTCGGCTGCCGACAATGCCCATGTACTCCGTACTGCAGTACATGCACAGACTGCAAGTCTCCCCGACTGGGCCGTGTCGTGTCCAGTGTCCACCCGAGGTGCCCACCGCCCAGTGTCTGGTTGCTGGGCTGCAGCTCGCCAACAAGTGTCAAGTCAAGGTTCGATGTTGACGCAAGCTTCAGCTCATGACGCAGCACCACTCGAGCTCTGGCGCACCGTCCACCATCCCGCTACCCGCTGCTCGGGCCATGGCACAAAACCATCGTGCGATGCCTGCCTGCCTGCCTGACTGCCTGCTTCTGACAGCCTCGACATATTGTGCTTGTTTACTCCCCCGCCTGTGATGGTTCCCTTGCGCGCGCCCACGCTCTCCCAGGTCGCTAGCCATGCCTGAGCCGGCTCCATCACCGCAGCAAGACCGAGCGCGGGATCGTGACCGGGACCGTGACCGAGACCGCGACCGAGATCGCGACCCGACCCAGAGCAGACGCTTCAGCATCACCGACCGTATCCTCGGCACCTTGAACCAGGCCCGCAAGGAAACGTCGGCTGCCGTGCAGCGTCGCACGTCGACCTCGGCCGCCGCCGCGCCCAGGCAGTCTCCCATCCCGCGCATTCGAGAATGGCTCAGCACTTGCAATGCCCAACACGGCACGCACTGCAGCGGAACCGACGGCGACGACGGCCCGACCTGGCGCCCGGCCTACCTCATAGATTGCGATGAGCGCTGCCTGGTCCGCTCCAAGCCCGCAGACAGATACTCGGCCCTCAGCTACGTTTGGGGGGTCTCGAGCCCGCGAGATGCCGGCCCCGACGCAGTCGCCCAGCTGCTGACCACCAACGTCGACGCCTACCAACTTGCCCTTCCCGACAAGGGTGTGCCGCAGACCATCCTCGACGCCGTGTGGCTTTCGAAAAAGCTCGGAATACGACACCTATGGGTCGACCGCATGTGCATAGTCCAGGACGACGAGGACGACAGGGCGGCGCACATCGAGCACATGGCCCACGTGTTCGCCAACGCCTGCCTGACCATCGTCTCGGCGTACGGCGACGTCCACACCGGCCTGCTTGCTCTGGATCCGCGCCGACCTGCTCGGGCCCCGAGGCAGGGCAGCAACCCGGGCCACGGCGAGTTGCTGCTGTCCTCGAGGTGGAACACGAGGGGCTGGACGCTGCAGGAGCTCCTCTACTCGAGACGCGCAGTCTTCTTCTTCGAGGACGCCGTCACCTGGGAGTGCCACTGCGACCTGTGGGAGGGCAACGCCACAAACATGAGCAAGGTTCTTCGCGGCAAGAGGCCCGCCTGCACGAATCGCCTGTCCGACGCGGCCTTGGGATTCCAGCACGCCGCGTGGCCGGACATGGACGAGTACGCCCGGCTGGCGATGGACTACAGCGCGAGGAAGCTCACGCTGGTGGACGACACCATCGACGCCTTCTCCGGCGTCACGCACGTGCTGTCGCGCGTTTTCCGGGGCGGCTTCGCCTACGGCATGCCCCTCATGTTCGTGGACGTTGCGCTCCTGTGGAGGCCGCAGGCGACGATTCGGCGACGGGCCATGTCCCGGCCGCCGTTCCTCCCGTCGTGGTCCTGGATGGGCTGGTGGTTCGACGGCATCCCCGTCGACCTGACCCTGTGGCGGGCCGCGGCGGACTACGTCGAGGAGACGCAGGCGGCGCCGAGGCGGGCACACGAGTCCAAGAGGTTCAAGCCCGCGCACCCGTTCCGCATCAAGACGCTCGTGGCGGCGTGGAGTCTGTCGGACAGGGCGAACGCGGCGCCCATCGACAACGCCGGGCTGCGCATGCGCGAGTTCCGCTCCCGCAAGGGCGCCGGCCTGGCCCTGCCCCCCGGGTGGTCCAGGTCCGGCAGCCACTTCAAGCACGACAGCGACGCCTTCACCCTGTTCAAGTACCCTGTTCCTGTTCCTGCTCCCGTTCCCCTTTCCGCCTCCGTGGGGGACGCGCCCGCGGACGGCGCGCACGACCCGCGGCCGCCGGAGCTGAGCGTGCCCGGGCCGTTGCCGTTGCTGCATTTCCGGACGACGGCTGCCTTCTTCGACGTCGACTACGCCATCTCCATGGCGCCCAGGGACATGCCGAACCCCCCCGTGGCCGTGGGCAACATCTTTGGCCGGTCCAACCGCTGGGTCGGGGAGCTGCGGAGCCACGACGGCTGGCTGGGGGTTCAGTCGTCCAACTACGATGGCGAGGAGAAGCTCGAGTTTATTGCCATTTCGAGCGCCATGGAGCGCAAGGGCTCCTACGTGTTCCCCATGGACAGGTTTTCCGAGAGCATGGACGAGGATGGCGTGGTGCAGTTTGTCAATGTGTTGTGGATTGAGAGAATATCGGGCGTGGCGTACAGGAGAGGCATTGGGCACATTTTGCAAAAGGCTTGGGATGCCGAGGCAAGGGACGAAGTGGAAATTTATCTCGGTTGAGCAGGGCTGTTTTTTTCTCTTTTTTTCTCTTCTTCTTTTTTTGGCATGGATACTCGGAGCGTGATGTGATGCTTTTTAGGGGGCACATCTTGGTTCATCATTACTCGCTTGCTCCTTTTTTTTTTTTATTGTGCTGCTCAAGCTTTGCCGTCTCTTGAATTTCTGGAGGTAGATGTTTCATTTTGTTCTTGTCGTTGAACACTTGCTGTTGCGTGTCCTGCATGTCGCGCCTGTGCGTCTTGGCATCTGCCGGTACCCGGCACCATCATCTGCCGAGACCTCAACCTTTTGGACTCTTCCATCTTATCTGTCTCGCCGAGCGATGGACTGCGTCTTGAGTCCTACCCTCGAGGCGTGAGAGATTCCTTGCTCCAATCCCAACGTCCACGGCGCGAGGCTACGGCACGCACTGGCGCCATCTACCGAAGCAGAGCGCGACGACCCTTGGTGACACGCCGGACCTGGTGTTGCTTTTCCAAAGGACGGAATCCTCAATCGTGGCTGACTTGGCATCATTGGCGTGCACGCCATGGCCGTCTGTGCTGTGTTTTGGGTCGAATGCTCGTCCCGGCACTGGCGTTACATGGAGCCAAGTCCGAACCACCCACGAGGCTTGTGCAGCGGTGCACCTACTAGCTGCTAGTTGACTATTGTTGCGCGCCTGTCATGTTTGTTTTTGTCTGTCTTGTTTCTATTCGGGTGTGACTGGGCGAGCTGTAATGGACCCTTTCCCCGCCGGGACTTTGGCTGGAGCCGGCGGCGCACTTGGTTGGTGTGACGAGGCCAAGTTGTTCTGAAAGACGATTTCTAGTTACGCCGTATGGAGTGCATAATGTGTGCACATGTACGGAGTATGTGACTTGTAAGTTGCGGGGAGGTTTGTAGTTGGCAACATCATGTCTCGTCGCACACACGTCTTCGCGGATACTCCGTAAGCGGCCATGAAAGGAAAGCCAAGAGGACCCGCAGCCACGGACGACGTCTACGACGAGTCGGGCGGCGCGACCATCTGATGGATGTTCAGAGCCGGTCTCGTTCCTTGTCCTCCGGTGCTGCGCACTTTGGCTCTGCGGTTGAAATCACTCTTGGCTGATATATGTGGCGGTGGCGGCGGCGGCGGCGGTCATGATGCTGTGCGCAGGCGGCTTTACGGATGGGCCCGCAGCCTCTCCTCGTGTCTCTGCCGTCCTTTCGTCACCTCATCAGCGAGGCTGTCACGATCGACCAGACGGCGATTGGCTGCTGCCGTTCACATTGTGCTGACCAACAATGCAGCATCAACCGATTGTGGCTCGCCGTGCTGGCCGAGACGGGTTTCCTCAGAAGTGACTTGTCGGAATGCTGCTGGTACAACAACCGGACGTGGGGACCGCCTTCCGCCATGGTCAGCTTCTGAGAGCACTGGTTAGGGTTGGAGCTGGCGTCAGGGTTAAGGTTAGCCGTTGGTGTGGATGCTTCCAGAAATTGGCACCCTCGCATTCGCTACACCTCCCTCCCTTCTGCTCTGGGGATGCGATTCCGACAAACCAATGCTCCATCCTCCGCACTCCCTATTCCCTGCTGTTGTTGTTGAGCGACCATACCATACTCGATACGATGCCAGCAGAAAACTGGCTGGCGTCTTGGCATCTTGCCCAACAGCCCGCAGGGATATGCGCCACGGGTCCAGAACTACGCCATAACGCAGGGGGGAAGCGGAAGGACCTTTGCGACCAAGGATGAAGCCTGAGATGCCTCGGGGACTGGACACGGCACAATGGACGTCTGGACGCCGTCTGGCAAGGGAGACGTTCGGTGAAGGGGGAGTGATGCGTGGAGGTGGTGTGATTTTCCGTCCCGAAGGTCAGGAACTCGCAGATCAAGGATGCAGCCAGTCATGTTGACTGCATGCGCCGCGAGCTACTTGGTGTGCGGATTGGATCGTTGATTCCTGCCGTCGATTGATTCATTCATGTGGGCAGTATGGAGTAGATGCATGGCAACGTCGGCGCGCATCCCGTCCCCATCTTGATCTTGGCTCCGTGACCGTCCGAGCCAATGGGTTTTCAGACATTACGCTTCTCAACTCATGTACGGAGCTGCTCCGCACCGAGCACGGAGCACCAACTACCGAGTATCACCAACCGTGGGCGACGACGAGAACGTCAATCACTTGCTGTCATGGAGACGGGGGGGCCACGTCGATGGCCTGGGGGACATGGGGTTTTCTGACACCGCTTGGAAGATGCCGAGAGATCAGCTCGGGCCTTTTCCCCCCATGGTGGCTAAAGCATATCCATCCCATCCCCAGAGTTCCAGACCAACGTTCCACGGCCACCCACGTCCACCGTGGCCTTGTCTGCTTGCTACCCGTGGTGATGGATGAGGAGAGAGCCGTGACATTGTTGGTCCTGTCGTTGGTGAGGTACAACTTGGTCTGAGTGAGTGGGATTCTACGCGCTGCGAGTCTCTGCGGATCGGCCTCGCCAAACTGGAAAGAGAGCTCATCGAAAATCGTGCACCGCTCAGTTATTACGCCCGCCGTCAGTCTCAACTACACCGGTGTAACTTATCCTGCGCGGCAGATGCTGGATGAGCGAGCCGAGAGTGGACCAGCCTTTGTTATCGCGGCTCGCCCTGCTTATCTGAGCCTTGACTCAACGACTCAACGTCTCAACGCAGACGAGAGAGTCTGACTCGATGCATGCCGGGGTGCTCGTTACACTGCAACGTCCTTCATCAAGTAGCACGAGCACACACATACACATGCGGCAGCCAAGAGCATCTTGTCCTCCCAGCACAATCGGCAGTTCATTAGCTTAAACATGTAATATCCAGGACACACGAATTACACGAACCGACCGTTTTGGTCCCACGTCATGGGTCCCCTTGAGGCTTGGAGTCCTGCAATCAGCTCAAAGCTAGCCCAGCAGACCCTTGCGGGTACCTTGAACAACGTTGAACGTGCCATTCACTACATCATTAGCTTCAGTTGCCATCTTCCGTCCTGCAGCGTGATGAGGCCCGGCGCGACAGGTTGGTCTTGGGTGTATAAGTAGACGGAGCCGCCTCCTATGCAGCCCGGCGTCTTGTGCCTCCTGGTGCGCCATGTCCCGTTGAAAGCTACCGCCGACCGGCCATCCACCATTTTCGCCTCGTAACGAGCACGTCAGCATGGTTCAGACTCGCTTTGCGGCCATTTCTTTGGCCTTGGCCAGCCTAGCCTCCTCCCAATGCCCCTTCGCCGACCCAGCGCGCCTGGCTGCGAGGGCTGAAGGCCGGCCCGAGTCGTCTCGTGAACACCTCAAAAGCTTCGAGGTTGACGACAGTGACGGCTTCCTGACGTCCGACGTGGGCGGGCCCATTGAGGACCAGAACAGCCTCAAAGCTGGAGAGCGCGGCCCGACCCTGCTGGAGGACTTCATATTCCGCCAGAAGATCACGCACTTTGACCACGAAAGAGTAAGTCGCGTTGTCCGACGCCGTCTTGGAGGCCGGCATCTCCGTCAAGTCCCTGACAAGTCGCTGACTGGGAGTGTGTGTCCGTAGGTTCCTGAACGAGCGGTCCACGCTCGTGGCGCCGGTGCCCACGGAACGTTTACCAGCTACGGCGACTTTAGCAACGTCACTGCTGCGTCGTTTTTGGCGGAAAAGGACAAGCAGACCCCGGTGTTTGTCCGCTTCTCTACCGTCGCCGGCTCCCGGGGCAGTGCCGACACGGCGCGTGATGTTCACGGGTTTGCAGTCAGACTGTGAGTAGGAACCCTCCATCTTCCCTGCTCGACGAAGACGACGACAACACCAAGGCACCTTGTATGCTGACGGCAGGCTGATTAGCTACACCGACGAGGGCAACTTTGACATTGTCGGCAATAACATCCCCGTCTTCTTCATCCAGGACGCAATTCAGTTCCCTGATCTCATTCACTCCGTCAAGCCGCGCTCCGACAGTGAGATCCCCCAGGCAGCCACGGCCCACGACTCGGCGTGGGACTTTTTCTCCCAGGAGACGTCGACTCTTCACACCTTGTTCTGGGCCATGGCTGGCTATGGAATCCCAAGAAGTTTCCGCCACATGGTAGGTCTACCCATCGCCCGGCACGACGCACGCCGCCGCGGCCGTTTGCTCCGTGCAAAATGCTGACATGGACCATCTCAGGACGGCCACGGCGTCCACACCTTTCGGCTCGTGACCGAGAAAGGCGACACCAAGCTCGTCAAGTGGCACTGGATCTCCAAGCAAGGCAAGGCCAGTCTGGTCTGGGACGAAGCGCAGCACATCGCCGGAAGCAACGCCGACTTTCACAGACAGGATCTCTTTGACGCCATCGAGTCGGGCAACTTCCCAGAGTGGGAGCTCAATGTTCAGATGATCAATGAGGAGCAGGCTCTCGCCTTTGGCTTTGATGTTCTCGACCCTACCAAGATTATCCCCGAGGAGCTTGCTCCTCTGCAGCCTCTCGGCCTCCTTCGACTCGACGCCAATCCATCCAATTACTTTGCCGAGACGGAGCAAATCATGGTAAGTTGGCGAGACGAGACGCGGGTGGGCTTGGATTTCGCATAGATCAAAACGGCTAATCACGAACCCAGTTTCAACCCGGTCACATTGTGCGAGGTGTTGATTTCACAGATGATCCTCTGCTGCAGGGACGCATTTTCTCCTACCTAGACACGCAGCTGAACCGGCATGGAGGCCCCAACTTTGAACAGCTCCCCATCAACAGACCCATCATTCCTATCCACAACAACAACAGGGACGGCGCTGCCCAAAACCTGATACACAAGAACACTGCCCCCTGTAAGTCTTCACCCGCGTGTTGACGTGTGGCTTGTGTGCCGTGTTTGCGGCGGCCAAAGAGCTGAAGAGTTGCTGATGGCTGGTAGATTCTCCAAACACTCTGAACAAGGGATTTCCCAAGCAGGCCAACCAGACCCAAGGCAAAGGCTTCTTTACCGCCCCGGGACGCCAGGCTTCCGGCGCTCTCGAGCGACGCCGAAGCCAGACCTTCCTCGATCACTGGAGCCAGCCTCGCCTGTTCTTCAACTCCATCACCCCCGTCGAACAGCAGTTTCTCATCGACGCCATCCGGTTCGAGACGAGCCATGTCAACAAAGATGTCCAGGAGAACGTCCTGGTACAGCTCAACAAAGTCAGCCACGACATGGCCGTCCGCGTCGGCAAAGCGCTTGGCCTTGATGCCCCCGCCCCCGATGACACGTTCTACCACGATAACAAGACCCGGGGCCTCTCCATCTTTGGCCAGGCACTTCCCACCATCGCCACCCTCCGCGTCGGCGTCCTAGCCTCGACCGAGTCGAGCGACTCCCTCTCCCAGGCCAAGTCTCTCAAGGACAGCCTCGAGTCTAGCAAAGTCACCGTCGTCGTTGTCGGCGAGACTCTTGCCGCGGGCGTCGACCGAACCTACTCTGCCGCGGGGGCGGTTGACTTTGACGGCATCGTCGTGGCTGACGGCACGCAGAAGCTCTTTGACGCCAAGAACAAGTCTTCGCTCTTCCCCCCGGGTCGTCCCACCCAGATTGTCACGGATGGCTTCAACTGGGGCAAGCCAATGGGGTTCTTGGGCAAGGCAAAGGACGTTGCCGCGGCTGCTGGAGCCAGCGAGGGTGCTGGCGTGTTCTTCAAGGGTGCCGCCGAGGACATCGTCGAGGACTTCAAGAGGGGTCTTGCGACTTTCAAGTTTACTGATCGGTTCGCGCAGGGTGATTAGGTAGGCCTTTTCGGCGGGTTGGGACGAGAAGTATTTTGATCAAGTGTCACGCTTTTTTTTTTTTTAAAGATTCGTCGTTTCATATTGTAAACATTGAACTTGGGCGGGCATGGGCGAATACTTGAATATCCCTTGCCCGCTCAGGAACTTACATCTCTGGATGCGATGGTCTATTTGGTTCATGGCGCTTGTATTTCTCACATACCGTTAGCCCTGCTGATGGTGCTCTCTGGTTACGAACCAGGATAATGCCATTCTGTCAGATGACCCTCGAAGTCATAGTATTGCCACTCCGCGTGGTATGCTGCAGACGGCCACCGACCATCCGTGAAGATTAGATGCATCATATGACTGTCGTATTCCCACCGTCATGTGCAAGTTCTTAAGCAACCCGGCTCCCGAAGCTGCTCAGCAGGATACCTTGGGTACCTTTTTTTTTTCTTCACGCTCTGTGCTTACTGGTAAAGCCACGATGATCATGGTCTTCGCCACCTCCCTCGTCTCATTCTTCTCCTTTCCGACGGACGAAACGCGACCCTCCCGGCCTCCGAGTCGAGACTCGCAAAACCCTCGACAACATCATCCCGATCGCCCGTGCTCGTATCCTGGCTCATCTTGAATTTGCCCTGGCGCCTGGCACTGTGATTCTATGCCGACGGTGTTCTTCTTCATGGGTTAGATGGGTTAGGAGGACGAGGTGATGGCTGTGGTGAGTACGCGTGGACGGCCCGTAGATCAATTGGCGTGGTGAGGTGAAGGCGATTTGGGCCATCGTGATTCGCCAATACAGAGGTGTCGTTTGCGCCTGCCGTGCAGCCCAAGCTCCCGAGTCCCCACTTCCACGCCCCATCTGTCGATTAGTGCATTGTATTGTATCGACATCCAGACGACGCCAAACGAAAACTCCAAAACAATCACCACCGCCGCCGCCACCCTATGCGCTCGTGCAGTAAATTCCAGCCTGTTCCAATCCACAGAAACCAAATGCACTTGGATGTCTTTAATTTATTTGCTATGACGCCCCATCTCATCCAGCAACTCAAATAACCTCGACGGTCGGCCACACCTCCAGAGAGCTCCTGCGTCCGCCATCGCCGCAACTCGGTGCACGATAGATCCCGTTCAAAGGCACATCAGCCAGTCCACACTTGGTCATTCTGGCTTGACATCATGGAGCCCCAAGTCATCTGCGAAAACACACCCCTGATTCCCGCCACGCCTCCCACGCCTCCCACGGCTCCGACGTGTCCTCCCTCCGAGACTCGGCCCCGAAGCGCGCGAACCGTCACCTTCAGCCCTGACCCCGTTACTAAGACCTTCGAGCCCGACTCGTATTCACCTCGAGGCAGCGCTTCATCCGCCAGCAATCCTCATGCCGGACCACCTCGTGTCAACCCACCTGTCCTCTCCGCATTGAACAAGAAGCTCGGAAGGCACAATCACCACGGCAGCGTCCCACCCGCCACAATTCAACCATACCTCGGCTCCAAGATTGGCCCTCAGCGAAGTACCAAGAAGACGGAGAAGCTAAAGCTCTTGCCGAATACCGATTTTGAAGATGGTGTGGACGACCAAGAGAGCGGCCGAGATGTTTACTCTCAGTACACGAGAATCAAGGATCCCACTGCACGGAGAGACGCTGCCAGACTGGGCAAAAGCGACCGCGATCGGCTACCTCGGGTCACAGCCTATTGCACAGCCGACAAGTACCACATGGAGTCGTTGATGCGCTTCCTCAAGGGGCGAGGCAAAGCCCGCGGTGCCAATCCCAAAATTATCGATGAGTGCATCTATACGCCCTATTCCTACACCAAACCAAGCAGAATTCACCACGACCCTGTCCGGAGCTATCAGCGACGCCACTCAACCGGCAGCGAAACCATGGAAGATGAGACCCAGCGCCACCTGCAAAGCCACGACTCTGGCTACGGTGACGAGTTTCCTGGCAACAACATTCCCGATCCTGGTCATTTGGGCAATGAAAGCCTGCTGGGACCTGCCGTCACCGAGGAAGCGCCCGCGGCAGAGGACATGTTGGACTTTGATACCCAAGTCCACACGCCCGAATTGTTCCTATTTGACTACGGAGTCGTTGTCATATGGGGCATGACGGAATCGCAAGAGACCAAGTTCCTCAAGGAGCTGGCCAAATTCGAGCTGGAAAAGCTAGCGCCCGATGACGTAGAGACTGAGCGCTTCAACTTTTACTACACGCGCGAGTACCAGGCTCGGATATACAATGATTTCATCACACTTAGAGACAAGAACAACTACATGATCAAGCTGGCCATATCCCACGCACTCGCCCAAAGCGTAAAGGTAATGCCCATTTCCCCATCCGTCCATGGCACACGCAACCCGATGCTGATTGCAGTAATGCAGACGTCCCTGTACGAAGAACTCATAGCCACAACCGTCGATACCTGTAAAGACATACCAGCCCACATCGCCCTCACCGGTAAAATCAATCTCTCCCGGAAACAAATCAACATGCAAATAGGCGACCTCTTTATCCTCCGCATCGCAATCCACCTCAACGGCTCCGTCCTCGACACCCCCGAGCTCTTCTGGGTCGAGCCCCAGCTCGAGCCCATGTACCAAGCGGTAAGGAGCTATCTGGAAATGGACCAGCGCGTGGGTCTGTTGAATGAGAGGCTAGACGTGATTGCCGACCTGTTGGCCGTGCTGAAAGATCAGTTGAGTCACGGTCACGGCGAGAAGCTCGAGTGGATTGGTGAGTTGCCTGTCCCTTTACCCGTGCTTGGCTGCGTCTTTGGAACGTTGTGCGAAATGTGCTGACGGGGTCGCAGTCATAATACTGATTGCCATGGAAATCTTTGTCGCATGTATCAATATTGCTGTTGATTTGTGGGCGGGCGAAATCTAATTCCCTGTACATGATGTATTCAGCGCCTTGGATATACGGGAACCTGGCCACATGCCGCTGTCTTGTCGCCATTGTCTATTGCATCTCTTGGGACGTGTGGAGAATCAGTCAGGGCTTTTTTTTTTTTTTTTTCAAGTCAAAATTTTGGTCTCTTGACCCGGCAATTCGCATTACAATGCTAGCGGCACCAGGCGTTTGGGGAAATATGCAGGCACAAGCAGAAATAGGCCCTCGATACCGCCCAAGATGCACAGAATACAGGGCGGCATTCATTCACATCCTCTACGTGCGAGTCAACAGATGGGATCAATACGAAATCCAATAGCCCAAAGCTATATTCTTGGTCCTATTCAACCCGCTGACATGTCGTACAAGTAAAAACAAGCGCCTCCTGTATGTTGAACCCTAGAGAATCAACAGATCGAAACAAGTAAATCAAAACTCCCCGCAGTGACATTTTGTCCAAATGCCTCCATGCCCGGCAGTCTAATCATCTCCGTCATTATCCATCTGTGTCTCCCCGTCCTGGTCTGCGTCTTGGTCCTGGTCCTGGTCCTGGTCCTGATCCTGGTCCTCCGTGTCATAATTGGTCATTTCGACATCTTCGTCCTGATTTTCGGGCTTGTCGGCATCTCCGCCTTTTTCTTCCTTTTCCGGCGTGTCTTCGGTTGCGTCCTTGTCCTCCTCCTCATCGTCCTTGTCGTCCGACTTCTTGGACAAGTCTTCAAACTTGGTCTCATATTCTTCCTTCTCCGCGTCTGGAAGGTCGTCCCATGCTCGGGTGAGCTCTTCGTCAATGTTTGCGCCGCCATCGCCATCGCCATCACCATCACCATCGCCATCGCCGTCGCCATCGCCATCGCCATCGCCATCGCCATCGCCATCGCCATCGCCAGCTTCATCTTTACTCTTGGCTTCGAGGATGGGTCGGGCGTCCTCGCAATAGAGCTCGAATGCGCTCTTGGGGTTCTTGGATGGCTTGCTGACACCATTGGTAGGGGTTCCGTCGGGGTAGGCGCAGCCTCGCTTGACCTGAGACTGTGAGGGCGACGCCGGTCCTTTGAAGGAGCTGTTAGGGGTGGCTTTGGAGTCGAGGTCAATGAGGGCAGATTTTCGATGGCCACGCTTGATGCGTAGCGGCTTGTCCTTGGGCTACTCGACCTGTTAGCATTTTTTTTATTAGAAAAAAAAACAATGAAAGAATGAAGGGAGAAAGAGAGTCCTGACGGGGGCCAAGCAAGCTCACAGTTGGTGGTGGGCTCGGGCTACCCTCAGAATCTTCGACGTTGGTGCTGGTGCGCTTGGCGAGTTGTTCGAGCAAAAAGGCCCGTTCTATCCTCAACTTCTCAACCTGGCGTTTTATGCGCGCGAGACGCAATCTGGCAGCGTCGTTGGCATCCTCGACCTCGTTTGTGCGGTTCTTCAGCTGCACGCACTTGCGGCGATAAGCCTCTTCGACGGAGGGAGGCAGCGCAGGAGGAACGGCTGTCGGTTCGGGCTCGACGTCAGCAAACTTTCTCTTGGGAGGCATGGCGGCTGCTGCGGGGACGATGTCGCAGCTTGGGGACGAGGACGTTGTTGGTGAAAGCCGGTGTTGGGCCAGAGGGAAGAGGAGGCAAAGGGCGAATTCTGCTTGTCAAGGAACAAAGAGGCCCCAAAGGTGTTGCGCAGATGGACGCGACACGGGGAGGGACTCGATGTCGAGGTATGCGGCGAACGTGGGCAGAAAACGTAGAAATGGAAAGTACGGAGTAGAAAATGGGAAACGGCAAATGGCAAATGGCCCATGTTCCATTTATTATCTGTTTCTTCATTCGCCCAGCAGAGTACGAACAAGCCCGGCACACAAGGGAGGCGTAGCACTCACTGGATGGCGGCGCCATGGCGGCAGCGGAAGAAAAATGAGAAGAATGCCAGACGTTGTAAAAAGGCGCTGTACGCAGGGAGGGCGGGTGGCAGGCAACGCGACGATGAGGGGAGGCCGTCAGTCGAAGGATCAATGAGGATGGGCAAGCCTTGGGGGGAGCGAGGACGAAGATGCACGAAGATGGACGACGACAGCGGCCAGGCAAGGCCGGGCGAGGCGAGGCGAGGCGAGGCTCTGGTTTGCGACGAGGCGATTGGCGCGTCAGAAGAGGTGCATTGATTGGAGTCCCAGTAGCATCCTCAAGTGCTGCCGTTGGGCGTGGCGACTGACATCGACTGATGGGTCTTGGGGACACGCCGGCAATTTTACTCGCAACATCACTCAAGCACAAGCATTCGCACCACCGGCAACGAGTCTGGCAACAGGCGGCGAGTATGACCTTGAACGTTTGTCAACGCGAAGGCTACCTGTGTCCATGTCCCGTCCATGAAGCTGCGTACTGGTAGGCACGTACTTGAGTGCTTGGAGGTACCCAAGGTACGGAGTACGGAGTATCTACCTAGGTACCTACCTACCTAGGTAGTACTTACTTACTTGGCCAAGTGGTGGGTGCGGATTAACAAAGGCCCCGCTTCAACACCATGGATTTTTTGGCGGGGCCGTTTTCACTGCACGGCCGAGCTTCGCGTCTTGAGCCCCAACATCGTTGCGCATCTCCCCGACCTGGACTTCATCACCGCCTCTACCTCTGCTCGTCGCAAGCTCGAGCGTGAGCCTCTGCCCGCCTCACATCCCACACAGCCTTGCCGCCATGTCTCTCAACATCCCAAGCGCTCCCAGCGCCGGCCTTTTCAAGCAAGGCTACAACAAGTGAGTTCGCACACCTCAACTTCGCCCGTCTGCCCCTCCTCGTCCCGTGCCCTCCTTCTCCGACATCTGATCTTGTCCAGCTTTGCTAACATATTGGCGACCCTCCGCCCCCCGCTCCCCCCCTGTCCAGCTACGATTCCGAAGACGGCGCCGTCTTGCGAAACATCGACGCCTGTCGTGCCATTGCCTCGACCGTCCAGACTTCCCTTGGCCCCTATGGCCGCAACAAGGTCGTCATCAACCACCTTCAGAAGATGATATTGACCTCGGACGCCGCCACCATTCTCCGGGAGCTCGATGTCGTCCACCCCGCCGCCAAACTCCTTGTCATGGCCAGCCAGCAGCAGGAAGCCGAGATGGGCGACGCCACCAACTTGGTCATTGTCTTGGCCGGTGAGCTGCTCCGTAAGGCCGAGGACCTTTTGCGAATGGGTCTCAAGACCTCAGACATTGTCATGGGCTACGAAAAGGCCCAAAACTTTGCCCTGGAGACCTTGGAAAAGCTTACAGTCGACAAGGTCCAGGATATCCGTGACCAGGAGGAGTTGAGTAAGGCCATTCGGACCGTGATCGCCAGCAAGCAGAACGGCAACGAGGATTTCCTGGCCGATCTCGTCGCTGAAGCTGTCTTGGCCGTCCTGCCAAAGAACCCTGCCAGCTTCAGCGTTGACAATATCCGCGTCGTCAAGATCATGGGTGGCAGCCTGGACCAGAGCCGAGTCGTCAGGGGCATGGTGTTTCCCAAGGAGCCGGATGGCTCTGTCAAGAAGGCCCGCCGTGCCAAGGTTGGCGTCTTCACCTGTCCCATCGACATCAGCCAGACTGAGACCAAGGGTACTGTTCTGCTGCACAATGCCAAGGAAATGGTGGACTTTAGCAAAGGCGAAGAAGCCCAGCTCGAGACCGCCATCAAGGAACTGCACGACTCCGGCCTCCGTGTTGTCGTCTGCGGCGATAAAATCGGCGATCTGGCCATGCACTACCTCAACCGCTTCGGTATCCTCTGCATCAGAATTCTCAGCAAGTTCGAGCTGCGCCGGGTCTGTCGGGTTGTCGGTGCCACCCCTCTTGCCCGGTTGGGTGCTCCAATGCCTGATGAAATGGGCAACATCGATGTGGTCGAGACGCTCGAGATTGGTGGTGATCGCGTCACCGTCTTCAGACAAGAAGACGAAGTCACCAGGACTGCTACCCTTGTCCTTCGTGGTGCCACTCAAAACCATCTCGACGACGTAGAGCGCGCCGTGGATGACGGTGTCAACGTAGTCAAGGCCATCACCCGTGATCCCCGCCTCGTGCCTGGTGCCGGAGCGACAGAAATCCAACTTAGCGCGAGAATACAAGCCCACGGCGAAAAGACCCCGGGACTAAGCCAGTATGCCATCAAGAAGTATGGCGAAGCATTCGAGGTCATTCCCCGTACCTTGGCCGAAAGCTGTGGCCTCGATGCCACCGAAGTTTTGAGCAAGCTGTACGCTGCTCACCACAACAATGAGGATGGCGATACTGGTGTTGACATTGAGGTAACTTTCGATCTGCTTTGATAGACACCCTGGATATCTTTTTTTTTTTCCTTACTTTTTTACTAACCTGTTCTCGCCCGCAGAACAACGACAACACCGGTACCCTTGACGCGAATTCGGAGGGAATACTCGACCTTCTCACTTCCAAATCATGGGCCATCAAGCTCGCCACCGAAGCCGCCCGTACAGTCTTATCCGTCGACCAGATCATTGTCGCAAGACAGGCTGGCGGTCCTAAGCCCCCTGGCCCCAACCCTGTGAGCTCCCACCCTTCCCCAATCCCTTGTACAAAATCTACTAACAGCTTCCTGTCGCAGAACTGGGACGAGGACTAGGTACCATGTTGGACTACGTAGAACAAGACGCAAACTTAACCTCGAACAACACGCCGCGGCGGTAAAGGAGTTGCTGGCTTTTTCATTTCCGGAGCCACATAGTGGCATCGCTTACTCGGATGCCTACCCTCTCTCATCTGGAGAGGGAAAATTTGTATGTACTGCACAAGAAACAAAAGTCGAGAGAAAGCATGGATAGAATAGGCTCGGGGAGGCTTCTGCGGTCGTCGAATCTACGCATGGCCGCTTTCTCATATTTCTGTGTGCTCCATTAAAGCACAAGACATGGCTTGAAACTCGTGCATTATACTCCCACATCTACCTACAGTCCTCCACTACATTTGCTGCAAGAATGCATACTTGCAGCCATGCGAAAATCCTAATGATAAATGATGAAGACACGTAGATGTGTAAAGATTCCTTCAAGCCTCATCTTGCCGCTTGCTTGCGCCTCGCACCCTCGCGTTACAACATCCGAGGTGAGACGTATGGGGGGGAATGAACAGACAGGTTCCAAGCAGAAACAGTCATCCAATAACCTATGAAATAAGAGCAAGTCTCTGCATGCTCTTGAAGGGCTGAGGGCTAGGTCAGCCCAACCGGGGGCAAAACGTTGGCCTCGTCAGAGAATGCCAAAGCCAACTAACTGCCCAGGGGGAACCTTCGGGCTGTCCAACTTTTGCCAGAGAAAAGATTGCTGTGGTGTAATATATCCAGAAGAATAAAACGCAAAAGACTTACGCTAAACATTAGACAGCACGCCACTACAGATCCAAGGTAGCGTAGCGTGGCAGGTATAGTGAAAATAAGGCAGTAATGGATGTAGCGTTTTTGTGCGGCGTGGGACAGATTTGTGCATTGGACCTGGTTGGGGCGCGACGTACTGCCTGGGTATGTGAAAACATCTGTGGTCAAGCTCGGCTTGTGAATGCTATGGAGCGCACTGGCTCCAAAACTTATGAAGATGGCGACAGTCGTAAAACGTCAAGGCGTGAGAGATCATGGTAGCGAAACGGTGAGCATGCGCCGGCTAGCTCCAAGCCGCGAGCGGACGCCATTGCCGTGGCAAACATTACACGACAGGGCTGGTGACACACAGGAGGAAGAAAGTGCGAGTGCCGATGCAGCCGGCGGCTGATAGCTGAGCGCGGAATGACGACGATGTAAGCACCGACAGCTATGCCTCCTCCATGATGCCACCTTCGCCTCCGCCTTCCTCTCGCCACTCTCTGCTTTTATCAGCGAGGCGCTTGATGCCACTCACGCGGCCAGACCAGAGCGTCTCGATCGGGGTTCGAAAGGTGAAGGCACGCTGCGAGCTGATGACTCCAATGGCCTGCAAAACAGCCTTGCGACTGTCTCGTCCAAAGACCGCTGGGTGGTTGATCCACTCCAGACTGCTCTCCAGTTCAGCGTCTAGGGCAGCCACCGTGCCTGCGTCTATGCCGCTGCCGAGTCCGATACCGTCGGTCGAGCGACTTCGGGCAAGCTGAGCTGCAGGATAGCCATTTGCGCCAGAGGAAGTGGCCGAAGGGGGAGAGGGGCTGCGCTTCCGATCAGGGGTTCCTGCTGGCTTGGGCGGCGAGTCGCTGCCGGGATGCCTTGTTGGTGAAGCAGATTTGTTGTTGTTCCCTGGAGGCGGCACCGGAGGCAGTCCGCCTTTACCTAAGCCCTTGAGAATAGACCTCGTTTCGCTCAGCAAGGTGTGCGCGCGGTCGTGCTGGCCTCGGCTTACCAGGGTCAGTGCCCGTGTAAGCATGTCCGACGTCAACAGCTCCATGCGGCGCTGCACGATGCTAGGATGCGGTGGAATCGGCGGGGAGTTGTGCCAGGCCTTCTTCTGGCTGGCGCTTGGAGGCAACATGGTGATTGCCAGGAGCGATGGCCGTGGCATGTGTTGAAGGGTGCCCTCACGGAGAATGTCGCCCCAGCTCAAGTCGGCCTGAACCAACGGTACCTCTTCGACGGATGATGTTCGCTCAGCATCGTTCTCTACCGAGCCACCGAGGGCCTCGAGTCCGGAAATGATGTTATCCCACGGGTCTTGTGGGAGTTGCTCCTGGGAGGTACTGTCTGACGTGATGACAAGTTGAACGAGAATATCTCGCTTGTCGCCAAATCTGAGGTCGCCCAGAGAGGCCTCTGCGTCGCGGCCACTGGCTCTCTTGGTCATCTGCAGAGCTCCGCTGATCTTGTGGAATTTGGCAGGTGAGCCTTCTGGAAGTTTGAGTTTCAGCTTGACATTTTGATGAGACAGAGACTGCATCGACCCCAGGCAGCCAGCGAGGCATTCTCGAAGCATCATCCAATCCTTCACATAGGTGTAGGATGCCTTTGTCTTGGTGGACAATTCAATCATGGTATCGGGTTTGTGAGTCATGCCTAATCCAAACGAGTGAATGGTGATTCTGCATGTCGTATTAGCCCAACCTTGACGTTTCAAACACACGCGGACGGAGGAGAGCATCCTTGACATACTTGGCAGCCTCTGCTCGAGACACTACAAAATCGACTGAATCGGCATCGGCCGTTGACGCATCACTGATGAGCATAATCGTCGCAATGGGGTTATTGTGCTTGCGCTGCATGAGAAGATCCATGGCCACGTTTGCTCCCTCGACGACATCAGCACGATGACTCTTCTGACCAACCGGCTTGATTGACGAGAGGATGTTGGTCCAGCCCGGCCACGCCTTCGTGGTCATGCCAACAATGGGCACGCCACCTCCCCCAGACCCGAAAGTGACGAGCCCCATGCGGTCACGCTCGGCGAGGGCATTCACCATGAATTTCAACGCGTCACGAACAAGGTTGATCTTGACACCCTGCATAGATGAGGATATCGGAACGACAACCACCACATCAATGGGGACATGTATCAAAGAACGCGGGTGGCTAGAGGTCTTGACTGCAAAGTTGGTGTACTCGGTAGGTGCCGTCGTGACGGATTTCGGTCCCCATGAAGAGGTGGTGGAAGAGACTCTCTGTGGCCGAGACCGTTGCCACTCCGCTTCTTCGTCGGTTTCAGACATTTCCCCGCGATCGAAGTCGGGGCTTCTGACAGGGGAATTCCCGACTACGTGGAGATCCAAAAGCGCCTGATTCCACAGCTTGAGCTGGTTTCGATTATCGAATCGCAGGTGGAATTGTGGCAGCTCCGCAACAGAGAGACTAAGAGTCAAGACATTCTCATCGATAGTCCCCGTCTCTGACACTTCGTCCAGATGCTTCTTGATAAGGATGCTGCCTTTGAGTGTGCAGCGCGTCGCCTTCCTCGGGGCAGCGCCATCATCCCACAGCGCAACGGCCTGTGCAGGTAGCTTCTTCTCCTTGACGCAGATAAGCATCTCGGCGAACAAGTAGCACTCGAGTTCCTGCCACGAAATCTTGTCTTTGCCGACTCGCAAAGTGCCATACAACCTCAGCTGGCCGAATCTGGACGTGTATTGTTAGTACGTCGAGTCGCTGGCGCCACATCATCCAAGGCCACTATCCCCGCCTTGTCTGCCAGCGCGCAAAGACGAGACAATGACTTACCTGCTGAAATCCAGCCCGTGCCAGTTTTCCACCCGACTTCGTAAATTTTCCGTCATCTCCTCCAGAACCTCAGGGTGTTCGTAAGGAATGAACCTCGGAGCGCTTGGCGTAGGTGTCACCGCTTGTGTCACAATTTCGTCAATCTTGGAACCAGCTTGTAGTGCTTGATGCGGCGACGAACTGATGTCCTCCGGATCAGGCTTCCATTTGTTGTCAGCAGCCTCCACCGTGACCAAGCAGGTAAGGGTCTGCTGCTGTCGAGAGCGACTGATGGTGGGAAACTCCGATCGAACCGTTACGATTGGAGGAGGAATTGGATTTCGGGAAATAGTGCGCGGACTGCCCGGGGTCGTTTCCATGGCCTGCACATCGTAATCATGCCGCCAAGGCGTGCTCTGCGTTGTCTCGGGATACCCGCCAGACGAAGCAACCCCAGTAGCTTCGCTGTCGCTTCGGGCATGTCTGGAAGAGCTGTATCGATCATCCATTGCTGGCTCTCGGGTGTCGCGGTTGCTTCCTCGTGTTCCGCTTTCTCGCCCAAGGCTGCTCGGCGGCTGAGAATGGGATTTCCTCTGATAGCTGTCAACGCTCGGCGGTCGTACTGTTTGGCTATCCCAAGCGGGATTTGGTGTAGAAGTGGACGGCATATCGCCTCCCGCGGTTCGTACAAGGTTACTGATTTTGTCTAACTCCGAAGTCAGTATGTATCCAGTCCCGGATCGTGCGCTATTTTGGGAGACAAACTGATGTCGACAACATTGCCGCCTCGGCTGGTGTCGAGATGCAGCGGGGCTTCGCAAGTCGGGCAATATTGCCCTTCGAGCTCGCGTATATATTCGTAAAAGCATGCTTCATGGGAAACATGGGAGCAAGAAAACTGTAATATACGCTCGCCTTGGAGGGTGTGTTCAAGGGGCTCTTCGCAAACAGCACATTCACTTCCGACAAACGTCCTCTCGCGCCGTAAGCGGCTTCTATCCGCGGTGCTTGCCATGACGTTGTTGTCAATGGCGCCTACTCTTCGAGGAAGAGCGCTCGTGGCTGAGCCCAGTGAGCCTTTTCGATTGGCCCTACTGCCTCGAGTCGCGGTTTGGTATGATGGATACTCAGCTCCTATGGACGATAACAGTCAGCGATGATGGCTCACCAGGTATCAAACAATGCCCAGACCAGACAGTTGAGGCCAAGTACAGGACACATCCAATGGCTGAAGAAGCAAGTGGCAACTCGTCGTACCTTGCTGAGGGAGAAAGTCCTCGCCCGCGAAAGGCGCCGAGTCTGCGTCGAATCGAGGTTGAGACGCAGATGGAAGACTAGAAGAGCCAATTGGGTCCAAATCACAGAGGGGAGATGCAGTCTCTAAATCCCCCCTGGTATGATGATGGAAGCCAGGGCTCTGTTTTGAATTTCGTTGGTTTCGAATTCGGCTGAACATGGGAGATATATACTGGATGGTGCTGCAGGCTGATGTGTAGGGCTAGGAGAGGCTAGCAGGATAGCTGAGCTAATGCGTGAATATGGCCTTGCTTTGAAGATGTTAGACCCAGGGTCCAGAGTTGCGCTTGACTAAGCGTACCGCAGCGCAGGGGAACGAATGACACGCCGATGATGAAGTCTATTATCTCGATTGCCGTTGCGAGGGCGAGGGAAATCGGCGTGGGCGAAGCTCGGTCGCCAAGGGCCACCGAGGAGGTCGCGCTAAAGCGGGCAACGGGAGGAAAGTTCGTTTGGTTCCGTGTCACAGGATCCCAGGATATGGCGTTTCAAGTCCCTGTATCAACAATGCTACGTCGAAGATGGCGGAGAGGTCCGGCGCATGATAGGAGGGCGCAAGGATTGGAACAGAAGCTTTCGAGGCGCAGCAGACAAGCGAAGGCGGGCAAATTAAGGGTATACAGAAAGGCTAAACGCTTTTGCCCGGTAGTTATGAGGTTTCCCTCCAAAGAAAATTCCGCGGCGACAAGTTTCAGAGGGCCGGCGACGGTTTGTCGAGGAGTTCAGTCGCAGATGCTTTATCACTTGCAGAAAAAATCGAGGCTCAGGTCAAAAGCACGGGTCGGAAGTGGTCCTGCAGCCCGGTCGTCAACTGGTGGTGCCTGTGGGGTGAAGAAGTTATTGCCAGTTTGATCAGTGAAAAGGGGTGGCGTCCGTGGGTTATTGGAACAATGGGCTTCTGCGCACAGGCCCAACTCGTCATGGGACGCCCTACGTCAAAACAGCTGCGAGCGCGACACTTTGCGGCCTGTCAAAGAAACAAGCCTTAACTCGGCACTTGCCAGCAAGACTCGTCGTGCTGAGTCGCGCCCGAGACACGGAGACGAATAGGGGTCCCAGTGCCTCTTCCCAACTGCCCAAGTGCCCAAGTGGTCCGAAGTTGTCGCGGCAGGCCCGAGCGAGTTCTCGGGTCAGCTGATTGAAGGAGACTTGCGGGATACTGGGCAGTGGGCACGAAAAGCCAGAATGAATACCTTGACTTGTGCTTTTTTAAGAAAACAGAATTGAGAGAGAGGGAGAGAGCGACAGAGAGCAACAGTGGGCGAAATAAAGTAGCTACTTCAGCCCGGGACAAGAGCATATGGGAGGGACAGGCTGTGCGGAGTACTGCTAATATGTGTAAATGAAAAGAAGGATCCAGCTAGCCAGGGGCAGACATGGAGGCAGAAATTCCTGATGTGAACGATGAGAAGAGAGGTCTGGTATACAAGCAAGTTCCATTCTCTCTACACACATCCAGAGCACAAGCGGCCAATCAAGCGTCTATGTGCTGTGCACAGCGTATGCATGTACCTGGACTGGTACTTGAGGCCTGTTGGAAGCTGCTTGTAGGTGTCTGGCTGAGTAAGTACTAGCCGGATGCGGATTTCGCAGATACTACCAGCCTCTAGGTACTACCGACTGCTACTCCGTAAGCGGCGCTCTGTATCTTCTTTTATTAGTGCGCTCCGCAGAAATTGAAAATACTCCGTCTGTACTTGGAGAGAGCTGGTGCCTGGCACAGCTGCGCCGTACCACCAAAGCAACCTGAGGAAGCAAGCATGTATTCGCGAGGTAACGATCGCCCGCACCATCCGCTCCGTACTGGCACGCCCAAGGGGTCGACGAGTCTGCAGCAGGCCACTCTGTCCGTCCATGTCGTCAAGTGGCGGCCGCGGCACAAACCCATACGGGGCAACGTTATGGCGCTTCGCCGACTCCAAGACGCTGAGCCCTGAGTGCAAAGAGTGCTTTGCTCCGTAACAATTCGCACGTCTGCCTGGCAAAGTGTCCATCGCGTGAGACGCCGCTCGTGTCGTATGGTGGACTGTATTGTAATGTCTGGCCCTATCACCACCAACGGTGCATCGGCTTGTAATTGGCTGGAGGCCCTTCCTTCGTCAGCGCCTTCACTGGCCTTGGCCTGTCCCTAGCCTGGCTAAAGCCTAACACCACTCCACCGCAAGCTGGCCCGCCGAGGAAGTCGGGTATCTTCTAGGCCCCCTGCTCGACCAGAGCCCCAGAAACAAAAAAGAAAAAAGGTCGCCACTCACCCCATGACTAGGAAACAGACAAGGGTCTCAAAAAGGCCAAGTCTTATGAATATCGTGCCAGCCCTGTCGCTGGAGGTAAGCTAGCAACTAGGCAAGGATGCCAAGATGCAACCGCTTGCTGCTGACTGCGGTGATGATGGGTTGGTGAGGAGTCAGGCCCAGGGTTGCCCAGTTGCCAAGTTGCCAGGCGAGGGCACCGAGGTGCTCGACGAGCCGGATTGCATGCACATACTCCGTGCATATGTAACTCCGTATCACAGCAGAACGGAGGATTAGAATAATAGCAGAAAACCTCCACACGGGGCCTTAGGCATCGCTCGTGATTGTCGGCGAGGTGGTCAGCTCGGCGCGGTTTGATTAGGACATGTATTCCGTACAGGGCGTTGGATCTTATTCTTCCGCTGTTCTGGCAATGCGCAGTGCGAATATATGCGCAGCTATCACCCGGTGCGGTGGGTTGGGCCTCAGCACTCAGTGTGCTGCTTTTGGAAACAATCTGCCACCGAGGCGAACCTGAGCTCAGAAACATGGCAGTTTGACAATCTGGGAAGGTACGTACCTAGGTACGTCCTTACCTGCCGTACGGGGGAAGTAGCAGGTGAGGCGTGAGGCTCCTGCCGCAGATTTTGTTTTCAATCTTGTGCCGTCCTCTATTCCCGTTGCGCGTTGGTTGGTCCTCCTCCAAAGCAACGTTTTTCCAGATGTCTGATGTCGAACTGACAACGTGCTTCTCGTGTCACAAACACCTCATCAATCTTCGGAGTAGCCGATTGGTCAACTACCCAGGGACGCAAAACCAAGTACTATTCTCCCAAGCGTTCATTATCATCTTGGGTCATCACTAGTAACAGAATGCTGACATCGACATCTCGAGGCTATTGAGTCTTGACTGCCTCCCAGAGCACCAAGTTGCTATGCCGATGGTCTATGGAGCCGCGACACCTTGGAATCGCCATGTGGCTGGCCACGTTGATGAGGTAGCTCATTTGATATTGGCTACCAGTCATCGCGACCCGCAACCACCCCTGGAGCTAGTGAGACGTGCATACCAAATACTGTTTGACGGACAGGCACGGAGGCATCCATAATATTGATAGCTCGACTGCTCAGCACGATGATCACCGCTGTCTCTCCAACTGTCGTACGGAGTATCAACCTTCGAGCCTGCTTTGTTCCCGAGTTCTGAAATACGCCACGTTGCTCAGACAGCCCAACCACGAGACAGAGTACGGGGTGCGGAGAAGATACGGCTTGCTTTGGTAACTAACTATTAACCTAACTAGTGGAAGAAGTTAAGACAGCGTTGGGACGTCTCAGGTGCAAAGCCCGGCTACTCCGTACCAAGGTACGTGACTGGCAAGACGGAGTACAACTCGACACCCATCCCTGCAGTCAGTTATTACACTAATTGATTACCTAGCTATCTTTTGTGAGATAGTTGCACTTGTTCGACTTCAAATCGTGTCTGCCCCTTGGGCCCCGGCCGACCTCCTGCCAAAAACACTCTGTTCACACAAGGACAAATTCTTTTCGACATTCATGTGTCAAAATTTTTACGCGCCAGTATTTGCGACAATCCCAACCAGACGAGTCATGGCGTATCACTCTGGACATGTCGTCGTCATGTCCCAGCTATGTGCCTCGGCAATGACAGCCATGAGTCAAGTAGTTGTACTCATCGATAAGAACAGGTTTCATGGTGCGGCTGAATCGGAAGTCAATGACAATACCTGGCTAGTGTCGATGGTCCAGCCAGCAGGAAACGCTAAAAAGATTGGTATTTTCAACACTATTCACTGCTACGGGAGAAGCCGAAGGGAGGAGAGTACATCAGCAGCCCTTCTTGGCTATCCTCCTACCGTCTGCACCTCGCTTCACCTGCGATGCGGGAGCGTATTTCTCCGTGCCTCCTAGGCAAGCTACGGTGGGCAAGCAACACAGCCTAGGTCGGCTGTTTTATGTTGCTACCTCCGGTGCATTGGATATTCTAAATCATACACACTTTGATTAGACGAGCTGTCGGCGCTGACGGTAACTTGCACGACTAATACACGACACCAGAGTACCCACGTTCTACTCGTTTATCTCCACGATGGCGAACGCTCATCTTGTTCCTGCTCCTGGCCATCGGCGTATTAGTGCTGTCGGCGTCGCCACTGGTGGAGCTCTTCCGTACAGACGGTTAAGTTAAACCTGGTCCTTACTCGGTAGCATCGTCTAATATACTAGCTGCCGCCTGGCTGAGTTCTGGGCCCGGTAGTGGGTAGTAGGTGTTGGCAAAACCACACTGCTCCTCCATTCATGTCATCAGAGCCGCGAGTGACGACCCGGGTAGCGAGCAAGAAGGCATCATTGTACGTTTCCCGCTTTCTAGCCCCAGTTTCTAGAACATTGCGGTGGGACATGCTGCTGTTATAAAACGCAACCAGGTTGGCATCTAAGAAGGTGCATCGTGGTACTCCGTATGTGCAACTCAACTCGGCACGCTCCAGCTCCAGCTTGCGCATTCAGCTACGATGAGCTACTTGATCTGCCGTGGCGACACCATCACGAGAAAGCTTCCATGACGAGTTCTCCGCATGATGCTCCCACCGGCGAACAAGGATACGCACACACGCGCCTTCAACTGGTGCTGAAGACTCCCTATCTTGAAACGGACCCTCACAAACAGCGAGCCTCTCGGTGCGGCCAAGATGGGGTCACTGCAATCTCTTTGCGGGGTACCATGAATCAGGAGAATAGAATATGATTGAGGTGACTGCGCGCTTCACCTTGCCAAGGGCCAGCGTCCAACACACCTGACGCTAAGTAGGGACTGGACCCTGTTTGGGTGGAGGCCGCCTATGCATCGTCTGTGGTTTGGCGTACGTCTGCCCGTCCCGCGGGAGTCCTCGTGTTGTATTATTATGCGCGGCCTTTTTGTGGATTATATCATTACTCACCTTGTTGTTCCAACTGGTAGCGGCGAACTATTGACGTTCCCCAGTAGCATCAGCTTTGGCCCAATTTGGTACGAATATCTTGATTGGGCTCAGTCCGCAGCATCACAGCAGCGTTCCATGGTCATTCGCCGGGTCTAACGACTTGTTCAACTCTGCTGCCGAGCAGGGATTGTGCCACGGCGAAGTCCCGACGAGATGGATGATGTTGGCGACACAAGAAGTTGGACCAGATCCAACTCGAACTGACTTTTTTTTCAAAGAAGGAAAAAGCCAGCCCTGAAACAGTCATCGGTGGTGTAATACAACAGATGCTTGGAGTTGATGGCGTCTCCAACATGATGTGATGACGTCTGACCAACCCGCTCTGTACTACAGAGTAAAGCGAGTTTGATTTCAGTGTCCGGACATTGCGGAGGTTTTTTTTTTTTTCGACACAGCCAATTGCGAGTCAGGTTCCAGTGGATCGAGCAGAGAAAAAAATTGGACGGACCGTTTGAGGTAGATCAATTCGGCTGTGGCAGATACTGGGGATAAGGCTGTTACTACTTTGTATTTCGGAGTAGAGTTGGCCCATATCCTTGTCAGTTTTTTTTTTTCTTCCCTCTCTCTCTGTCTCTCCTTTTTTCGTCTTGCCAATAAAAGAGCAACCCGAAAAAAAGCCCTAGCCATACGTTCAGGTTAGGGTTATGTACAGGCAAGATGGCTCTTTTTTTTTGGGGGAAGGGGGGGGGGCATTGTGCCACCTCAGTTCAAACGAATGGGTTTCCCCCTTTCAGAGGCCAACTACACGACTCCCAGGGGTCCCTGGCGAAGACACTCATCAACACTAGGGTGAGTCGCCAGTAACTACCTGCTTAACCAAGGTAGACAAGCTCTGGGCAGAGCAACTAACCAGAAGTCATGGTTCAGAGCAGCTTTTCTGCGTTGGACGCCTACCAGTTTGAGCATAGCGCCTCGTTGTAGTTGTGTAGATATTTCATTTCATGCGCCGAGTATATGTCGGCGGCGTCCACCTTGCAGCCGGTTTCGAGCATCGACACAAATCATGAGACCGGACGCTGAGGCCACGGAGGCAAGCACAGACAACGACGCGAGGCCAGCGTGTATCAACAGCAAGTAGAGGATTTCATCCATTAACTTTATTTGCGCCTCGGCTTTTGCAGCGGCAATAACGCAGCACAGCAGCAGCTCGTCAATACCCTCACGTGGGACCAAGGCCTTTGTTCGTCAGACGCACCCCTGGATGCCGCAGGCCTTCGGCGTGGGTTACCACACCGTCGACAAGCCCGTCGACGGCTTGGTCGGGCGTGTATGGATGTGGTCGGTATGTGTGTTTCGGAACACGGCGTGGCATGTGGTGTGTGTCACAGCATGAACCTGCCCAATACAGCAACAGCTGGACAATATTTTGCTTGGTTGTGCTCCGTACGGAGTGCTCCGTATCGTTTCAGTTCTCCCGTCCCCCGATTCCTCCCATCCAAGGGTTGGCCCAAGCAGCACGACACCTAGGTATGCCAGCATGGCCTGCCTGCTCCGGCATCGCTGGGGGACAGGCAAAGACGGTATAGTTGCCCGTTTGTCAGTCCTTGCTCGCTGTTGACTTCCCGCAGACGTACTTGTATATGATATATCAAGGACTGTAGCGGGTGAAACGAAACGAAAGGCCGTTGTGATGCATGGTTCTCTAGACGGGAAGAACCACCTGCAGCAGAGTAGGCTACATCAGCAGGCTGCAGAATTACGCCCATGTTTGCTCGCCATCCTCTCTCTCGCCTGGACAGCACCACATGTCACCAACCTTTCAACGAGATGGGGAAAAGGCCCCCAAACCGCTCATGGCGTGCTCTGGTGATTCGCTCAATGGCCGCAGCCCCCATCCGTGGGATCGCCAGACAAAGATGGCAGCTAATAACTAAAAGGAGGCAACCTTTTTGCGGTTCCTTCTTCTGCAATGCGACGACAGCCGCTGCATGTCATTATGCCCGGGGAGGCACGTCTGACGCGGCCAGCCTGGATGGAGATGCTCCGTCGCGAGGTACAGCGCGCTTTTGTATTCATACTTGGAAGCCCTCATCGTGATCGGCCCGCGCAGCTTGGACTTTATGCGCCGATCGATGTCGCGACTCACGGCGGGGGTACGAGTCGAGTCGAGTCGCGGATTCGGGGGCCGCAGGGCTGTCGTCAAGGAACTGGGATCTGCTCCCTCCATACTCCATACCGAGTGCAGTACGACGTAAGCCAACCGAACTGGTATGTCATGTTGCAATGACATTTCTTGACGGCCCGTCTCATCATGCGGCGAGCTTAGCGTGCATCGCGAACCACTAGGAGGACTTCAATATGAGCGACGTCAACTGGACACGGCAAGACGATCCCACGGCCACCAAGAAAGCCTCAGAGCCCGGCCGTTTGCAGAATGCTGCCTCGTGGCAATTCTCAAATTGGAAAGCAAGCCATGGCGGCGTCACTCGTTGTGTCGTACAGACGAAACTCGTGCATCATCTAGGGTAAGCCAATGAATGGTACTGTTTGATGGAGAAGAAGGAAAACGCCGAAATACCAACCGCCGCTACAGTTCTAAAGCGAGACGACGCCCTCCCGACGGCAAACAGCTTGAGAAGTTCAATGTTTAAATGTCCCAAACCCGTGACTGTCACTTCTTGAAGAACCCAGACCTCCCCTTGACCGGTGCCCTCCCCCTCTTGAGCAGCACATCCCTGGAACCCTTTGAATACCTCTTTACTTTAGGCGCCAACCTCTGGTCGACCTTGCTGGAGACTCTGTACACTGTAGTCCCGATAACCTCATCCCGAGGACCCCTTGCATCCCTCGACATTCGCTTCTCAATCGCCGGCACCGTTCTCCTGCGAGGCCGTTCCTCTTCCCCTGCGGAGGACTCGGTATCATGGTCCGCTTCGCTCTCCGAATCGGTCAAAAACTCGGCAGGCAGTACAGTAGGAATGGCTACCTTGCCAGGCCGTTTGCCACCAGAAGCCTGTCGCTGCGTTTCTGGGACGTCTCCGGGCTGCTTTTCCACCCTTCGCTCCGAGGCTTGTTGCTTGAAGAGGGCGTCCCGCTGCTGCCGCCTCTTCTTCTCAGCGGCCGCTTGCCTAGCCCACGGTCAATTTTCCAGTCGTAGAGTCAGAAATCAGCAGCACTGCAAAACGGGAGGACACGCACTCTCGGGAAGCCTTCTTCTCCGCCCGCGCAGACTTCTTCATCTCAACTGCCAGCTTAGACGTGGAGACTACCTCGGGAGCCTCGTCGCCGTCGCTGTCGCCTCCCACCCCGAGCTGGGATGGGTCCGCAGCCTCGACAGGCTCGGCCGGAATGACGAGGTCCTGGTCTGCATTGCCGTCGTCGTCGAACGTGATGACGCCACTCCTCTGGCTTGCCGCCCGGGGGGCCTCGGTCTCGGGGTCCAGCTCTGGAGCGTCGTCCTTTGACCGCAGGGGCAGTTTCCTCTGACGCTTCGGGGCGGCGCCTGCGCGGGCTGACGACGCGGGCTCGGCCGTTCCAAGGGCTTCCTGGGCCATGGCCCTTCGCTTGCGCGTCTCGACGGGCATGGTTGGCGTGCTCGCGCGAGCTTTTCCTCACCGAGCCGAGATGTCTTGTGGGCGTCGTCTGGGTCCTGGAGAGGAATTGTGTTTTGCCTCGGGACCCCGAGCTGAGGCGGGAGCTTGAAATAGAGTCGACTCGATCAGTATATAGCTGGAGCTGGCCCCGGGCCCGAGGAGACTGGGATAGTGTGTTGAGAAATGGGAAGTTGTCGTCAATTGTGAGGCTCGATATTTTTCACGACCAAAAAAATGTAGCGGGTCGCCGCCACAGTTTACAGATAGTAACTTTAGGTCGCGGGGGGGCCGCGGCGCAGAGAGCGCTGCGATTTGATTGGCGGGTCGAGCCGGCAGCGGACTCGTAGCTCTCCCCCTCTCTCTCGTGGGGGATGCGATGCGGCTTCTCCCCAACACCAACGTTCAACGTATCGAGTTCCGAGTACCGAGTAGTTACGACCAACTGCTCTCGAGAATCCGCCGAGAACCGGCCGCGCCCGCCCGCCTCTGCCGGACCGCACAATCCCGCACGAACCTCACCCATGGCCGTCGGACGGATGCCATCGCCACGCGCACTCCTGCGCCGCCTCGACGCCCGCCGCCCTGCCTCGCCAGTCCCCGCGCCGCCCCTACTATCAAGACGTCACCTCCATCCGCCCGCAAGTCCGCGTCAGCAAACGCCGCCGCCTGCCTCTCGCTCCGCCTCCGCGCCCCGGGCCACGCCCACGCCCTCGCCCTACGCAGACCTCTTCACGCTGTCAGACATCCCGCTCAGCGCCTTCGAGGCCGTCGTCTCCCGCAACGCCAAGTCCTTCCGCGACCCCCCCGAGACGTACTACGGCGTCGCGCAAACGCTCTCGCGGGCCGTCCGCCGCGGCGCCTCCCCCTGGGCCGCCGCCTCCTCCTTCACAGGCAGTACGTCCGCGTCGTCCTCCCCCCCTCCCCCCGGCCGGCCGCCACGCTAACCACCCCCCGGCGCCAGGAGACGCCGTCCCCGCAGAGACAATACACCAGGCCGCCTGTATCATGCGGCAGATCGCGGGGCCCCGGGGCGCCGACGCCTTCGCCACGGCCCTCTGGTCGACGGCCTCGGAAATGGGCTACCGCCCGTCCACGCTCTCCCTCGCCCGGCAGCTCGTCCGCTCCGGGGCGTACGGGCGGGTCCCGCAGCTGCGCAGGGTCGAGGCGCGGTTCAAGGGCCTCGTGTCCGGTGGCAGGGATGCCGACGCGCTCACGGCCGAGGGGGAGCTGCTGCTGGCGCGGGGCCGGCTGGACGCCGCCGCTGCCGCCTTGACCAGGGCGCTCAGGCTGGGTGGCGACTTTGAGTGGCGGCCGCACTGTCGCTTGTGTCTGGCGAGGACGTATTTGAGAATGCAAAGGTCTGACGAGGCAAGACGGCTGCTGGAGGTGCTGTCCGAGGAAGGGGTTGTCGAGGCCGACGCGGAGCTGGGCGAGATGCTCAAGGGGAGCGACGTGCACGAGGCGCGGCAGAGGATGTTCACGGCTGCGTGCAACGGGAGGAGGGAGATGTTTACGCGCCTCGCGGAGCTGGAGTTGCAGACGCTCCGTGGCGGGACCGACGGCGACGAGGACGCGAGGCTGTGGGCGGTGGAGTGGTCGAGACTCGCGGACGGGCGGGAGGGTTGAGGCGTCAACGCGGTCGTGATTCTGACCATGCTGCATTGCGTCATGTACATGCCCAACCGTCTCCGAAACCTTCCAAAACGTGTCATTATATACGTTACCGTGGCCGTGTTGTACGCACCACCATTACACCAAGTCCTCACTTCTTTTGCTTCTTGACATCGTCCCCGTCGTGCCCCTTCCGCCTCCTCTTGTCGCCAACGTCCTCGTCGTCCTCGTCCCCTTGGTCCGCGTTCTCCCCGTCATCACTCCCAACCATGCCCATCATCTCTCCTCCCTGGCCCTCGAACAGGCCCCTCCAGGAACCGTCCGCGACCCTCTCGTCGTCGCCATACAAGCCAACGCCGTACGCCGCCTTCATGGCATTGATGCAGGCCTCCCTCCGTTTCCCAAAGTCGAACATTGGCTTGGGATACGTCCCCTCCTCCCTCTCGCCCAGGCCGTCACCCACCACCCTCACGCCCGCCTTCTTCTGATCCCGGATCGGCGCCTTCCACGGCTCGTAGATGTACTTTGAATCCAAATCCTTGAGCTCCGGGACCCATTTGCGAATCAGACGCCCGTCCCTGTCCCACTTCTGGCCAAAGGAAACGGGGCTGTAGCACCGGAAGAACTGAGAGAAAAAGGCCGTACACGACAGCCACTGCCAATTCCCTGCATTGCAGGCAGGTTCGTGATCCAGCAGGTGCACCTCGAAGACCTCTGCGCCCCTCTCCCAGTCGACGTAGCACCCTCCCCTGGTCAGGAAGCACGCCAGGCTGTGGCGGCCGAGGTGGTGTATCCAGCCCGTGTGGACGAGCTGGCGCATGAGGGCGTCGATCCAGGGGAATCCGGTAACGCCTCGCTTCCAGCGCTGGAACCACGTCTCGGCGTCGTCCGAGTCCACCGTGTACTTGTCCGTCACGAGCCCGGTCTGCGCGTCCCGCTCGGACGGCAGATGCCAGGGTATAAAGCGACAGTACGGGTTCCCGGCCGTCTGCGTGAACTTGGGCCCGACGGCCGCCTGCGCAGCAAAGTACATGTCACGGAAGATGAGCTGGCCCGTCAGGCTCGCCGGAGGGGTCGACGCCCCTTTGCCGTGGGCCTCGACGACTTGTTGCACGCCCCAGTAGAACTCGCGGACGGACAGGGCGCCAAAGTGAAGAAACGGCGAGAGCAGCGTCGTCGACGGCGGCTCAAACTGCGCCGGGCTCGTCTTTGGCTTCTCAAACGTGGCTGTGTACTTTTTGTTGCCGACAATGTCGGCCAGGTTCTTGAGAGCAATGCTCTCGCCTCCCCTGAACGGAGTCGTGGCCGGCGGGAACCCGAGCTCCTCGAGCGTCTCGATGGCAAAGTCGCCCTTGGGTCCGGCGATGCCCCGGTACGCGGTTTCCTTCCTGTCCCTCGCCTGCGCGTTCACATCCGGCGCGTCGGTGGGTACGTGGTGCTCAAAGTCGAGCGGCGTGTCCCCCGGGTCGGGGAGGTTCTTGGGCGAGGCGATGGGCCGGGGCACGGGGCCGACCTTCTTGGCGGCGGAGAGAAGCTGCGTCATGGACATGGTTGGCTTCCCATTGTGGTGGGAGACGATCTCGTCGCTGTCCCAGAGCGTTCTGCCGGCGCGGGTGATGACTTTGACGCCGGCCTCCTTGGCTGCGTTGGCGACGACCTCGTCGCGCTGCCGGGCATATGCGTCCGTGTCCTTTTCGAAGACGAGGTGGGTGACTTTCCAGGCCTTGAGGAGTTTGGGGAACAAAGTCTGGGGCGCTTCGCGGAGAACGTAGAGCTTGGACTTGGGGTTTAGTTTTGTGATGGAGCTGGAGAGGTCATTCTGACAGTCGAGGCTACATGATTCCCTTAATCAGCACCAATGACGCGGAATTTGAGTTTTGTCTGCATTTTTGAACGCACAGAAACTGCCATCGATTTGTGCCTCCCCGCGCTCTGTAGACATAGTAGGGATCCCAGGTGAATATCGGCCACAAGACATCTGGCTCCAGATCCAGCGCGGCCTTGAGGGCGGGAGAATCGTGAAGTCGGAGGTCTGTCCGGAACCAATACACCACCCTTGGCTTGGGCATGATGAGAGTCGGTGGCGTGTATATTGATTTTTGTTTTCAGTTTAATTTTTTTTCTAGTTCTTTTTGTTCCCGAATATTGCCCTGATGGAAAGTGCTGGACAAGGCCAGAGTTGTTTGAGTTGATTAATCTCGCTGATCTGAATAGATGGAAATTGTTGCAAGACCAGATTGACGTGTACGATCAAGACATTGCTTCTTTAAACACGCAGCGCAGAAACAGGTGCTCAGTTTTCCGATCAATTAATTGCATGGCGTGGCATAAAAAAAGGGGGGGGGGGCACAGGGAAAGAATAGAAAAGAAAAGAAAATAAGAGTCATGATGTCAGTTACTGGTGCTCGCCAGAGTCAAGATGGTGAAGTGGCTGCCGACCGGCATAGATCGATCGCATCGAAGACATCATCAGATGCCCGGCGGGAACATGGAAAGCGACATGTAGAGGGTCAATCAACCAACTGGTTGGTCCACTTCTGCAGGCAGTCGACGAGAGATTCGATTTGGTTTGCCGGGTTGGGCAGGGCAGGGCAGGGCGGGCTGGCTCGCGATCGAGACGAGACAAGCGACTGAGATGTCAAACGTCAAACGTACTGTTGGCAACTGCCGATTCCCAGGGAGGGAGGGGTCAAACTGGTCGCAAATCCAGGCACAACAACGTCTTAGGGTTGGGGTTACTGTCAAGCCCAGAAAGTGGGCAAAACCCCTCTCCCATCCATCAGGTACGGAGTACTCTGTACGTCTATTGATTAGATGGTGAGCTCTGGCCTCTAGCCTCTAGCGAGCTTTTTATTGGTGGGGCGTTGCACGAGTAATCCGGAGTAAACAATTACGCTGGACCATGCGTGCGTCCTCCTGTGTACGTACTTGAGTATGCATTGACATTTCTTCGGGCAATGGCACAGTCAGCCATCGCCGCCACCGCGTCTCTGTGACTCGTATCGCGGATACACCGTAAGTTTGTTGTATAGCCATGTGGTTCGTGGTATCATGCACTGGGTGCTTGGCCGGAAGAACAAGAGAGAGCATTGCTTGAATACTATGTGGAAAAAAAAAACCCCAAAAAAAAAAAAAACCTCAATTGCCTCAAACCCCCACTCGCTCCACCATGCCACTTATTTCTCCCACTCAAAGCAGCCACAAAGGACGACAATCGACAATAATATTCAACCTTGCATTAATACAGACTGGGGGCTGCGCACCGAATCGAGGTCAAGGCAAAAGTCAATCGCCACTCTGCAGCAACCAGACCAGACGACTAGTAATGTCCTGTCAATATTGACATTCTGCGGGGCGAATTGCAGGGTGTGCCATGTCAAAGGATGTGGATGGTGGTGTTGGTACCACACTTCAGCCTAATAACTACGTTATATGGAACTTGAAATGGGTCGTCATCGCAATTGAACGTCTTTGATCATGATCGGCAATGTGAACTTGCTGACTGACTTGGGCCGGCTGCCCTGCTGCGCCAGCCCTACCTACTGCCTACTCCGTACATAAAACAGGTAATACATGTCGCAAGGTCATTTCTGGGCCTCAGCGAGAAGGTGTAGTGTGCATCAAGTCACGCACCATACTGTGTGTGGTCTGCCCTGCCCTGACGATCGGAGCGCTCCCACAGGGTCTCAGTGTTGGTTGGCATTGCAGCACATTGCTACTAGTAGTAGTTGCTATTTATCCAAAGGCCGGCGGTTGGCGTGGTTTTGTTCAATGTCTGGCTGGTCTGGTCTGGTCCAGTCCCATTTCGTCCTGCCTCATTTGCGACGCGTCAGGAACGGCTCAGTATTGTTGTTGTTGTTTGTGTCGTGAGCCGTATCAATACACACGACCGACCACGGCTGTTGTCGAGGCGATTGAGCACAGGAACGCGGCAATAGAGGGAGGTAACCCCGTGACATATAAGTTACTCCTACACGATGGCGGTTTTGTTGTTCTCAACAGCCAACCAGCTTCACGGCTTCTCCTTTGTACATACTCCGTACGCGTGCAGGGTTCTCAGGTGGCAAGTGGGCAGCCGCAGGATCGAGGGCAAACCCACGACAAGGGCGCATAATACCACCTTGCACGTATTATCGCACCGTCCGGCTGCTGGGCACAGTACACCAAGGTGCCGGTACTGGTACAATCACGCATCCATCCGACGGGCGGCTGTCTGTCGAGTGCGGTGCCGTGATGGACTCCCTGGTGTGGTGGGATCGCATTAAGAGCCTGCATGTACAGATAGTCATGGCAGAGCCGCATTTCGTACGCAACGGCACGGACACGGCCCTTGTGTGTGATGCAGATGCAAGCAGCACTCGTAGTGACTGGATACAAACATTTAACTATCAAGATAATACGTGTAGGCGGACCTGGGTGCTCCGTAGACACAGTTCAGGTTCAAGCTTCGTTTTGGCTGCACCCACTACCGTCCGGACTGGGAACCCCGTTCAAAGGTTGAGGGACGAAAGAACGCAATAGTAAAAGAAGGAAAAAAAGAATTCGGGCTTCCTCGGCGCGTCGCCATTCAGATAGGCAACCGGTAAGCTGCCAAGTGTTTTTAATTACCTAGTACCTACTTGAGTACGGACTTGCATCAAGTATACGACATACACACGTAAGTGCCTACCTCTTTAACCTCTTTAACCTTGGGTAAGTAGGTACCTATCTTAAGTAGGTACCTGCATAGAGTTTTAGTCGTGGCAAAACCTGCATGCAGCTGCGAACTCTGTACCAAGTCCACACTACTGACTGGCTTAAGTACTTCAGTACTTAAGTAAGTAAGTTGGGAAAGAAGTAGGTAGGCATCGAAAGGATCCGTCTACAAGTTCTCAAGTAGGCGTGGTGGCGGGAAGACACCTGGAAAAATAGGAACTTGTATTGAAGTATGAAGCTCTCTATCTTGTTTGTGTCCAATGTGGAAATTAAATGATGGAACTTGCAGAAAAATTTTCTGCTAGTTTTTTTTGTTTTTTTGTTTGTTTTGTTTTATTTTGTTTTGTTGTTGTTGCTGCTGCTGCTACTGCTGCCGCCGCCGCTATAAAGTAGGTACTTACTCAAGCACTTACTACTAGTACTACTAACCAGGTACTTAATTAGTTGTTTATTGACTGGGGTGGTTGGTCTTGGTGTTTGCGCATTGTTTGCCGGGGAGCCCGTGAGGGATGGGCCGCAGCGCACCAGCGGGCCCCAGTGAGCTCCAGCGAGTCTCGATAAAACCTCGTGCAAGTACTTCTTACTTACTTGAGTAAGTACTTACTTAACCTAACCTAAGTACTTTACTTTAAGTACTGAAGGACATGTTCCCATGCCCCGGGCGCCCCACGAGCCACTCACAAGGCTCACATGTTCTGTTCCACAGGTTTCGGTCTCGTGTTTCGTGGCTGGTTTCCTCTGTCCCTCTGTTCCTCCCCTCCTCGCTTTTGAGCTACTACTGCTACAAAACGTTCAAACCACCCGGCCTTCCTTCCACTCCGACACTTTGGATCAAAGGGCGAGGATCTGCGCTTTGTGTTTGCTGCCGTTTTTGAAACGCCCAAAGTCGCCAGACTTGTCGCTTGTAGAGCTTGGCTGCTCGTGCGCGCCGTAAAATCAACCCGGCTTACGCTCCAACTGTGCGCCAGCCAGTAAGCTTGGAGCGCTGAGTCGAGCTGCAAACGCCGTCAGTAGCAGGCATCGACTCGTGTCTGCGCCCGCCCGCCAATCAGATGCCAAGTTGCCGACCGTACATGTACACACCTCCAAGTACCCTCTACGTAGGAACTTCTAGGTACGACTTGTCTGTCAGTACGGAGTGCTCCTCCGTGCTCCGTACCTGCACATTCAGCCTCCTGCCGGTCTCGCGTCCCTTCCTCCCTCTGGGCCTCTGTGCCCCTCCAGGTGGCTCCTTCCCCGCCTGCCAACGGCCTGGCCCACAACCCACCCCCGGCCCTGCGTCTCCAAATGCAAGGAAGCTTGTTCCTGGTCTTTGCCTGGGGGCTTGCTCCGTCTCTCGATCCCACCGGCTCAATTGGGCAAAAAGTGTACAAGCATCTTCTCCGAAAAAGATGCTTGCACGCGACTGTTCCTTGTCCTTCTGACGCGTTTACTCGCAGCTGAGGCCTTTTTTTTTTATTAGTGCATGGGTACGACCAACAGTCGGCCTGCCTCGTGTGGTTGATATTTCCTTTTTACTCTCCTCCCATTCCTCCACTGCTCCGATACTTCCTCTCTGCCATACACCTCACATCACAACGGCGACGGCTCTGATTATTCTACATTCCAGTACCCCAGAGGTTCGTGCCTTGGTCTTTTTAACCTTGGCCTGGGCTTCCTCCTCCGTGCTTCTGGTGGGAACCACAAAACATTGTTCGTCGCTCCGAGAGACCAACGCCACCGTCTTGTGTCGCAAATTGTTGTCGGTGCTTTTTTTTTTGTCCGTGGCAGCATTATCGGCACTTCTTCTTGTCTGTCGCCCACGCCCAACGACCTCGGGTGTCTGTTTGCTCACACGCACACAAACAATACTCTGCCATCCCAACTGCAGCCCTCTCACTACCTCTCGCCAACAAACCGTTGAGAGGTCAATTTTGATCAGCAACGTCCGGTTCACGTCTATTTGCCAGCTATTCATGGCTAATTCGGTTACCCGTTCCTGTTGCGACTGTGGGACTAACTGACATCCTTTGCTTCTGCGGTGGAGTCATCGCGACTGGATGGCTTCCACTTATACTCCAGTTCCGCAAGAAGTCGACGACATCTGAAATCATCGTCCCGTCAGGTTTTAACAAGACAACTCGGATAAGCTTTTATCATAACCGATCAGAGCTAAAATACGCTGTGCTCCCTCCCCGGACCATTGGGCGTCGCAGCCACAGTCGTGCCGTGCTCTGTGTTGTGGCATATTTTCCTACCTTCACTTGCTAGGCTTCGACAGCCTTCTGCTGGCACAATGCCTCGCGCCGGATTTCTTCTCATCCTCACCGGGACGCTTACCGTGCTCTCAACATCCGTTACAATTTGCCTCGAAATTATTTCCTGTGTGCAAGCACCAGACAGTTCCAACCTGCTCATAGCGAGCAGCATAGCTGCCGCCTTTGAGGCCGCTGTCCTCCTTATACTTGGTGCACTCGGGCTCGCACAAGTTGTGCCACGGAAAGTGGCCTTGGTGTGGATGTGCTCTGTACCAGCATTTGTAATTCAACTCTTTGCTTGGCTGGCCGCCCTGGTAGCTTCCACAGCCGCTTTGGTTTACCTGCAGCAGTCGTGGACACTGCCCGAAATTGACGACGTGGCCGCTGGCCGACGTTGGGAAGTCTTTGTCGGATTAGCAATAGTTGTGGCCTTTGCTACGGCTCTGCAACTTGGCTTCATCGTGTTGCATTTTGTGACAAGCCGAGACGTTACCGCTGGGGCAACTTCATCCTTTCATACAAATGAAGAAGGCCGTAAAGCCAAGGTCAAATCCATTCGATATAGTCGGACACTGGTTAAGGGCGCCGCCAAGGAAAAGGCATCTGTCAGAGGCGACGAGTATTTGCCGTCCGCGCCCGCAAATTCAACCATGGGGCCATTTGACTACTTGAAGGCATCCATGTCTCAAGCCATTCGACCTACAACATCCCGAACCATATCCTCAAAGGATGGGCGCTGGAGAAGGACCTCGCTGGACTCGGAATGCACTCGCAAGAGTACAGATACGTCTTTTGATTCTTGGGACACGTCATCTGTGGACGCGCATAATCGTCAAGTCGTCATAGAAATGTCCTCTCCGATAACTCTCAAGAGAAGTTTAGAGACGATTCCTGCTAGTCCGTCCGGGAGCCGCCCTCCCACCCGGCCCGGCACTCCTCTCGATATGGAGCTGGAGCCTCCTCCCCGCATGTTATACAGAAAAGAGAGCTATAGCTCGAGCCTACTATCACAACAAGATGCCCGCAGGCATACCTCGGATAGCTCCGTCAATGAGCTGCATATTCACCCACTCTTTCGATCTGATTCCCCCACGCCACCTCCCGCTGCCAGCCCTGGCACAAGTGTGTTGGCTGCACCGAACGCCGGACAAGTAATCTCGTGCAAGAGTAGCATGCAATCCCTGAAACGTCTTCGAAGCGGAAGCTTGCCCGCGACTCGTAGCCCGCTCGTCCATCATACCAGCCTCGACAGCTTGAGGCAGTCCAAGATGAGAGACGATGGCGACGTCGGACGACAGAGCTCTGACGGAAAAGGCGAGCGCAAAATGACACCGCCTGTGCCTGAGTGGCTGCTGAGCCCGTCTATGAAGGCTAGCCTGGAGTCATTCAGGGAGCAGAGGGGAGGCCATGATGAGGAGGCATGATGGTGACGGGGCGGAACGAAGTGACTGGACCTTTTTCTTTGTTCTTTTTTTTTTTGTGCGCATGACTGTAAGCGATTTGACGTGAGTGACTTCACTTCCGGGCATTGACGGGGATACGAGCTTGGGGTGCGAACCTCATTATGTTGATATGACTTTGGGTATAATTGGTTGATTTATGGGACGAGCGAGGCGTTGTATTTAGATGAGGGCTATGTATTTTTGGAAGGCTACGGAGCATTGCTGCAACATTTAGCAGCGGGCTGCGAAGCCAAGGGTAAAAAAGATGATTAAAAAAAAAGGCCAGCTGCGTCCTCTGTTCAGACGCCGTGATGCTCGCTGTATTGGCTAGACCTACTTACTCAAGTACTTACTTTAAGGAGGTGCCGAAGTAGGTAGTTACTCAAGCAGATACTTGAGTAGCGGGCACGTGACTGTGCCATCTATCGTGAGCCTGAGCCTGCACGCACGACAAGTGGCGAGGCGGGGGTTGATTCATCAATGTTCATTGTCAAGGTTCAACGTTGGACCTGCTTGGTTGCCCTGTGGGCCCCACTTCGACAGTACAGCCCGCCCGCCCGGCCGCCCACAAGGCCCAAGGAAGGAGCCACTAGCGAGCGTCCCGGTCGACTGCAGCCAACCATTGCTTGCTTCCGTCATCGTCGCCGGCTTTTCTCTCCTCCAAAACCTCGCTCTGCCCGCCTCTCTTGCACGGACAATTCGACAGGAATCCCGACCTCGCTGACGACCCTTCCTCTATCGCAGCTGTCGAGCTGCGCCTCTCCTGCCCATCATGAAAGTCACCTTCCGAGTATGCCTCGTCCCCCACCCCCGCCGCCTTTTGGTGCCTTTTTCTTGACTGGAAGCTGCTTGGGTACATTGGTCATTGGTCTGAGCTGTGTAGCCTGGCTGCCTGCTCCGGCATGCATCTCTGAAACTGAAACGTAGCTGACTCTTTGGGCCCTTTTTGCTTTCCCTTCTGCACAGGACCTGAAGCAACAGAAGTTCGTCCTCGACGTGGAGCCCACCGACCTGGTATGTCCCGTCTGCCTCGAGTGCCCGGCCGTTCTAGTATCCATCATTTCTCCCGCCCCCGGACTGACGGAGTTGTGCGGTAGATCTTGGCTGTCAAGGAAAAAATCTCCGGCGACAAGGGATGGGACCCTAAGCACCAGAAGCTCATTTATTCCGGTCCGACCTCTAGCCTCCCCGAGGATAATCACTCTCCGCCTTGGCTGACCTGAAGTCTCTGACCATGTCTCTAGGCAAAATTCTCAAGGACGATGAGACCGTCGCTTCCTATAACATTGAGGAGAAGGGCTTTGTTGTCTGCATGGTGAACAAGGTCTGTTTCAGCCAAGTGCGCAGCTGGTTTCACCGACGTGGAAAGCTATTAACATATCTTTAGCCCAAGGAGAGGCCGGCCCCGGCTGCTGAGTCTTCCGCCGCCGCCGCTACTGCTGCCGCAGCCGACGCTCCTCCAGCCACGCCCGCACAGCCCGTCACCGGCACTCCTGCTGTTCCAGCTGCTCCCGCCCAGACTTCTATCACCCAGTCCGCCGCCCCGGCCACGCCGACTCCGCAACGTTCTGGTGAAACCGGGGGGGAGACGGGCTCGGGCCTGGCCATGGGTGCCGAGCGAGTCGAGGCCATAGCAACCATGGAGGCCATGGGATTTGAGAGGAGTCAGATCGAGGCAGCCATGCGCGCCGCCTTCAACAACCCTGACCGCGCGGTTGAATATATCTTGAACGTGAGTCGACACAGGAGCCGACAATATTGACAGACACGTGGCTAATACAATCTCAAAGGGCATTCCCGAGAACATCCAACAAGAACAACATGCTCGCCAGGCTCCCGCAACTGGATCAACACCGACTGCCCCTGCCACCCAAGGGGGCGGGGATGACGACGGCGGTGTCAACCTTTTCGATCTTGCTGCCCAGGCTGGCGGTGGCCGCGGAGCAAGTGGTGGTGCGAACCCTGCCGCCGCCGCTGCTGCGGCTGCAACCCAGGTTGGTGCAGATTTGGGCAACTTGGATTTTCTCAGACACAACCCTCAGTTCCAGCAGCTCCGCCAGGTCGTTCAACAGCAACCTCAGATGCTCGAGCCTATTCTGCAGCAGCTTGGCGCCGGCAACCCCCAACTTGCACAGCTGATTGCCTCCAACCCCGACCAGTTCCTCCAGCTTTTGGGCGAAAACGCCGACGACGACGTTCCCTTGCCCCCCGGCGCCCAGGCTATTTCGGTTACAGAAGAAGAGCGTGACGCTATTGAGCGGGTAAGTTGTATAATCTCGACCTGCCCAGGTTTGGTGCAGGTGTGCAGCTCTAACAAAATGCAGCTATGTCGTCTTGGCTTTGACCGTGACCAGGCCATCCAAGCCTACTTTGCATGTGACAAAAACGAAGAACTCGCCGCCAACTTCCTATTCGACCAGCCTGATGACGACGAACCGCCCACCAACTAACGCGGCATTGGGCAAAGGACAATGACAACGACCATGGTGGAAGCAGGAACACTCACGAGTGCTGGTTATGATTATGAAAGGAAACTCCGCACGAGGTTAAAGACAATAGCCGCCGGGGAGGAGTTTTAATGTCACGATTCTAAAGGGAGGTGAAACGCAGGGAGGGAGATTTTTCCTGGTTCAGCTACGCAGCTGCAACGTGGAGAGCCTATTGTTTTCTCGAAACTACAAGTGCGTTAGTTTGGGGGACGGGATATTTGCAAGTGGCAATGGTTGAGGTGCTGCACTGCATAGGCACTTAGGTTGACACGTTGGCCTGGAATATTTTGGCAGTGAATGATAGTGCAGTCTACCTGAAGCTACACTGATGCCATGCAAACGCATGGCGTCTTTTGATTTCGTTGTGCAAATGTATCCGGTCGTACAAGTTAACTGTGATCTCGTCAAGACCCGCCAGCTCTGTGCTCGATTCCTCCCCTGAACCAACAAATACGTCTCATGTCGTGGGTATCGTGATTTCCCCTCGGCCTCTGTCCGTCGCTATATCCTCGCTATCCCGTGATTGGTTGCCCATTCAGACCATATTGGACAGTCTGCTTGCCCTTTTGTTTGGCCTTGCCGTTTTTCTTGAGAAGCCCGTTGGCCTCGCCGTCCTCGTCCGCAAAGAGCTCCTCCTTCTTCTTCCTCATAATCTCGGCCTGCTCATCCGCTATCCTCTGCCTCTCGGCCTCGTAGGCCTCCTGGATTTTGCGCTGCTCCGCCTCAATGGCCTCCACCGGCTCGAACTCGGCGCCCGTGAAGGCGCGGTACTCGTCAATGTCTATCTTGATGGTCTTTTCGCCGACGAGCGCGGCGTCGATGCGCTCCGGGTTGTGCCGCTCCTCGCGGTTGAACTTGAGCTTGACGTGGCGGCGCTGTTTGCCGGGGAACATTTTGGAAATCATCTCGAACTCTGTGCCGAACATGCGCAGGCCGCGATAGAAGAGCTCCGTTTCGGGATCCGTCCAGAGGTTGGGGCCCCTGAGCTTGGAGGTGTTCATGAAGGAGGACGACGTGATGAGGCGCGTGAAGTCGTTTTCCTCGACGGTCTCGAGGTCCTCGTTTGCGCGGGTGGCGGCGGCGCGGGCGTGCCGGTCCATGACGAGGGAGGCCTGGTCCACGACGATTTGGCCGTCGACGATGCGGAACTGGGGGCCCGATGTGGCTGCTGCTGCCGCCGCCGCCGCCGCCGCCGCCGACGGCGTCGAGGTGCTGCTGTTGCTGTTGGTTTTGGTGGTTGTGCCGTTCGTGGAGCCCGGTGCTGGGGATTGTGTGCCGTCGACCCCGGCTTCGCTGGAGGTGTCGTCGTCTTTGTTGAGCTTGGCCTTGAGGCGGGCTTTGCGCTCGCGCTCGCGCTCGCGGAGTTCGTCGTGGCGGCTGAATTTCTTGCCAATTCGCAGGTCCCGCGTCAGGTCGGACATTTTGAGCTTCTGCAGGTCGACCACTTGGTCTTCCGCGTCGTCGGGGGTGAGAGAGCGGGCTCGGCGGGAGCTGGACCGTGACGCGACGGCCTTGGGCGTGCTGGTCTTGCGTTTTCGCGGCACGGGGGGCTCGCTACCGTCATCGCCGTGTCGGGACGCCTTCCTCTGGCGTTTCCTGGGCCGTCGAGGTTCGCCTTCTGGCGCGGACGCGGCGGCCTCTGCTGTGGTGGCTGAAGGCTTCGTGGCCCTTGGCCTGGTGGTTGCTCGCGAGGCGGTTGCGGGCTCCTTTGGAGCAGTTGCGGGCGAGGTCTGGGGCTTTGTTGCTGATCTTGTAGCCCTGGCTGAGTCGCTGCTTGCTGAGGCTGTGGATATTTCGGGCGTTTCTACTGACGGTCTCGGTGGTGGTTTCGCGGCTGATTGACGCCTCGTTGGCGTGCTCGGTGTCGATTGTGACCGAGTATCGTCAGTCTCTGGTGGTTCCGCTGCAGTGGCAGCTTCTCCGGCTGTACTACTGGCCGTCGGGGTCGCATTTTGTGTTTGTAGTTGTGAAGTCGGCTTTAATTGGGACGCTCGTCTCGTGCTTCGCCGTGTTGGCGTACCGCGGGCTTCTTTCTCGGGTTCTTTAGTTGTTGCCAGTTCTCGGACCGCGGTTTGGGGCCTCTTGTGTGTCAATTCATCATGGTCGGATGCATCCTCCGCAACCTCCGGCACCCTCTCTGGTACATCCTCTGGCACTTCATGGATTGTAGGCTGAGGGGGAGGAGGAGGAGGAGGAGGAGGAGGAGGGGGTGGTGGTGGTGGTGATGGTGCAGTTTTCGTAGCTGGTGCCGATGAGCCTGTTCTTGGTCGTGCGACCGGTGCCTTGGGCTTGAAGGCGAGGCCGCCTTTCTTCTTAAACATGGAGCTCATACTGCAGAGATGGCGAGAATCAACCCAAGGTCAAAATTTTTCAAAGAAACCAGCAGCGCGACGCCGGTTTAGTGCACGATCCGTGGTTTACACTCGACGCTCACTTCACTTCGAGTTGACCCAGAGAAATAAAAGTGGGGGATCCGCAGGGCTCCGGTTGCAAGCGAGGTTTACCCGCTGCGGCCCATCGATAAGGATACCTACCAAAGCAGGCTTAGCGCGGGACTAGTGTCCTTTGCCATGGCCCATGCCTCTCTGATTTGCGAGTCGACTTCGAAATTTCAACTCCTGGCCTTGATCACTCTCCCCCATCATCAATCTGTCCCCCACCCTCCCAAAGGCAATTGTTCACGGAACTCGCTTGATGACAGCCCGCGCTGTGTCAGCTGCAGGACGAGACGTGGCTCATGAGCGTAGCAGCTGCCTAGCTCTCGCTCTGAACGGCCTCTCGCACCGAGTTTCTGTGATACTTTGTTTCGTTTGACGCGTGGTCTGATGCCTGTAGCAACGTCGCTGTCCACGTCGCCTCGTCCATCCGTGGTTCCCAAAATGGAGGACAGGAAGAGGCCCGCCATCGGCGGTTCCGATGATCTCGCTGCCCCCCCTAGTAAGCGAGTCGCCGTGAATGGATCCAAAACAAAGGATGATACGATGGAGATGAAGGAAGAAGGCTGGATCGAGGTGAGTGTCGCACGAGCATCATTTTCGACACTCCCTTCGGCACTCTGGCACACGAACACACTGTTGCACTTTGATTTCGGGACTTTTGGCATCCTTTTCCCTCGTCTGAGCGGTGCTTTGGGACATTTACGACTGTGAGCCTGAATGCTTGCGAGGTGTCGCGTGGCGTCGTGAGGGGTTGTAACCAACGGCACCCTTGGTCTACGCGGCGACAATTCCAGCAGCAAGCGTCTCGTTTGTGTTCAAAGCTCTGCCAGTGAAGGGTGCCGGTTGTTCTGCCCCGAATCTTTCTGTTGCTGACAATTCAATCTTAGGCCTACACTAAAGGGGCAATTTATCGCCAAATGCAGGAGTACAGTCGTAAAGCTGCGACAGCAGAATCACGTCTCGAAGAATTGCATAAACGATGTGTACATCATGATGATCATTTAAGAATTATCGACGGCTGGTGGCGCCAAGTAAGTACAACACCGAGGTGCGATTTGATGCAGTCCAGTACTAACAGGCTGACCAGTTGCTTGAAGAATTGGAAGTCGTGGCAGAGCCTACATTGTCAGAGATTGCTCCCCCAGCAGGTATGCAAGAGCATGTAGCTGGTGCCAAGTTCAGTGCTAATTTTGATGCTCTTAGACCCCCCCTATCTCAGCGCAGTCAGCTTCAAAGACTTGAGCGAGTTCCAAACCCATCTGTCTGATAAGGGCAAAACTATCAAGACAAAAGCCGAGTCGCTGCTGAGCCGCATCGCTTCGCAGCGTGGCTCCCTTAGTCCAGATGCCGCTTCTCTGCAAGAAAAAGTGAATAATTTGCTTGCCGCACAGAAGGAATATATGCTGAAGTTGGATCGACTGAACGCAGAGAAGGATCAACTCTCGGAGCAACTCAATGCCGCCACGTTGAGGTATTTCAAGGCCGAAAAGAAACTAGACCGAGCCAAAAGCTCCCAGGTGCAAAAGCTGGAGCAACAGGCTTTTGCAAATGCCACCCGCCCTTCTGGAGCAGCGTCAGCAGCAGCAGCGTCGAGTGAAGTCGGCTCAGAACAACACGAAGTAAATGGTTCGTCTGACGAATTATTGCTCAAATATGAGGAGGCGACGGCTTCTGCAGCCAAGCAGAAGGAGCAGCTTGATTCCATCCTGTCGGAACTAAAGACGGCGCAGGACGAGAATACAACGCTCAAGGCTCGCCAGAATACTTGGTCAGACGAAGATTTCATTCGGACGGACGTTTTCAAGCAGTTCAAGGCGCAAAATGAGGACCTCATCAAGAGAATCAACAACTTGGAGGCGATAAATAAGCAACTGCGGGAAGAGGCCGAAAAACTGCAGGCAGAGCGGACGTCCTATAAAATCCAACTGGAAGCTGATGCGAGTCAGGTAACACAGGAGTTGGAGGCTGATATCATGGCAAGAGATCAGGATCTTGCGCGAGTTCGTTCTGCGAGGGACGAGATTCTTGCCGAAAACACACAAAGAAAAGCCAGTATGGAGCAGGACAAGACGTCGATAGCTCATGTCAAGGACCTGATCAGTGCAAAGGACGATCACATTGCCGCTCTGGAATCTCGACTTTCCCGTCTTGAGCCCGCTGAAGACCAGGACATGGCCAACGCAGACGATGTCTCGCAGCTTTCTGAAGATGATGTCCGGCAAAAGTTGAAAAGGTTGCAACAAGACTTCCAGTCCATCAACCAGGAGTTGCCATCCATCGAAAAGGCGTACAAGAAGATGAAGGATCAAGCACAGAAAAAGGTGTTGGACTTTGTGGCCTTGGAAGAAAAGGTGTCTCTTTTGATTGCGGAGAAAAGCAAAGCAGACCAAAAGTACTTTGCGGCGAGAAAGGACGCTGACACCCGAAATAATGAGATACGATCACTGCGACACCAGAACAGCAAGAGTACAGAGATCATTGCTCAGCTGAAGGACCTGGAGGCGCAAAATAGATTGCTCCTTGGTAATTTGGAGAAGCAGGTGGCCGACCTGAAGCAGTCAAATGTTCTTTTGACGGCAGAGAACAAGAAGATGGAATCGACGAGCTTGGAGGCTGTAAGGCGTTCCGATTCTCTGAACCGACAGATCAGTGACTTGACCAGTCTGGTGAAATCTCGAGACAATGCATCTGCGGCTGTGCGAGAGCGAAATACGGTGCAAGAGGCAGAGGTGGAAAAACTGAAGGTTCGAATCGAGCATACTCAGAAGGATAGAGATCAGTGGAAGAACAAGGCCCTGAGCAACTCATCGGAGGAGGAAGAAATGTTACGAGTAAGCCGAGACCGTATCCTGCTACGTATCTGTCGTGCCATTCACACCAAGACGCTAACACGTACCACAGACGTTTGCATTATGCACAATTTGCAGGAACAACTTCAAGAACACGGCTCTGAAGACGTGCGGCCACTTGTTCTGTAACAAATGCGTGGATGATCGTATCAGCAACAGAATGCGCAAGTGCCCGACGTGTTCACGAGCTTTTGACAAGATGGATGTCATGCCTGTCCACCACTAAAATCTGTTATTTTTTTTTAACTTGGACCGGGTGACGTTTGCCACGTCGAAGGGATGAAGACCATTTTATTGCAAGATATCGCCTCTGCAAAGGCACCCCCAACTGACTTTGGCTAGTAGTCGAACCTGGAATGATGCAGCCATGTATACCAATTGCTATTAGAGGTGGGAGGTTACGGGGCAGTGATGATAGCTATGATGCCTCTCGCTCTACACAAAGGCGACCCAAGGCCGAGGCGTACCGCTCAGACATGTTACGTCGGGCGCATACTGACGACATGTCATTGTTTGGATATTGTACCACTAGGAACAGATGGGGTTGTGGGGGTTTGAACTTTGGCCGTGTACATGGTAGCAAGTATTATTATAGATCCGAGGATCGTCGGAGTACGGGAAGGACGGCGGAGTTTGAGGTCTACATTGGATACTTGAATAAACGCCTCAGCGTTATTGAGCAAATGCCCGAGTGCCTTGCTGTCATGGATGTCGACAGTGACGACGTATCCTTTGTGAATGTAAGGTGAAGCATATCGAGGCTGTTTCTGCCAAGTCTGGGCGGAAATATCAAAAAAGCGTCTTGCCTGATGGACTCGTGGGGTTTAAAGTTTGCCGACACGGCCAATGTATCTGTCTATCTACGACGAGTAGATCCGAACCCGGTACTCTCGCGTCTCGATGAGCTCCCGCTGGACGACGACGATGGCCAAGACGCGGCCGGCGACGGGCGAGGACTGGCCGGGCCGGAACCCCAAGCATTGCTCCCCCACGCGCCATCGTACCCTCGCCTGTCGTCGCTTCTACTCCTATTCCCAGCCAGGTATCCCGCCGCAGCACCGCCCGCCAAACCACTCCAAAATCCGGGTCCCCAGCCCGACGCCGAACTCGACGGCTTGGTCCCGGGATACGGCGGTGGGGGATCATTCCCGGGTCCCCATCCTCCTCCGCCTCCGCCTCCTCCCCCTCCTCCTCCCCATCCTCCCCATGTCCTTCCAGCATTCCCCCGCGGCGGTCTGCCCCCATTGCCGGCAACACAGGCCGAGTACACAATCCACCCCAGGACGGCGACAAACACGGCCATGAACAACCACGCACTCAGGTCGGTGCCGCCCCTCCCGTCGCCGAAATACGCGCCACCCGGGCTCGCCAGGTGCGGATACCGCTCCTGGCCCTTGCCCGTCAACATGAGGCTGTATTCGACGCCGCAGGAGCCCTTGAGCACGTGTGGGTCGTCGGCGCTCGCGTAGCCCTCGCAGACGACGTCGGTACTGCCGAGTATGAGCTCCTCGGGCAGGGTGGCCGTGCAGCTCCATTCGATGTCTTGGCCGCCGTACGAGGAGCCCTGGTTCGTGCAGCGCATGGTGTCGATGCTGTAGAGGGAGCACAGCTCTCTTGAGGATGTGCATTTCAGCTGGGGGACGGCGGGGACGCGGCGGTGGGTGGTTCTGGCGCCGTTGCCGCGGAGGGTGAGGGACTGGACCTGGGAGAGGAGGATGGCATCTTTGGGCTTGGCGGCGAGGGCGAGGGGGAGCGGGAGGGCGAGGATGGCGGCGAGGTGGCGGGCGTGCATTGTGTCGTGGTTCTTCTTTTTTTTTTTTGCTCCCGTGTTTGACGTTTGAGAGAGAAAGAGATGTTTGAGAGAGAGAGAGACTCGGTCGGTGGCGGTTATTCTGGAAGCTTGGCTTCGTTGGCGGGGTGGAGGCGGAGGAGGAGGAGGAGGAAGTTGGTCGCGAGAGGACAGAGGGCTATTGCCATGCCATGCGTGGCGCGGCAGGCAGGCTGGATGTGGAGGGACTTCTTTTCATGTACAATGGTAGATGGGCGAGCTTGGCGGCTGTGGCTGTTGCTGTTGCTGTTGCTGTTGCTGTTGCCTCGCTGGAGAGGACACGATGTCCAGACCGATTCGATTGACGAGGTTTGTGTGGCCGAGGCGGATGCGCAGAGCTCGACGCGGGAGGCTTCTGGGCAGCACCGCAGAGTCTGCTCCAGGTACGGAGTACGGAGTACAGACAGCAGCTGACGTCAGCGTCACCAGTGACCACTGGCGCTGACAGCGCCACGCCGCGCTGTGCACGCGTTTGGTTGTTTTTGTCATTTGTTTCATTGTTTTATTTTCTATTCTCCCTGCCCCTTCTTTGTTCATCCGCTCTCGGACACAGCAGCAGTCAAGCCCGTGGTGGGGAGCGGCCCCCCCCCCCCTTGGTCAGCACAGCACTTCTTGCACGGCTTGTCGCTGCGACCGAGAGCTGTGTCTGGTCGAGCCCGCGTCGTGGTGGTGACTTTCGACATGTGGACAACAATGCTCCTACTCCGGCGCACTCCCGGCACGGCGAGTGGTTCTGAATCATACTCACCGGTCGCGCGTCGCGTACGGCAGAACGTTGCGACGAGGTGCATCTTGTCTCGTCTGGGCGCGTGGTTTAGACGTCGCCTCCCGCGAGGCTTTCTTTCCAATGGCTGATCCCAGGCCGATGGATGGACGCCAGTGGCAGTGGGGCCACGGGCCACGGCGGGCTCGGACTTGTCCAAGACCCCGAGGCGTCCTGGCCGCCTCGCTCGTACACTTGAGCGGCATGGACGTGGCGGCTGGGATTGCACCGGAACTCGTAGACCGTGCTGTTCGTAAGTTACATGCCTGTTGTGCTTTGGCCTTTGAACGCCTGCCCGTTGTCCGTCGTTGGGCTGCCGGCCATTCGCGGCTTGCCCGGCGTGCACCCCAGGAATTCGATGCAAGTAGTTACATACCTACGATACCTAGGTGCCCAGAGAGATGGATGCCCGAATCTGCGAACCAGCGCTCGTGCGACGGCCGGGCGCCTCAGACATGCAAAGTCGGCGTCTGGTCGTGCCGGAGCGACGCGTCGAGAGCAGAATTGCATCAGTCTTCCGTAAGCGCGGCATGAGTCATCGCAGTGCAGTCCGTGGTTGGTGTCGATGTCGACTTTGCCGTCAATGGGTCATGCCGCACGCAGGCAGCAGGCAGCAGGCAGCAGCCCGCCAGAGCATAGCGAGATGAAGCCTACTATCCACCCAATCCCCAATCGCAAATGCCTGCGACTGGATCACGGACGTCGTGGAGTGCGACGGCTCCGCAACAGCCGAGATTGAAACCGTGGGCCCGAGTGCCGTCAAACAACAACTGGATGACTGTCCCGGCGTGCAGCCCAAGTTCCGAGTCCCTGCTCAGTACGTAGTAGCACATGGCACATGGCAAAGCCAGCGTGCGGGCAAAAGCACAACTCCCTACTCCGCGCTTCGTGGCCTGTCGTGGCCCGTTTATCTTCTCTGGCCATAAACGTGTAGCGCGTGCCCGTGACGTCTCGTACCAGCACTGCGAGCCTGGGACTCGGGCCCCGTCATTCCGGTACGGAGTACGGAGCACCCGTTCAGTATTCCTTCGTCCACCCTCCATCACGGACGTGGATGGCGCGGCAGGGGCGTTCTGGCGTCCGAGTCAACAGTCGTCGTGTCGTGGCGTGGGCCGGGTTTGCAAGTGCGCTGGTGTCTCCTAATATGCGCCGGTCGATGGATTACAAAACTAGCCGGATGCCCTCCCTATCTCCATACCTGCCTGAGCAGGCGTGGTCTCCTGAAGTCTCCTGGAGTCTCCCCAGAACGCCTTCCCTGGATTCTGGCACCGTTGCATGGCTCCTTCCTTCAAGAAGACTCCCTATTCCTATTCTACCCACTACCTACCTACCTAGGTACTTAAGTTACCTCCAAGTAGGTACCTAGGTAACTACTCGCCGCTCGGCAACCCATCGTGCTTGACCTACGCCCTCAACCGACGTCCGCATTCACCCCTGGCATCAGCAGCTGCGGTCGAGTCCTTCTCAATCTCATCCATTTCAAACAGGCGTCGCGGCGGTGACTCGCTCTTCAGAGGCTCGTTCCCATTGAGCCCGTCCTCCGGCTCGCTCCACCAACCGAGGCCTCGATAAGCAGCTGTCGAAACCGCAACCCAAACTCATCGCGCTGGGCGGCCGTGTTTCTTGCGCAACGGCGCGCCAATCTAGCCGTCATGGCTAAGAAAATTTCGGAAAAGGGCAACTCGCCTTCCCAGTCCGATTCCGAGAGGTCCAGCCGCCGCCGTCAAGATTCCTTTGATGGCCAAGCAACTCTACAGAACGAAAAGGAGGACCTGGACCGAGCCCTCACCAATGCCGACTCCAGAGTGGTGGCTGCTCCTCCCCAGGCCGCCGACCTTGAGGACATGTTTCGTCATCTGCCGCCAGACGAAGCCCAAATCCTGAGGCGCCAAACCGTCACGCCCGAACTGAAGCAGGGCGTTGCTGTTCTTTACCGATATGCCTCTCGCAACGACCTCATCATCATGGCCGTATCTGCCATTTGTGCCATTGCCTCTGGCGCTGCCTTACCACTCATGACCGTCATCTTTGGAAATCTTCAGCGCATCTTTCAAAACTACTTTTACGCACAAGGCCACATGAGCTACGACTCCTTCATGGACGAACTGAGCAAATATGTCCTCTACTTTATATATCTCGGAATCGGCGAGTTCGTTGTCACTTACATATGCACTGTGGGCTTCATATATACTGGCGAGCACATCAGCGCCAAGATTCGCGAGCATTATCTGGAGAGCTGCATGCGCCAGAACATTGGCTTCTTTGACAAGCTCGGTGCTGGGGAGGTGACCACTCGCATCACTGCCGACACCAACCTGATCCAGGAGGGCATCTCTGAAAAGGTATCCTTGACTCTGGCGGCCGTGGCGACATTCATCACCGCCTTTGTGATAGCCTTCGTCAACTATTGGAAGCTGACACTTATTCTCTCCTCCACCGTCTTCGCCCTCATCTTGAACATTGGTATCGGTTCGAGCTTCATGTTGAAGCACAATAAAAATTCTCTCGAGGCTTATGCTCAGGGTGGAAGTCTTGCCGATGAAGTCGTCAGCTCCATCCGCAGTGCTGTCGCCTTCGGTACCCAGGACCGCCTCGCCAGGCAATATGACAAGCACCTTGGGAAGGCCGAGTACTTTGGATTCCGTGTCAAGAGCTCCATGGCCATCATGGTTGCCGGAATGATGCTCATTCTTTTCCTCAACTATGGCCTTGCCTTTTGGCAGGGTAGCCAGTTCATTGTCGATGGCACCGTACCCCTCAACAAGATTTTGATCATCATGATGTCCGTCATGATTGGTGCTTTCAACCTCGGAAACGTTGCCCCCAACATGCAGGCTTTCACTACTGCTGTGGCTGCGGCCGCCAAGATCTTCAACACGATTGACCGTGTCTCGCCTCTTGACCCCAGCGACGACAGGGGTGACAAGATTGAGAACCTGCAGGGCAACATCCGCCTTGAGAATGTCAAGCATATTTACCCTTCGCGCCCCGAAGTTGTGGTCATGGACGGCGTGACTCTTGACATTCCGGCTGGGAAGACGACTGCCCTTGTCGGTGCTTCTGGCTCTGGCAAGAGTACCATTGTCGGCCTCGTCGAACGATTCTATGATCCGGTTCAAGGTGCCGTCTACCTCGACGGTCGAGATGTTGGCAAGCTCAACCTTCGATGGCTCCGTCAGCAGATGGCTCTCGTGAGCCAGGAGCCTACCCTCTTCGGCACCACCATCTTCAACAACATCAGCCATGGTCTCATTGGAACTCAGTACGAACATGAAGGTGAAGAGAAGCACAGGGAAATGGTGATTCAGGCCGCAATAAAGGCCAATGCGCATGACTTCATCTCTGCTCTCCCTGAAGGCTACGAGACCAATGTCGGTGAGCGCGGCTTTCTCCTGTCTGGAGGACAGAAACAGCGCAGTGCTATTGCCCGAGCTGTTGTCTCGGACCCAAAGAGTAAGTAGCCTGAGAAACTCAGCGCCTTGTTACTCAAGCACAGTGAGTGCTAACATTTCCCAGTTCTACTTCTTGACGAGGCCACATCTGCTCTCGACACAAAGTCAGAAGGCGTTGTTCAGGCCGCCTTGGAGGTTGCTGCTGCTGGTCGAACCACCATCACCATTGCCCATCGCCTGTCCACCATCAAGGATGCTCACAACATTGTCGTCATGAGTTCAGGCCGCATTGTAGAACAGGGTACTCACGACGAGCTTCTCGAGAAGAAGGGTGCATATTACAAGCTCGTATCAGCCCAAAACATCGCCGCTGCGGAGGATTCGACTGTCGAGGAAGAGGAGCATCTAAATGAGCAGCAGCAGGCGCTTCTTCAAAGGATGTCCACAAACAAGAAAGGCCGGTTGACCATGGATCCCGATGAAGGTATCGCCAACAAGCTGCTACGCCGCTCGTCTACCCGGAAATCTGTGTCTAGTGTTGCCCTTCAGAAGAACACGCCCGAGGGCGAAAAGAAGTACGGCCTGTGGACCTTGTTGAAGCTCATCGCATCCTTCAATGCTGCCGAATGGCACCTTATGCTCTTCGGCCTGGTGTTTGCTGCCATCTGCGGCGGTGGTAACCCTACTGCTGCAGTCTTCTTCGCCAAGCAGATCGTCACCCTTTCGCAACCCGTTACCCCTGCCAATCGCGACCAGATCAAGAAGGATTCAGACTTTTGGAGTGCCATGTACTTGATGCTTGCCCTTGTCCAGTTCTTGGCCTTCTCTGCCCAGGGCGTTGCTTTCGCCATGTGCTCTGAGCGCCTGGTTCGCCGCGTCCGTGGCAGGGCCTTTAGAGCCATGCTGCGACAGGACGTTGCTTTCTTCGACAAGGACGAAAACACAGCCGGTGCCCTCACATCCTTCTTGTCCACAGAGACGACGCACGTCGCAGGTCTCAGCGGTGTTACTCTCGGCACCTTGCTCATGGTCTTCACCACCCTAATCGCTGCCTGCAGTGTTGGCCTGGCCATCGGCTGGAAGTTGTCTCTCGTCTGTATCACCACTATGCCGGTTCTTCTCGGTTGTGGCTTCTTCCGATTCTGGATGCTTGCTCACTTCCAAAGACGATCAAAGGCTGCGTACGCATCGTCGGCCACCTTCGCCTCCGAGGCCATTTCTGCTATCCGTACAGTTGCCGCCCTTACACGTGAGAGTGACGTTTTGAAGCAGTATCGTGACTCGCTCGCTGAGCAGCAGCGCCGCAGTCTGAAGTCGGTTCTGAAGTCGAGCACACTCTACGCCGCTTCTCAAGCTCTACTTTTCCTCTGCTTTGCCCTTGGTTTCTGGTATGGTGGTACCCTTATCGGCAGAGGCGAATATGACCTGTTTCAGTTCTTCTTATGCTTCATGGCCGTCATCTTTGGAGCCCAGTCAGCCGGCACCATCTTCTCCTTCGCTCCTGACATGGGCAAGGCTCACCACGCTGCTGGCGAGCTCAAGACTTTGTTTGATCGCAAACCCACTATTGACTCTTGGTCCGAGGAGGGTGAGAGGCTTCCCAAGGTTGACGGAACCCTCGAATTTCGAGACGTTCATTTCCGATACCCAACTCGCCCTGACGTTCCCGTTTTGCGCGGTCTCAACCTTACCGTCCACCCCGGCCAGTACATTGCCTTGGTCGGCGCCTCTGGTTGCGGTAAGAGCACAACGATTGCCCTCCTCGAACGATTCTACGACCCCCTCTTTGGCGGTATTTTTGTCGATGGCAAAGAAGTCAGCTCCCTCAACATCAACGACTACCGGTCCCACATTGCCCTTGTCAGCCAAGAACCAACTCTGTACCAGGGCACTATCAGGGTTAACATTCTCCTCGGTAGCTCAAGCGAAGTCGTCTCAGACGAGGCTATCGAGTTTGCTTGCCGGGAAGCCAACATCTACGACTTTATCGTTTCACTGCCTGAAGGTTTCAATACAGTAGTCGGTAGCAAAGGCACACTGCTCTCCGGTGGTCAGAAGCAACGCGTTGCCATTGCTCGTGCTCTCATCCGCGACCCCAAGATCCTCCTACTTGACGAAGCTACGTCGGCGCTTGATTCCGAGTCGGAGCACGTTGTGCAGGCTGCCCTCGACAAGGCTGCCAAGGGTCGTACCACGATTGCCGTCGCCCATAGACTCAGCACTATTCAGAAGGCCGACGTCATTTACGTGTTTGACCAGGGCCGAATTGTTGAGGCAGGCACTCATTATGAATTGATGAAGAAGAATGGGCGGTACGCTGAGCTGGTCAACCTCCAAAGCCTTGCGAAGCATGGATGATTTTTTTTATTTTTTTTTTTGCTGCATCTTGTTGGGCGTGTTTCATAACTTTGCTTCACATGTCACCATATTGATTTGACGTTTTGTGATTGTTTTTACCTGTGGATACCTTGACGGATGAGATGAGATGTCCCGAGTTGTAGTCGAAGGTGCTGGCTAGACTTGCTTTGCATACAAGGCGTTTCCGTTTACTCTCTCTCTCCGTCTCTCTTTGTAAAGGAAATTGGGAGATATTTATCGACAAGAGTCGCATAGCGTCGCTCTGCAATGCAGATGGGGTGTTTGGACGTCGCGTTAAGCCCCTCGCACTTGAATATATTGTAATTGTAAAACTTTCCCGCGCTGTTGAGAAACGGCCCGAGTCTATTTGTGCGCCTTTTCAGGATGCGTAATGGCAAAGAATAAACAAACTGGTCGGGGGGAGGTCTTGTCGTCTGACAAGTGGTAGGCGCCTAGAAGCGACCCATGTCGGCAGCAGGTTCCAAGGGACTGTCGATTTTCATCCGCATTCATTTCCGGGCCATGGTTTGTCGAGTGAGGCTCCCGGCCATTCATGACTCAGGGGTTGAGCGTGCGCGCTCTGACCCAGCTTCGGACCGTTTATGCGATAGTCACGGCACGCTAGATTATCTGGAACCGAAATACATCGCGACACGTCTTCTACAGAAAGACCTCAAGTGGGGAGGGATCCTGACGGTGGCCATTTGGGAACAGCGTGAGTGAGGGTCATGATGCACTGGAAGAGAAGAAAGGAAAGGGGCACAGCACAGCACAAGGAACAAAGGATGACTTGGACTTGGTCAGACGTTCATGTCGTGCAGGTTCTCGAAAATGTGTCGCATTGGCAGCGAGGACAGCGGGACAGGAGCACAGATGGGCCGGGGTATGGTGAAACACGGTTGTGAGCTCGATTGTGGCCAGGCGGCCTTGGCTCGAGACGGACATGGTCTATTTTAAACACGGTCGGCACGGCGGAAATCTGACGGCGGCATGGCATGGACAGTGAGTGGTGTGATGGTTGATGAGATGAGACAAGAGGGTGCGCATCGCGGGCGAGCGCCCTGCCCTGGCCTGGGACAACAAGAGTAAGAAGATGGCGGGCGTCACTGCGATGTCGTGCCTCTACCGTTGTGGTGTTGGTTTCGCGAGGGCCGCATAGGAGTCTTGGCCCCAAACCGGGGCGGCCGAAGGGACGTCTTCTGCCTAAGGCCTGGGCGTTTGTTACGCTTGGCGTCGAGCACGCATTATGAAATTATTCTCTGAGAGGTCATCTCCCCTGGCAGCTGACTCGGCGTTGATGCGAGATGCGAGGAGAGTGTAGATGACCCGACCATTGCTCGCCTACCTGAGCTGACCTGACTATTGTAGTTGACCTGACCTGACTATTGCTATAGGGGGACAAGAGGGCATAATAGATTTTAATTAGTTAGATTTTCTTTAAGAAATCTATTCTTAGTAGAGTAAAAAATAGAGCAAAATAAGTTTTAATTAGGCAGAAAATTTTTATAGAATATAATTAAATTATATAAAATATTTATAAAAAGTAGGTTTAGAAATTTTAATATATTAGCTATAGCTTTCTTCTAAATTTTTTTTTTCTTTATACTTTGCCTTCTTATTAAACTAAGGCTATACTATTAAAATAATATTATATTATAAAGAATTTATAAGTATTCTCTTTAGAATTTATTTTAAATATACTTAGAATTAACTTTAATTAAATTCTAAACTAGAAAGTATTTTAGTAGTATATAAGTAAAGAGAAAAGTAGATATTAGCTTAGTCTCTCTAACTATAAATTTAATATATAAAGTAATTTTATTATTAAAGTTAGTAAGATTTTTTGCTATATAAATATAGAGAATAACTATATATATTATATTATAAGTT